AATACGTATGGTAACTCCAAGTGCAGTTTTCTTTATGTTGCTTACAATGTCGAGAAACTTCCTTCTCGAATATTGCTGATGGAAATTTTCTGTTTGGCTTTCTATGCAATTTTTTTGTCTGCACTTTTTTCCATCATGTGACAGCAAATGTTCTACACTGGCATAAAATCCTTTCACTACTTCTCTTCAGTGAGTGACAACCAAAACTCTTATTTATGTCTTATCACCTGCTCAGTATTATTTCATAGTTCTTTCCATCACTTGCTGTCTTAAGCCCAATCATGAAATCACAGTCGCAGAGAGACTCACGTTTTGAGTCCAGATTGTTCTTGCATGTGTTTTACACATTATTTTGCTTTTATTTGCTACGTTTTTTTAGCCTCTCACTGACACCTCTCTAGTAGTGCATGTCTATAGCGTCCTGTTTGTTACCCTCTCTGTGCGCGTATATGTATTTCTTGGCCTACATAGAGTTTAAAAGTTGAACTTACCCTCTGTCATTATCACAGTATGTCCTCTCCTTTCCCTTGTTATTTTTTTGCTTGCTCATTACTTACTTTATATATGTACCGTAACCCCACTAGGATTCAAGATCCCATTATTTTTTCAACACACATGATCCATAATATGGTGTGCTGGTGGATCTTAAACGCTGAGAGTCAGCGATCTTTCTTTAATGAGTAATTTCGGTATCACACGCAGTAGGAATACAACGTAATCCACCACCTCAGATTGAACGATGGCCAGAGATCTATTTTCAACACCGTCTGTGCTTACAGAGTCGAACTTGTCAGCCAACTTATTTGTCTATAACACTGAAAATGTTATAAAACATGCACAAATGTCAAGTATTGTGAACTGTACAAGAGTTTTATTATCTTTAGCACACCTTAACAAAAAGCCTTTGCTCCAACATGTTAGACTCTGTTCCCAAGTTGCCACTGTAATGTTGATTTTTATTTGCAAAATATACTAAAACAGGAAACAAATTCTTTGTTTGTAGATGATATTCATCCATCTGTCTTTTCTGTCAGTATGTTTAAAGTAAGTGAAAACTTTTCAATTCAATCTCTGTCTGCCTCTGCTCCATGACTTTGCATTTCACTGTGATTGCTCATGCTCAAAATTAATGAATTCTGTACCCGGTTCGGATAGAAGTGTCTGCCAAATGGTGCATACGTCTGCTCACTTTCATCATCTTTGCAGATCTGTGTCCGTCCAGCATCACTCACAACCTTTTGAAGCCACAGAGCTGCACTGCTGCCAGGATCAATAACTGCTGTAAGAAGAATAAAGGGCAATCACAGGTTGATAAAGAAAAGAGGTTCTCTACTTCCAACTTTAACCCTTTTCATTTGAAGTTCACCATCAGTTTGGAGGAGCCCATGTAAACTAAAATTTGTCAACATTTTATGAGCTTATGGTGCCAAACACAGAATCGGTATGTTTTTCCTATGTTATGGTGTTAAAAATATCTCTTAGCGTGTTGATAAGTACTACTGATTAAACTGTCTAAAATGGGTGCTCTCATGGCTTTTTCCCATCATTATATGTAATGGCTTCAGTGTTAAGAGGACAACATGTACTGATTGTGAGACGTAATACAGAGAATGTCCATTTTCAGTTCAAACCTGACAACTTGCTACTACTGCTGCCCTTTCCAATTTTCCCAGTAAAGCAGCAAAATTGACATCATTCAGAATCAATACAGGACTAATTATGTTCTTTCTGTTTCTGTCACAGGGCGGTTTGGAGAAGAATGAAGACTGAAGCCATCAGACATTCAATTATCGTTCTCTGTGCACCTGTTACTGTTGATGGGAGCTCAGCGAGGCCTTTTTGTTTCAGCTCTAAAAATAAACTAACCATCAAATAAAGTGGGGCAATCTTCACCTCTGATGTATTGGACCCAAAAACCCAGAATACGGCGGAAGAGTTTAGTCCCCTTTTGGTCTCTTTTTACCATAAACACAGGACACTCTCACTTGAAACAACCTTAAACAGGATTTCTAAAACATTTTGTCTGTACCTGTGTGTTTTCACAGTCATGTAGACTCCATAAAGCGTGAGATTAACCCCAGTATTTATAGTGTCTCAGTGTGAGGGCTGGCAGAACTGACATTCAGGACCATTCATAACATACAAGCAAAGGCTGACATGCTATAAAAATGAACATAAATGTGGACGTCCATTACAACCAAGCCATAAAACATGACACTGTAAATGAAGTCTAACTCTCTGAAGGTCAGCCACACTATGGTCATTCTTCTGCCGGGTTTGTCCGGCTGTCTCATTCAATCTGCAAAGGTATCTTTTCATTTTGAAGGCCAATGCATCAATTAAACTTAAATTAAAAGGACAATACGAGGCGTAATCTGCATTAGCATTGGGCAGCCATTCTTCATTGTTATGGTTGTCAATGCAGCTGAGCTTTGATCAACTACAAATCAGGTTTATGTCTCCTCCCACAACCCAGAGTAATTTACATGGACCATAAAACACACACAAACACACACCGCATATCGATGTTTAATCTCTGGGCCCTCTTCACTGAAAACAGATGAGTTAATGTGGCGTGAGGGCAACAGGACAGTGGAGAATAGAATGTTTTATCTTTGTTTCACTGTAATCAATACTGGACAATTTAGCCCAATTCACAGATTCACATTCCTCTGTTGTTACCAGGCTCTGATTGGTCAGAATCCAACAACAACTGGACTTTTTTTCTTTCACATCCAAGTGTTACCAGGGACAACTGGACCCAATAATAATGGATCATACTGGGGAAAAGTCAGGTACAGTTTACCTCTGCCTGTTGACTCTGTGGCAAAAATGTCTCTTTGTATTCAAGATGGTGTGGATATGGTTTTTTAACTTAGTTGGAGAGCAAAGAACTTGAGATTAGTGAGTAATGGCTGACCAGTCCCCAGCAAAAAAAAAAGAGGAAGAAAGGAGATAAACAGTACAGAAGCAGCGAGGGACATTAGCGGACACAAGGGGACGGATGAAAGAGATGTCAACCAAATTAAATAAGGCAGACACAAAGCAAACACAAAACAGAGCACTTTATAGTTTTGCCAGTGTTTCAGGACTGGTTGAGCAAAAATGAATGCCAACAGACTGTCTAGACTTTGCTTCAAATGAAAATGTTCAATTTAATGTGGATAAGATCTACAAGCAGGCTTAGTTTCTGTAAGAGATTTGTAGTTTTGGCCTTTTTCTGACAGGATTGGGGTCATAAAATTTATGGTCTTGCATTTTGTCATACTTCACTGCTTTCTGAACTGGGCTGTGGCTTATTATGCTGTGATTAAACTTTAGAAATGAAAGCAAACCTGTGGGGAACTATCAGATTTGGGTTGGTTATCAAGAATGCAGCAAAGACAAATCTTTTTTTATCGAAACATACAATGTAATTCATCATATAATTTCTTTATCATAGGTAATACAGTAATTCACTTTAGCTTTGGAAAAAAGCTAAGAGTTTGTGGTGGGAGCCGCCAAACATTTTTGCACTGATACTAAATGTTAGTGTTTTTTTTAAGTCTTTTCTAAATTGATAATAAATAAAAACAACATTGACGTGTTTACGTGTCAGGATGTCTCCTAATCAGGCGCTCTGACTCTCTAGCCTGGTAACCTCCCTTTCTCATTCCTCCAGGAAGTGACTGCTCTTAACCCTCAGTGCTGTTTGTTTAATTTCCAGTTATGTTCTGCCATTCTCAGTGTGACTATCAAAATGAACTTGACAGGAAAGGTAAACAGTCTCCTAAACTATGGTGAGTAAGCACATCATCTAAAGTAAATAACGGCCCCTACTCTTGCCTCCCTCATATCTTTGGTAATGTTTTGGCAGTATATTGTAGACCTGGCTGACAGACATGACTGCTTAAAGCTGAAGTCACTTAATAATTCAAAGTGCTGTTGCTGACTAGACTACCATTTTTGGCATCACAGTCGGTGACACAGCAAGTTCCCACTTTCAAACTCCTTATCTACAGATTAGTATGGCCTACATGTAGGGGAATACATATTTCAGAAGAGGGGGAGGGCAGTCAATCTACGGTAAACTTTAGTGGGTGGTTTGTTTCTTTTAGTGTTGCAATGGTTTCAACTCGCACAAAAGGAGTCACTGAAGTCACTTTGTGTATATAAAGAAGACCGCCGTAGTTTGGACCCATTTTGTCAGACATTATTCAACAGTCCAGGAAATTCAGGAGTCATCTCTGTAAAGCAAACACTGTTAGAAAACACAAATTAGAAAATTTCCCAGGTTGTGATCAATAAAGTACATCTATCTATCTATCTATACTGACACATTACAACCTCTCACACTTCCACTCAGTTTGTTGTCAGAGAACTGTTCCATATTTAAAACTCGTCTGATAAAGACAGGGCCTGTCTTACTGAAGCAAACTGATGAGAACCTGCACTGAAAGATAATGTACAAGAAGTCTAATCAAACACTGAGTGATCCCACCTCAAGAACCAGAGCTGGATGTGTTAAGGACTGAATTTCAAGCACCTCCGAAGCACCACTACTTTCAATGCAGACCCCGTCCCAGTCTTGATCATATTACACTCAGATCTATACAGTCTGACTGGACCTGCCAGACTTCATAAATTCTCTTGAGCGCTGTTTGTGGGTGCTAAATTAATACATTAGCATTGGCAGGAACTGAAGAGTGGTCGACGCTTCTATAAATGTAACAGGCTGATTTAGAAGTCCATTACATGATCCAAGCTTCCAAGAAATTAATGTTCTAGCGAACCAAAACCTTGAAGATGATCTTCAATGTAGAAATAAAACTAAAATTTTCTTCATGAAAATTTGATGATGGTTTGATCATTAGGATAGTGACTTGCTCATTTGATCCATCAGCCATAAACCCCAGCGTGCCGCTCAGGCTGAACTGAATGTGGCTTATCGACTTGCTATGGTTAGTGATTCTGAGCCTTCACTGTTTGTGTGCAGGTTCAGAGGAAACGAGACACACAGGGACTTATACAGCAAACTGATTTTAATGGATTTGTTGGTTACATAATGACATTGATCTTGAGTGGTCTGTTCCAAATGAAGCGTGAACTGAGCAGTGATGTGATGAGGAAATACAAGGAGAGAGCTAAAAGGAGTGCCGGAGTACAGCAATATCTCTATGAACATCAATGTTTAGACTTAAGTTCAAGAGAAGAATTAAGTAAGGCTTTTCACCCAACAATTTCCTGATAAATATCCTTTTAACCATCTAGGTTGTTACGGTAAGGACCAAAATTCAAGCCAATGCCGGGAAGTGCTGCTCCGATCAATATGTGCACCAAAATCTTATTCACTCAAGGGTATAAATCCTGATGAGTGCACAAATTGAAGGACACTATCATTCCCCCTTATTTGTGAGGTGTGATGAATAAAGCATGACAGCAGATGCGACTTGCACAAAAGTAGTCTGTAAATTTTCTTAAAGAAAACTTGTTTATATCCCTGTAGTAAGTGACAAAGTCCTCATCTTTGAGCAATATTTGAGCTGATTTATGTATCCAAGATGGAGAATATGTGTGTGAATTTATAACAGCATAAACTTTACCAGTCTGGTGAGGCAGAAGTATAGAAATTAATCAAGACAAATGTGTTTTTTACACGGATAATAAAAGGGGACATTAAAACTGGTTGCAGCTAGAGATTTGGCCAGTAGGAGTTGACATGTTTCATTTGCTGACTGTTATGTGCATTAAAACTAGGATGCAGCCTGAAGTGGTTTATACAGTAAAGAGATACAGTAAATACAGTGTTTGGTGTTTCTTTTACCTGCAGAACCTTGTACTGTTCACATAGCTGAATGACACATTAAAGCCTTCAAAACAAAACTGATTTAAAACATGAAACAAAAGAACATATAAAAGCAAAAACAGCATCAGATAAATAAGATTAAAAGAGAGGTTCTGGTAAAATTAGCATCAGATAAATTCTTAAGTAACCATTGTTGTAATTATTCACAGAGAGTATAATTTTTTTTTAGTTCAATAAGCTGTTCCCTGATAGGCTAATCTCTGCAGTTTGTGCGCTTCACTGAGGTACCAAACATTGATCTGCAGGGATTTAAGACTTCAGGTACCCCCGAGCTTCTTTATTTAGCCAGCGTCAGCGTTAAGGTTGCCCGGTTCACTTCTTCTTTGGATGCTAATGGAAGACAACAGGGAAAAGAGACCGTTAAGTAGCAATCAACAACATGCAGCAGGTCAAAAGAAGATTAAAAAGGTCCTTAACAGATTGAACTGTTAATTTCTCAAACATGTTGCCAACAGCAAAGTTTGTGTTTCCGAACTAACCCAAAGGCAAGTCACTTAGCTGTAAGATTAACTGCCTGCCCCTGTCTGACCTGCTATCTCTTTCAATTAAACGCTGCACCCATCAGAGGTGCATCTTCCTGGGCCCACAGACCAATCTCTGAGATATTTGTCTCCATTTAATTTCCATTTGCTACAGCTGGGCAGCAGAGGGACTCAGAGACATTATCTGTATCCAGGGGAGAGGAAGTGCAGCTTGACATGCAGGATGAAGCTACGCAGGAAGCAAAGGAGGATTTTATGAAACTTAAACACCCAGCTGATGGTTTTCCAGGTGACAGAGGGGAATTAGTGGTGAATCATCCACAGAGAGTAAACTTGAGCTCTGATACCACAGACTGAATGTGATAAATTCTCTGCCAACTCTGGTCCACATATGCCAAATTAATTCTAAACCAGCAGTTGCATTTTTGCTGTTTCATTACTTTCTGTTTTTTTCCTCTTTAAAGTGACAGTACATAAAATACACATCCATAAACCTTCCACCCTGACAGGTAAAATCAATAAATCGATCCAGATCATTTGCATTTGGTAAAAACCTCAGTTGCCATGCCAGGATTGAAAGAACGATAGAGGTGTGATAGACACTAGAGTGCCAACACCAGACTTTCCAGCAGAGAGAAATGTGATAAAATCACAGATGTCTGGATAAGCACAGCCAGATCTAAGAGAAAAGGTGCAAGGAGATGAGAGAAGCTGAACCCAAGCAATGAATCTGGCTGTGGATTCTGGGAATACCTCAGCTGGTCTCCAAAGCAGAAATATTCAGAATTTTTTCCAAAGAAATACAACTGCATGAGGCGAATAAATCTGACTCAAGTATTTTTTAAATCTGAATCTGCTGGAGTCTATAAACCTTTTTTCTTTACTTAATATGGTCACACAGAACAATGTGGTTTTATGAGAAACAGGAACAATATCAACAATCAGAAATTTACTGAGCGGGAACAAAATGGAGAAATATCGACAGTGAAAAGCCTTTAGAGAGGTTCACCCGTGCTGCAGCACAGATAGAGAAACATCACAGTGGATGATGGATCTGATTGTGCAGCACGGAGAGGGGGGTTACAGGAGGAGTGGATATACCGCAGCTCACTACAAAGTGCACAGCATGCAACTGCTGCACACCTAACTCAGTCTTGGTCAGCAACTCTTCCAGGTCTGGCTGTCCATAAGCGTTCCCAAGACAATTCCCACTTGTTTTCCTTGGGGCGATTTATCCTCATAGAGACTGATGTGCCAGATTCTGCGCTATACTTTTTTCTGCATTAAAATGTTTCCCAATAAAAAAGGAGCAACTTGTTTTCTGATTCCTAAAAACGCACCAAATGGAAATTTTAATCCACTAGGGTTTCATTTTTTCAATTAACAACCAAAGGTAAAGGCTTCTAATCATATGAAACCACACACAGCTCTCAGATAAGCTATAACCTTGTACTTTTCAAGTCCACACAGGCATGCAGCATCATTTATCTTATGAGCCAGTCACACGTGTGGTATCTGCATTTCCATCACAGCAGACTTCAAAGTCTGCTAGATTTCCTGTTTTTTTATTTCTCTATCTACATTACAAAGCGGAAATGATCACAGTTCTAACTTTTATTAAAGATATCGACATTAACAGGCAAAAAGCATTTTTCCTTATCATTTAACCCCCTGCATTAGTTTGTACTTACAGCAGCATCCAGTGCTTGCTCCAAGTCTTCAATGATGTCGGCCTCATCCTCCAGCCCCACAGAGAGGCGGATCAGTGTGTCACTGATTCCTAAGATGTTCCTCTCTTTTTCAGGAACTGATGCATGAGTCATTATTGCCCTAAAACCATGACAAAGAAAAACATACTGAGAACTGAACCATTAAAAGAGAAACATTCTGCTGCTATAATTCAGGTGAAAGCAGACAGATTAGGTTTGTTGTACCAAGAAAGTATCCCAATGAAAGTCTATGGGCATCTTTTTTTATCTTAATCTCTGCTGCCCCCTCATGGTACCTTTGTTGCATTACATTTCCAAAAGTTGCACTATAAAAGTTGTCTCAGTTGTGATTAGGTTATGAACTTGTACAATATCTTTAACATCATGTTGTTTTTCTGACTAAAATATCAACACTTAGCAAAAATAACCAATGAACAACAAAATCCTGTATTGATACTTACGGATGTTCTGCTAAACTTTCATAACCACCAAGACTCTCAGCTATTGCAAACATCTGAAAAATAATACATGACATAAAGTTAAGCAAATTGGAAGCAAAGGTCATGTGTGCAGAAAAAAAGCAGCTGGTGACCTCTAAAAGACAATATTTTACCAAAGACGCCGATTGAGCCAAGGTCTTTCAGAAACCGCTTTAAACAGCCCAAAGTACCAGATTACATTTGAACACTGTTTTGTTTTCATTAAGAGACAGGCAATCACCTCAATTTCAAAAAGGCTTATTTCTACAACATAAAACTCTCATAACTGCATCAAATTTTCTGCCGATCTTAAAACATCGGTGTGGCTACGCTGCAACAGCATGACCTTATCATTGTTATAGTGTAAAATACTGTTATTGTCTCTGCACCTGTGTGGATAGATTAAAACTCCAAACTATGCCAAAGCAAATGTTTGCACAAAGGACTTGAACTCTCGCCATAAGCACCTGCGTCTCAGTGTCTTTTCACCAGCTTACACTATCACTTGTAGTATCTGATCCAGTTGTTTTAATAAAGACTCTCCCTCCAGATTTACAATATCAGCCACTGAGAAGACAAAAAAAACTGAACAGATCACCCAGATCAAAGATCACAAATGGATGAATTACTTTGAGGTTGCTGAGGAAGGCAGTTGCATGCTCCAGTTTCCCCTTAATGTAGAAGGTGATCATCCCCGGACATCCGGTGCACTGTCTCTTCATAACTTCATGTTGAGGGTGAGAGGGCAGGCCTAAGAGAAGAAGAACAGGTTACATCTTGCCAGGTAGGGATAATAGATGTTGTACTTTACTCGAGTGTGGAAAAGGAGAGGTGTGCCCGCCCTCTGACTGTTGTTGGGTTTGAAGACACCACTGTAATTTATATTGTTTATTTAAAATCTACTGCGCATGTTTGAACTCAAGCAACTTTTAATCTGCACTATTCACCCTTTCCATCCACTGCCAGCAAACAGCAGCAGGTAAAGATGTAACATCTAACTGCAGATGTCATCTGAGGTTACTGTACTAAAACTGTGGGAGTCAATGAGTAAGAGAGGATTGGTTATAAAGCATCTGAAATCAAGTAAATGTAAATGGTTGGAAACTTTTCTACAAGGTAACACAGACCGAAGGCCAGTCTGAACACATTTTTATGTTCTTGCTGCAGCATGCCACTAGCGAGGGGATTAAACGTTTGCTCATGAGCCCTGGACTGTTTGGACTTTAATCGCCTGTTACCACCTTTTCAGGAGAGTGTAAACTTTTTTTGCAGAGGTCAAGTGGCTGGGGTTTGTTTTAACTAAATAAGTCACCTATTCATTGTGTTTTATGACAAGATTGTAATAGATGACTGAAAATACGCCACGCTCGGCACTGTGAACTGAAATGGCCCTTAAATTAAACAACTCTGCCAATAAATAACCTCTTGTTTCATAACAGAGTCTGCGTACTTCACCGTGGAATTAAAAAGATAACCCTGGGTGCTTATTCTGTTGCACTTTGGTTTAGTAGAGTAGTAGTGGGCATGTCGAAACAATACTCTGGCATGGAAGTTGTGACTCAGGGCTGGGTTTTATGCAAGGGTTGTTATGGCGCCATTGCTACGCTCAGCAGCAGAAGCAATACCTGGAAAGATGACACGCTCCACCCGGGGATCCGCCTCCAGGAACTTAGCCGCAGCCATGGCGTTCTTGAAGTGGCACTCCATCCGCAGGTGTAGTGTCTTCAGTCCTCGGTTACACAGGTAGCAGTCAAAGGGAGAGGGAACACCGCCCAGTGCTGAAATTTACACAGATGTTACAACACCTTTAAAACCCAGAACTGGAACAAAAATGAAAGCTGAGTGCAAACAAACAGTCCAGTGTGGAGAGGTTTTAGTTTGGTTCTTAGCTCTGGCCTCAGGAGCATCTTGTGGTTGTTTAATGAGCGAATGTAGGCCAGGCTGAAACAACTGAGAGTGTGGCAAAACTCAAAGCCAACTGTGACCTTGAATAACACGTATTACTAAACCACATTTTGAATAACTGGTTCAGGCAAATGTTTGCCCTCTTACTGGATAAATAAAGAACAAGTCAACACATGTTCAGTACGACATACATGCCAGTTTGGCACCATGCTGTTTGATCTGATCAAGTGCGTCAAAGCAGCAATTCCACAGACATCTCCAGAAGAACGTCGATTAGTCATGTGTTGTTTCTTTTCAACTCACCATTTTGTAAAAACTTGAGTCTGTCATACAGATCCTCCCGATTCACCGAGATAAGACCCATTACCACATCACTGTGTCCTATCAAAATGAAAGGGAGGAAAGAGTGAGAATTAATGACAAAGAGAGCAAAAGCTACTCAAACAGACCAAAATGGGATAACTTTTGAGTGGTATATTGATATGATCTGAGAATAGTTTTCATATGATGATTTATTCTGGTGGAGTTTTAGTTTTTTGATGCAAATATTGACCCTGTGACTTTCTGATCAACTTTAACAATCTAAAAATGAAAGTACACAACCTACCATTCATATATTTGGTGGCTGAATACATGCAGATGTCTGCTCCCAAAGCCAAGGGGCGCTACAAGTACACGACAAACACACATGTTAATCAGTGACTCATTTCCACATGAGCTGGAATTCAACAGCAGTAAACCATAAAGCTGCTGCTTCAACTTCAAAGAGCGTGAAGTGCCCATCTGTCACTCTCACCTGGAAGTAGGCGGACATAAAGGTATTGTCCACAACCACCACTATGTCTTTGTTGTGTTCATGGACCAGATCAGAACAGGCTCTGATGTCAACTACCTTCATGGTGGGGTTGGTGGGAGTCTCAATCCACACCATCTACACAGGAAACAACATGATGTCATTTAACTGTAGCAGTATGTTTAGAAAGGATGTTTGGTAAACAGATTTCTTTCCTGGCATTAGTTTAAAAAATGCTGAGTCACAGTGACTGCTTCAAGTTTGCCAGGAAAAAAGTGACACAATCAATTATGCAACAAGTACACAACTTTTTTTTTGTTTGTCTGTGGACTGAAATTAAAGGAAATATGTTGGAGAGGAAAATTAAATGAAACCACATCATCTATAGACCTAAAACACAACAATACTAAATCTTTTAGAAAGACCGTTGTCTTACTTTGGTGTTGTTTTTCAAAGCAGCTTTCAGCTTCTCTGGCTTTGTACAGTCAGCAAAAGACACCTCCAAGCCAAACTCCCGCGCAATTTTTTGGAAGTAGCGGTTTGTGCCTTGCAATGAGAAAAAGACAGTTCTCACAATTATGCTTTGACTCACAAGTGGGTGGATGTAAGGTTTCTAAGAGCATTGGGAAACTTGTAATAATGAGTGTTCTCACCTCCGTACACGTCATCCATACAGACGATGCTATCACCGGCCTTCAGCATGTGAGTGATGGTCACTGTGGCAGCCAGCCCTGAGGCAACAGCCAGACCTGCAGGAGTGAAGCAGACATCTGTGAGATCACAAATCCTTGCAATATCAGAGCAAATTGAGGCTGTGGTTTGCAATTTTCAAACTCTCAAGTTGAGCTCTTTTGTCAGAAATGATGTGATTCAATTCTTAGTGTTTCTGTAGAATATGCTCGCTCTAGTTTCGCGGAACAATCTTTCTTACAATACTTTGCTCCATCCAAAGCAGCCACAGCCTTCTCCAGACAGTTTCTAGTAGGGTTTCCACTCCGGCTATATTCAAACCCCTGCAAAAATGTGAATCAGACATTACAATCCAAAAAGTAATTTGCCATAACATACTGTTTTCAAGTAACTTATGAAGCATTTTCATTTTTGGCAGACATGTTGCCTAACACAACTGTCATTCTCTTTCTCACCAAACAGAGTTTCGTAACACATCATTATCACATGCAATGGCTGACTGCTATCACAGACAACTGCAACACAAGTAATACTCTTCAACTTATCTGTTAATAAAACTGATGTGTGCACAGGACTGACAGCTGTGAGGACAGCTAATTACAAAGTGTTTATTCTGAGGTGAGACAGGCTATTTATGCCTTTTTAAATAACAGGGTCTTAACCAGTAATTTAACTTCTTTCTACTGGAAAAAGACAACTGGTATTCAGGCTCCAGACTGGGGGCGACTACAACGTTGTTCTAGATAACGTAGATAACTGTTGAAAAAGTCGCCTGCTGTGCATATGTTTTTGCCATTGAAATGATACAAGTATGGGAAAAACATCTCTAGTTTGCATGAGGAGTTTGGGGATTCTCTGAAAAGAAATCTGTAAAAGAGGCATATGTCTTGATGAACTTTGTGAACACTGAAGGCTGTAGCTTCCAGACGCCTCCAGAATGCAACACAAAACTTCTATTCAAGGCTAACAACCCTAAACAATCCTCAATGTTACAGCTCTAGTTTGACAGGTTTTCTTGTACAATTACTGAACTACTGGCAGCTGGTGTTTTAAGAGGTCAAAGAGGGGTTTCAAATTGTACTGCATGTGAAATAGCGGCATTGTGAGCTCGGTCAGAACATTGTGGTGAGTATTCACTGGGGCAGAGAACACAAATACAAAATAAGGTCAAGAGGTCAGGAGATCAGCAAGAGTGGTGGACTGGGTGTTTGTTAGGTAATATCGAATCATTTCAGCTCAGTGCTGTTCATTTTCTTCAAGATTAGGATTAAAACAGTGGAAGACTAAGTCAGTCTCTGCCTGTTGGACCTTGGTCCCAGACACAGAAGAACCTGGGTGAACTGTGCTCTCGTTCATTTAATGGTGTGCCGGTCTGTGTGATATTGAAGCAACAATAGCACATCCAAACTTATAATCCAAACCTAGCCCCTCTATAATCATTAGCAAAGACAAATTAAAAGACTAATCTAAAAGGGAATATAAAAGTGAAGGGGGGAAAGTGCATATTTATAGCTTACTACAAATCCTGGTTTGAACTGTAGGGAAGATTTGACTGTTGAGGAAACTCCCAGGCTTACTGTGTTACTATGACTGACTCTTAACAGGTAATACAAGTGTAGGACACGTATACAAAGTTAGTCATTCACAAAGGTTGGATAAATAAAGGGGTCTGTACTGTTCTGGATACTTCCAATGTAAGCCCTAGCTTTTATACAACACAATATATACCACTGACCATGTATGGGGTAATGTGTAGACTGTTTGTCCAACAACCATTTACATTCTAATGAAACAATAGATATTCTACAGCAATATTCAAGGTTATTCTGTTGAGAGAATAATGTTTCTCTCGAATAAAAACCTCAATTTATGTCTTCAAACAAAAGATTACGCTAATACATAGCCAACCTAAGTCCTCGTGCATGACTCCACATATGAGCTATACGCACGTGCATACCACTTGGCTGTTCCCATCACCCCCTTGGCCCCCTCTCCTTAAGTAACCAGTCATACAGGGGTACTTACAGCATGGTTTCCTGGTCCGTTCTGCTTGAACGTGGTAGACAGCGATATCGGCGGCACCACTGCCATTGACTTCCATTGTTCCGGTTCCTGGCCGACGTGAATCGCTTCAGTGGCGAACGATTTAAAGGCCGAGCTAAAGCCGGCGAACAGCTCGCTCTGTTCCTCTTGTTTGTGGTTGAGCTCCATGCCAATATGCTACCCCTGACGTGGACCGGCGTAAACTCAAGGTGTCTGAGCGTGCATCACCGCTATACGGTAAAGGGGGAAAGTCATTTAACGTAGCTCTTCGCTGCGCTCGCCGGAGTGAGCCAATCAGCGCCCATCAACAAGGAAGATAACACGCTGATTGGGGGTTCGGTAGGGGCGTTCAAACCACGTGACCACGCACGTTGTTTGCGTTCTTTTGTGTGTGTACTGATGTAACGTTTCCTGTGGCTTGAGTCAGGGGGTTACTACTATTATACTACACTTATAATGTAAACCTTTTCATTCCGTTTATCTCTATTATCTATTTTAAACACTAATAAGATTGCAGTACAGTCAAGTTGGGAACTTCTATTGGTATTAAATTTAACTCTTTAAAGTTGAATTTGCAAAATAAGTACCATGTCTACTATCCATGGAAAGAGCGAATGAACTCTATAGCCAAGATATTTCTCGGACACCATCGTAACAATTCTGAGAAATTGTAGGTGAAATCTCCTGCATTCTTGGTCCTCATGGTGCTCACAACAGAAGAGTTTGTGTTTCCACTCTTGTGCCATAGGGGGAGGACGTGCTCTGTAGTTTACTACCGACTCAGCGATCACAACACGTCCGTTTTTCTCTGGCCTGTCTAAACCCAGGAAGACTTATTTCTTTACTAGATTACAGCTGGTTTGATCCTTACAAATGTAATCCAGTTTCTGTGAAGGTTGTTTAAAAGATGACCCAAGATCTGGCAGCAGTTTCCAAAGTTCATCAACTTAGGAAAAAAAAGGCAAACAATTTACAACTAACCGAAATAATAAAAAGGATGACGATTATGAACTAAACTGAACTGTTAAACTGAAAGTACACTTTAAAAGAGTTGCCCAACATTAATAAACAGTTTCTTTGATAATCTAAATGTTCCTTATAACACAAACGTGCAGGACCAGAAATGCATAGATATGATGTTGTAAAATTCACTCATGAACAAATTCTTGCCTGCAGGAATTGAGAGGTAAACAAAATAATGTCCAGTTATGGGAATGAGAGTGTAAGGTTAATTACTACTTTTTTTTAAGTAAATTGAGTACTATAGTACCTGAAATTAAAAACTCCAAAGTACTTCTATGGATACTATTTTTGATATTACATTCTACCATCTTGAGGTATCTGATTGAAACCAGTTAATTATATATATATATATTTTGACCTATTGTATTAAATCTTTTAAGCATTTTGGTCAAAGAAAAAACACACAAGTGTTAATCTGTCTTCTCAAAGTACACTGTACAATAAATAAAACATACCTTTGATTGAATGGTGATAATGAATGTAGTTCTCTAGCCATAGCTACAAATGTTTATTTAAGTATGAGTTTTTATCTGGAAAAGTGTGATAGAAGTATTACAATTGAATTAGCTTTAATTGTACCGTTTCGGTGCAGTTAAATGAGTATCTGTTGAATCAAAATTATCAAAAAGACAAAAAAAGTGATGTTTGGGCACCAAGATAAACTTTTTGTAGTGGAAAACTAGGTTAAGCCCCATAAAAGTTCCATGTAGTTGAACACTTTACATTAACCAGTCATAACCTTATCAACCGTGTAATAATACGACCCAATACAACAGCTGTACCAAAATTTAGATTTTCACAGAACTTCTATATTAACTGTTGAGGTTGTAGCGGATGATATTGGGGTACTGAATGTATGATATTTAAAGGTGTACCTGATACTTTGCTACTTTGCTTAATAACACACCCCAGTACACCACCACCACTTCATCTTCACTTATCAGTATCAAATACGATGAAAACCTGTCTCATTATGCGAAGAAAACTGGTTTAAAAACTATAATGGAGTAGAGCTGTTGTATAACACTACATTAATTTTCCCGGTACTGTGGCAGGTGTTATGCCGTAAAATGCACCCCTGTCATAGAATGCATCCCCTGCATCCCATCCACTCATTAGCATCTTAAAGTGGAAGAAAATGATCTCATATTTAAAACAAAACATGAGTATTGGATCATGACAACATGTCAAATGGAGCAGCAAACTTTCGTTCTGTTTTTGTGTCTCTCAAAAGTGATATAGAGGTGTACCTGGGTTGTTATGCTGTCAAGGTAGAGAACATTATATTTTCGGGACAGCAAATATTCCGAATCAGAGGGCTATTGTTTTTTTAAGCTTTTCTGAATAGTCTGAATGAAATTATTAAAGACATACTCGTTTGAATTCATCCAATGGCAAGGAAAACTTGGATTACTTCGCCTTGTTGTGTACTTCCAACCGCGCTCCCGTCAGGGGGTGCACTCTACGGCATGGTTGCATTCTACGGCATAACACCCCGAGTGTATATTTGCTACTTTTTACCACAGTGCATTGGATAAGTGAGAGCAGGTGACCGTTAGTAACCTTTTCGCAACTCTCGCGATACTTCTGAGCGGAAGAGTCGACCGTTCCTTCGTAGTCAACTGGAGCCGCTTATGTTGTAGAGCCACCAATAACCGACGACAGCTTTGGACGACAGGAGGAGAGCGAACTGTTTGTTTGTGAGTTTACCAACCAAACGGGAGCTTATACTTGTTTGTCTGCGAACAAACGCCCCCCCTTTGTCTGTACGGAGACGAGGCAAGTGTTTTCATGTTGGACAATTTACAGTATTTGCGGGGAGACTTCCAACTGGCGGATCGCATCAGTTCGCCCGGAGGGTCATCGTCAGAGACGACACCCTCTGCTCCGTCAGCGTACACTGTGTAGAAAATGACCGGAGAGAAGATCCGCTCCCTGCGCAAGGACCACAGACCGAGCAAGGACGAGGATCTACTGGAGCCGGACGAGGAGGCTGCTACTGGGACGTTCACCGCCTCCAAGACGAACAACAAGAGCAGAGCGAGTAAAATCTTCAGCAATCACAAGTTAATTAAATCTTCATCCACACAACAGCAACAGCAGAACCAGCAGTCCCAGATTAATGCGAACACTAACACACTGTCATCATCAGACCTCATCGATGACAATAACAAAAACCCAATCATCAGAACCGGGCAGGACTTCCCGGTCCATGAGTGTGTGTTTAAAGGAGATGTCCGGCGCCTGTCATCACTCATACGAACGCAGAATATCGCTCAGAAAGACGTCCATGGTGAGTGTGACAGCTTTCTTTCTCTGAAAGCACTATCCCCTAACCTATCATGATCATTAATCCACATATTTGAAGGTGCACTGAAGCTTAGATCTAGTTTGCTAACAGGCCATCAGTCAATGGAAGCACAAATAGGCGAGGCTTCTCCCTACCACAGGCCTGGATAACTCATCCCAAAAACGACAAATACACTGATTCCACTACCTTCCATATGTAGTTCCCCTAAGTGTGTAAGATTGGCCATTTCATCAGAGGCTTTAACCCCCCTCTGCTAAAACTTTAAGATGTAGTGTAGTCACATAATCTCTCCCAAATAAGTCTTTTTGCGAGGAGGACTGTGTATGAGAGATTGTTTTAGGAGACTGATATCATCCCCCCTGCAGTGCAAAGTCTGCTTAGATAACATAACACCAGCGTTTTTAAGGAATCCCTCCCTGAAGTGACACAAGTTTAGGGCTGTAATGTTCTTATTCATCTGCCAAAACAAAAGATGGCCTGTGCTTGTACTTGGGCTTATTGTAAGCCCTGGAATGTGGTTTGACCTCTGGCATAATTTAATAAAACCTGGTGTAGACAGGGCACCTGCCTCCTGCTATCGTGAGCTTCTATTGTTTAAAGAGTTTTTCTTATTTTTTTGATACTTTCTGTGGCTCAGTGGAAGAAGTTTTTCTGTGTATCTGCACATTTGTTGAGCTGAAACCTGATACAGAATTAAACCAGACTATCAGCAATACCAGTTAAAGTGAAATATGAACAACCCTATTGAATTTGATGACTTGTCTAACATGAGCCACACCTAGGAGGTAAAGGTTTACAGTAAATGACTGCCTTCTGTATGTGCAGTGTCATCAAATCAATGACCTGTCACATACTGAAAAGACTTGACCGTGATTTTATTGTCAGCAAACTATGTGTTTCACCTGGAGCTTGCCAGGTCCACCAATTACAATCAAATAACAAAAACACAAGACAGAAAAGGTATCAAAATAAAAGCACATTTTTTGATATTTTGATATGTTTTCTGTCTTTCTTTAAGCTTGCTTTTGTTCCTGCTTTAAACTACAATATATGTATATGTATAGTTAGTATCCTCATTGGAAATGGAAGACTAACATGTAAGAACTGCAGCTGATTTAGTGGCAACAGTAAATGACTTTATGCAGTTGTTACAGTTGGCGCCTCTGTTGCTCCACTGCCCTACCTCCGCAGTTTATCACAAAGTGAAGTGGGACTACTGGCTGATCCTTAGCTTGTGTTTTCACTCACATCAGGACTTCTACAGGGCTGGCCTTTTTTACTTTGGATGCTTGCCCACCACTCTCCTCCAGGAAGAGAAGCCTGAAGAAGCTGACAGGGCATGTTGGCTTCCTCTTGAGGGATTTTCCAAATGCTTATAAGGCATATTTTTGATCCTGGGAAGAAAACCTGAGCCCATCCAAATCTGGCTCCAATGTTATTTTCTCTGGATGCTTTTTTTTTCCTTTTGTTAAATCATTCAGTGTACGTCATGTTTGTTTATATGCCATATCCAAGTTGGTTTAATTCCATCTTTTCTCTGTGGTGCAGAAGGTTAATGGACTGTTATATTGCACGTCACAGTAGGAGCACAGAAAAGAGGCAAATACTTGCCGTATCATTTCAGATTCAGTGGACTCTGCCTCTCAGTTGAAACCTCTAATTGACTCTGAATGTGACAGTCTTGAAAGAACATTGCTTATCACAGAGTCTTTTTTATTATTGTGATAACCGAATTCATTTAACTGAACTTTTTTTTGTCTTTCTGTAGGAAACACACCGCTGCATCTGGCTGTCATGATGGGACACAAAGGTGAGCTATTTTCAATGATTTACCTCAATGTAGTTTATTTTTGTCCCGCTGCTAATGTGGCTTTTCTGAACACACCCCTGCGTGTCTTTTTGCGTGTGTACCTGCTTTATTTGTGTGTTTTTGTGTGCATAATTTGTGTTACGTGTGCGTTTGTCTGGTTGGCACCACCAGACATTTGTCACAGAGCATCACGTAGATCCCAGACAGCATGGTGCTCATGCATGAATAAAGAGACAGTGTGTTTGGGTTTTTGCTCGGTGAAAACAAGGATTGAGCAAGAAAATAAAATCAATTTTCTTTTTAATACATTTATAGAAAATAGTGGAATAGATTTGATTAGTGGGGATTAGATAAAGATGACACAGCAAGAAATACGATCCCCACTGTGGTTTCAGTTTCTTGTTCAGAGAAATGTTCCACCACTGGCTCAATGACTTCAAATCTGGCAAATGAGATAATTAGCTTAGATTATACAATCCATTAACAACTGCACATTATTTGAGTTACTCAGTTTTAGTTTTATGTGACAAAATTGAGACATATGATTCTGATTTTTGGCTTGTTTTACACACACATAATAGAGCACTTTTCTTTTAAACAAAATCCCCTGAAATGTGATGTAAGCTGTGTTTTTGTATATAACACATTCCAGTCAAAAGAGTCAGTTTGACGTATTTGTTGGTTATGTCAGGGTGTATCAAAGCTCTGTAGAAGACTTCACATGAATTTGTTTTTAGCTGAAAGCATGTGCATTAAATATTGATACACTGCCCCTTTAATATCAGAAGGAGACCTAAGAACATGCTTTTTAAAAATTAATCCTTGTTTTTACAGTGGGCTTTCAGAGAAGCATTGGGTTACTCATTTGGCACGTTTCCATTTGTTTAGCAACTGTCTTTCGAGCGCAGGTTTCAATTGATTCCACATTGGCAGAGTTCAAATCCTGCCACCGGAGTAAAGGCCCTGCAGCTGCTTATCGGTGATAGAGACTGTGACAGGGTGAAGTGTAGTGGATGGGATGCTATAGGGTTGATTGGGCTAATGAGGTTGCCCTATCTCCTGCCTGAGCAGCCTCCCGTTCTCCTGGGATGCTCAGACCAGACAGGCTGAAGGCTACAGCATGAGATCATAGTCTGGGTGTGGCTGGCCTGTTGGGATGGAGGGGACAAGGCCCTCTCTGTGTACAGCTGAGTGTCTGTGTTATGTACAAGGCTGGCACTGACTGATATGTATCTGCAGTCCCGTGAATTTGAGTCTCGGCTGTTGAACAGGTGAGGAATACAGTCTAACAAACAGAGCATAGAATATACTGGGTATGTGTTCCTGCAAATGGCAAGAAATAAAACACTGAGGAGTGAGTGTGATTTAAAGTGCAAGTTAAATTAACATTAGTCCAAGAAGAACCATCTGCACAGCAGTGTGCACTTGTGCTTTTTTGAGACACTCAGGCTCTTATGATTATTACAACAGAGCAAAAGCTCATCAAGTCATAATGCATTATCCACACTTATTTTGTAGGAACAACGTATTGTGCCGACTTTCTGCTGCCAGAGCAGCAACACTTCATACACTGCTGCTGTAACTGAAGAATTTCCCAGCCATTCATTAATCTGCCATCTGTTATTTTTCTCATTTTATTGCTTGAAATCTCTTGGACCTCTTCATATATTTTGCCTTGTGTTACCAACACTCCACACACCAAATGTGCACAATTTAAAAATATAAAAATGTTCACATTCAAAAAGATGTAATCAAATCATTTCAGGGTATTTGATGTGAAAATGACTGTGATGTTCCAAGACTCTCAAAACTTGCTTTTTCTTTTCTTTTACTAAAAACATTTTGTCACAACTCGAGAAAAGACGTACAACAGTAAATGTGGTAAAAACTGGAATGTCGAGTCAATAAACCAACCATGGTGCATTTTTCACTGACATAAAAATGCAGGAGGTCCCTGTATGACACATAAATGAAAGTGTGTCCTCAACATGTTCCCTGGAATTTAGGTTCTTAAGAGATTAAACCTTAAAACGTGGTTATACAAACATTTTAGATATGACTCCATGGTTTAAGTTATAAGATTGAGACTTTTTTCTCCCAAGGCTTTGTTTTTGTTGTACCTCTTGAAAGGAATGAAACCCTTCTGTTTTTGTCCAGTAGTTGTTTCATGTATTCCCACTGCTGCATAGATAAAATAATGACTTATTAAGATTTGGTCTTATGAGCACAATATAGTAACTCAGTGAGTGGTAGGTGGCAATTTGTCTGCCTGGCAGGGTTAGTCTTCATTAAAAGGCAAAGTTCCTCATTTGGTCACATTTTTACTTTGAGAGAGGAGTCCAACAAATCAAGAGTGGCAGTAGAAGTCTTTTTAAGTATAGTGATATTAATTTTGTCAGGAGGAAAAAATCACAGTGGTGGTCTTTGCCTCGGAGTTTGTCTAATTTGGTCACTGAGTATGTGATCGATGGCAAGGAAGTGAGTGGAAAAGTTTTTTTACTTATGTACTGGTGCCAGATGAGAACGGGTGGCGATGGCAGGGTTTTTAACAACCCACAGATCCTTTTAACAAACGCTCTATCCGCAGCCAATGCACCAAGTGAAGCATTAGATTAGCACTTTATTTCTCCATCCTCTCTGCCACTCTCATTCCTCTGTTTGAGTAGTAAGTGACTCAAGCAGCACCTCTGTACACCTCCTGCATGTGCAATCAACCCGGAGACCCACAGGGAGACTTCCTTTAATCAATACTTTTACCACTGTGAGGCAGGTCGAATCAAGCAGCCAGCCAAGCTAATGAGTTATGGGCTAAATGTTAATGTATCCACACATCTAATTTCGATTTGACTCAAATGAATGAACTGCTGTTTGATTATTCTTTTCTCGCCTACTGGAAGGAAAATACAACAAATATACCAACCAGAACCGTATACAGTGATAACTGTATTGTATCACAGAAAGCTGAAAAAGGGGCTTCAGCTATTCGTAAATGGGGAAATATATATATATATTTTTAAATATATACTTCCCACTTTTGTGAGTTGATGTCTGCAGAGAAAAAAAAAGGAAAGGAAGATGTAAAGAAAAGAAACTTTGCATTGCAGAAACACCTGCTCATTGTACATTATCCTGTGATTTACCTGGCAACGAAGTGAAGCTGTAAACAAGTCGATATGAAATATTGACTCAAAGATAATATGATTTTAAAAGGAGTGATATTGTTAGCTTAAAAATAGTCCCTCCAATTCCAAAGTTGGTCGTTCTTCCATGGTGATATATTCTTATACAAGCCCACACACAAAGAAAGAATTAACTCTGAACTGAACATTTTAATCACCTTCAAGTTAAAAGATTAGCCTGTTAGCCTGAACTGAACTGAACTGAACTGAAATGTGCTAAACTGCTTTCCATGGATTGATTTGAGATGTGTGACCAGGCCGTCCCTACTGTTGCTTTTGATGTTGGGAATAAATCGCCATTGTGATTGGGTTCTTATAGATCGGAATCAAGTATTTAGTAAAGCTGAGTGATTGACAAGAAGGCTGTAAGGCAATCTTTAATCACATGTAGATTTATGGCATAGTCAACATTTTAAAAACTCTCCAAGCTTGACAGTCCACTCCTTGAACGTTGAGGCGGGCTTAACCAGATGCTAACAGATTCATGGCACAGGACACACATGGCCACGGCTTTTCCCATCCAGGGTTATGTAATGTATATCTGCTAAATGTTGTCATTATTATTACACAAGCATTGGATTTAGCGGGGTGATATATGGGTCGAAGGCCTGAGGGGAGGCTTACATCAGAGAGAGTGCTCAAGCCCTCGACATCAGCCTCTGTTATCAGAAGCGCCATCCCTGTGCCCGTCATGGATCAGACTAATACATAAACACAGAGGTCTGCTCTTTTTGTCTACTGATGTCAGGCTCTTTTTGAGGCACTCAGCACTCTGCATCCACACTTTCATAGCGGCAACATAGCTGCTGCGTTTAATTAATGTGGCTGATATTGGTCAAACCCTCTGATGCAGTCAACGTTTGGAGTGCAGTACTTGAACATGCAGAGCACGCAGAGGAGAATTGGGCTGAAATTTAAAAGAAATCAAACACAGACTCGCCATGAGCCGAGTCTTTGAACCTCAGCTGCTCCCCTCGTGTCGTTACAATGACTCCCCTTTGGCCTGTCTTTGTTCATTTTCTTTGCAGCACTTCCAAAGAACTCTGCACAGCACACAATGAGTGATAGTGTTGCTTTTAATTGTTTCTGTTAGGAATAAAGCCCAAAAGCATCGTTTTTTATATAACCGCACTCATGGGACATCCACACTTCTCTTTGTTGTGTGGACGAAATGTTTAATTAGGTAGAGTTTCAAAATGTATTCCACTCTGTCATAAAGAATGTATGAGCCCCCCGCCTCTTTCTCATTAATAAAACACAGTGAGTATGTAGATTGGGGGTGATGTGGTAGTTTACAGTATTTGACAATGTCTCTGTGCTACACTCTGACTCTGTAATTTAAAGACCTGAGCTTTTTTTCTTTTTTTTTATAGCTTTCATACAGAAACAAGTCTGAACATGAGAGCAGGAACCAGTCTGAATTTGTTCACATGACTAATAGGGTTGACTCAGAGGTTTGCAATGAAGGAGTGTATTGAACGTAGAGCTACTGTGTGGCATTCATCTGCCTAAATAATCATTAAAGGGCTTGTCTAACAGCTATAATAAAGTTCCTTCTCCATCAATGGAAAGCTTCACAAATGCACTCAGCACTCAGCAGCTAGCCTCAGCTTTGTATTGAGCGGTTTGCTGCTCACAGGGCTGTGACTGTGACTGCCTAATGCTGAGGCAGCGAGCTGCACGGACGCCAACTTGATAATGAATGATGTCACGACAAAACTGACAGCCGAGCCGGAACAACAGGCTTCATTTTTGGCTAGCCGTGGTTTGTTGACACAGTGCCCAGAGAGAGAAGGCATTTTTTGTGCTGCACCTACTGCTGATCTGGCCACAGAGGAGCGATGAGACCTGCTGGCTGTTATCCCGTTGTTGGAATACAAGCACAGCTCTGAAGGTTGTCTGTTGTGAAAGTTGAACATTTAACTCTTTACTCTGTCCTCGTTTTACCGCAGTATAGGTCCTGAAGTGGAATGAAGAGTGGTGTGTCGTAACTATAGGTCCCATATGGCTCTCTGGTTAATGGGTCAGCTGTCATCTCAATCCTACACACAATCTGTCCCTCTGTAAAAGCAGGATCGTATTTATATCCTTGATTAGATATGAAAGGAAACTTCTCCAGCAGAGAACAGCCAGGAATTGTTTCAAAATGTACCACACGGCTCAAAGAAGTAGATGTGTGAAAAACGTGTGATCAGATCAAAAGGAGGGTGTTCAGAGAAAGGCAGAAAAGTAAAACAGTGACAGCAACTTTTACTTGATTTCGGTGTGGTCTGTGTTTGTTTCAAATGTCTTACAAAATTACAGCTCAGCATAGTGCAGGCACGCAGTTAAAATTAGTTTCTCTGGTTTGTTTTGGCACCATGGCAACATCAAAGATGGTGACAAGCAGAAGCGTATTAGTTTCAACTTACATAAGTCCTATCAAGACATTGTAAAGCTGTTGTGTTCAAACAGGCATTTCCTGTGCATGTTTGAAACTGGTCATGCACGTCTTTTTCTAGGTGTGAAAGCTTTGTATGGATGTGTGTACGATCGACTCCTCAGAGCTGATTCACCCATGACGTGTCCTCAAATGAAACGGTTTTTTTTGTTTTTAACAGGGCCAGCCCCTTTTTCTGTCAATATGTTTCTCTAATTTGTCTAAAAAAGAAGGCAAGGCAAAAATGATCAAATTAAAACAGTTCCATTCAACTCCAGGCTCCCCTTTAAGACAGGATAATTATTTTTGCTTCAGTTCAAAAGCTAAGTAGGAGTAGCGCTCCATTTGTATTTTTATCTTTTATTGCCTGGCTGAAAATTGTCAGGGTCCCCTCTGTGATAAAGTTAAGGAAGGAAATTAACTGTGAAAGCTTTTTGTCAAACTTTTTATTATTTTTTTTTCAATTACACCCACAATCAAAACTCAAATGTACTTATCAGTGGCCACTCTGCACTTACAAGCAAACAGTTTACAATACTAAAGAGGAGCGGCAGAGCATGTTTTTGTCTTTTGGTCTAGGATGGGACATTGAATAGTTTCAAAACCCACTTCCTTTAGTAGTGGTTCCTCTGAAGTTGCATATTCAGCTTTTGGATGGAAGCATCAATTAGGATTTCAAACAGAAGGTCAAGGGAAAAGGCCACCTCTGATGTTGCTTCGCTGGTTGTCACTGCACCAAAGAATTGCTGATCTTCTTGTAAAGCACACAGAGGTTCACTGCAAGTGCCTTGACTCTAAATGAACCTGTGCGCTAACATTATCCCTAAGCAAACCTGTGCTTTTCCTCAAAAATCTGCCCTGAAGACTAAAACAAACAGAGCTTTGTAATGGAGCGCACACTGAGTCATGTTTGGAGAGCACATATTTATGTAAAGATGTTTCTCCTCTCAAGTGTTGTTTGTGCTCCTGCTGTTTGGTTTGTATACCGTTCACGTGTGTGTTGTTTTCCTTCGTCGTAAAAATAAGTAAAGATCGAACTTTTGTGTACCCTTCTTACAGAGTGTGCCCACCTGCTGCTGGCCCACAATGCACCTGTAAAGGTGAAGAATGCTCAGGGATGGAGCCCACTCGCCGAGGCTATTAGCTATGGAGACCGACAAATGAGTAAGTATCCACCTGAAACAAACTTCACCTCACAGTAACACATAGACATGATGCCAGTCATCGATCTGCCAGTTTGGGTTTTATTTGTTTAAAAACACAGATAAAGGACAAAAACAAGTTCTGACCAACAGATGCAGATCAACAGTTGCCTCTGCACATTCTTCCACACTGCTGCCTCTGAGCGAGGTCATGCTGCTGCCCTGCCTCCTTTGTCCCCTCAGAGTGAGGGGACATTCCTCAAGGCCCTCTGGCTTTGTGCTCTTATGAAAGGCAATTCATTAGATGTTTCTCTCTCTCCTCATAGGCCGATTATGCTCAAGCCTTCGTTTCGCCTGTTTTCCACCCACAGAAACTCCAAACTTTGCCAAAACTGTTTGGAAGTTTAAAAAGAACTATTTTGCAAAAGTAAAAGGGTTATGTCGATCGTTGCACTAGGTCACTTACACTGTAGACATTTTCTTAGCTGAAAGTAATGGAGTATTATTAGCACCTGCAGCCTCATTTTAACAAATGAAATATTTTTCAAAGTGTGCTTGGTCCAGCATTTTTTATTCCCCCTTTTAAGTTTTGTTCAGTTTGGTTAAAACTTGTGGCAGGAATGAGATACCGAATACGAGTATGAAACAGAATCTCAAGACTACAGGCTTGGCTCAGGTGATGAAAGTCTATTGTTTTAATGTTATAAATATATATGTAGTTTATATATATATATTGTCATTACATGGTAACTGTCAAGTTCTAGTATTATACCAGTCCATTGGGGGTGGGAGAAAAAATCGAGACAGCATAGTATTGCGATATTTTGTCTGGTGAGACATCGTATTGTCTCATTTACCAAGTATCTATTTGTCAAATTAATTGCTATTATGAAGTCAAATCTATAATAATGGAAAAAATAATATCAATTTTTTATCCAGTGCGGTTGGCAGAGGTGACATCAAAGAGCAGGAGAAAGTTATTGCAACAAATATATATAAGGTTTGCAAGATGTTCTACACGCAAATAAAATAGAGCGTAAAAAAGACAAAGATAAAGGAAAGACAAATGTTAAATAAGCTAAACAGTTGAAAAAATTGTATTGTATTGCAATATATTGTATCGCAATACTCACGGTATTGCAAAATGTTAAAAATTGCAATAATATCGTATCATGGGACCACTAGTGATTCCCACCCCTACAGCCTTCAAATACATCACTGTGGATCTGATAAATATTTGGACCCATTCTGCTTGACTGTATCTGTAATTCTGCAGATAACAAGCCAAAAGTTACAATGCCCCATTAAGTCATTTTACAATATGGTTTATAGTGAAGCTGAAAGGCAGAGCTGTGCTGAAATCTTTCAAACACACTTAAAGTGTGGGGCTGTTAGGATGAAGATGTGGGGGCTTACTGTGCAGCCACACAGCACCAGCAGGAAGCAGTCATAGTAGGGGGGCAGCTTAAGGTGTCACCATTGACTGCATCCTTTAATTAACTCTCTAATGCCTCTTACTTACCTGACCAGGTTAACAAGTGTTCCTATTAACCTTGACTTAATGGCGCATTAGTTCTCTGCAGTTTGTCTGCGGAGTTGGCAGGTACTCCTTACCTCGTCTAGTCACCATGTGATGCAACTGTATGACACATTTTGTGTTTTGAGTTTTATAAGCACACCTCTCACTTTTTCCACACAAAAAACACTGTATTTTGCTGCTCCAGATGCCAAAATGAAATGTTGTTCCTTTGACACTGCAAATACTGCATTAGCGGCTTGGGCCTGAATTTTGTTGACATGCATTCTGGGAACTTGAGAACATCTCTTACTAAAAAAATGTTGTGTTGAGTCAGAAAGTCCACTATCTAGAGGGCCAGTTCTTGCTGTTGGCTGACCCTCTGTGTGTTCTTCGGTGTTGCTCCACAGTACAGGTCGGTACCTCTGTTGTGACAGCCCAGCCTGGAAATGCTGTGTCTGCAAACCATGAAATGATTACACTTTGTGTTCCCTCTATAAAAGCTAACCTTGCTGCCATTATGACGGTCAGAAACTGACTGTTTTCCCCCCATTCAGTGCAATAAATGTTGAGTTTTTACAGGTTTAGCCCAGCACAGCCCTGCCCAGTCAGATTGAGCTGAGTCAGTGCAAGGCAAGAGTCTGTGAGGGGAGTGAGGTCCTGAGAGCTTTGCTTGACTTTTAGTTCGGCAAATGCTCACTGAGCTTGAGATGTGCTGAAAACTGGAAAAATAATCATAAACTGTCTCGCCTCAGAGAAGTGTATTTCAATAGTTGTCTGTATATCATGGGAATGAGCTGTACCTTTTCTTGGCAAATATTTTCTTGAATGGAGTAAGAAAGGAAAGTTCTGTCACAATGATCTCATTTTGTTATTTTTATCCCCCGTTCTGCACTCATTTCAATTGATGTCACCACACTTTTGTCGTGATCTAACAGATTTGTCACGTGATTTGTGTCACCTACAGCTTTTTCATTTGAAAAAGGAAGAAGACAAAATGTGCCTCAGAAATAGATGGTGTCATTTGTTTCGCTCAATAAGAGCTATTTCTGTCCTCCATACAGCTGGGTTGTCAGTTTCAGGAGCTGCTTTTTAAGGGTGTTGCCGTCGTGTTTTTGTTTATTCATCAGGGAACAGCTTGTTTGCCATTGCTTGCCCGGTTCACGAATTAAAAACCATACATATTCTGACCATTTCATGAATCAAAACTCTGAAAAGAGAAAGTTTTGTCTTTTGATAGATATTTTCCTCATATTATAAAGAGATGAGGGGGAAAAAACATCAGATCTGAGCATTTTTTAGTATCATTCTTACAGTTTTAATGACTTGGTTGAATTGAAAGGTTTGGATCCTTTCTGAGCAGTGTTGCTCGTCCTCAAAACATTTAACCATTCATTTTAAAAGCCGGTTTTAGTTCCTATTCAGACTTTCACAGCTGTCCATCCTGCGTATTTAGTTTTATTGTCATTTAGTTGTCACTGTTTTGACTCCTCTGAAATGTCTTGGAAAATGAGTTGGCCATGGCTCATTAACTTTGAGACTACTGCAAACAGATTGGCCTGCTATCTGTTGTCTGCCTGTTGAACCGTGTACCAGTGTCAGTCCTGACTGCTTACAGATCTATCAGCAATGAGGTCTGGGGCCTAGTCGGTGGATAGAAGCAATTTGTGGGGATTTAAAAGCAAAATTGTCCTGAAAGCGTCCATTTTCATTATTGTGCGGAGGTAACATTAATGAGATCACTCACCTAATTAATGCCAGAAAAGTGCCCTAATCAGTGTCTGGGTGAGTTAGCAGCAGCATGGAGAGTCAGCTCAGGTTAGTGTTAAAGCAGTCAGACTCTCAGCCTGTGTTGGCTGGGTGGTCTGTGTCCAGATGGTGAGATTGTACTTTTTTTCCTTTGGTCCCACTGTGAGGCGGTGAGGATCAGGAGGAGCCCCGTCCAGAGCTTGTCCACACTCATTAGGCAGCGCGGCCACAGAGACACCCATGGTTCTGTGTTTGTGTCTGTGTCTATTGGCGCGTGTGTCATCTTGTTTATCAGTGCGTGCCGGTTCTTTCGTTTGGCCTTGTTTCACCGTCACAGCTCCCTCTGTGCTACCTCACAGGGACCACCACTAAGACAATATGATTAGCATGTTTGTGTATGTCCACTCACCACATGGAGCACAGAAGCTGCCTGCTAATGACGATGCCTTGTGTCCCTAAACCTTTTAGTCATATTGGAATGTGGGGCAGTCTTGGGCGTGCTCGCTAAATATTTTCCGAATTACTTTTTCCATTAGTTTATTAGCGGCACAAGTATGTCATCGTTCATCCCCATCTGGCTTCATCAAAGCACCATAATTGTGTCAGTGGGCGTTGATGCTCCACTCCCTTTATAAACAGTAAATAACGATGGAATAAATGCTGACCAATTTGCTGTGGATCCTCCTTTTTTTCTAGATCCCTTACAGCCAATGAGCTAAATTGCTTTGAATGCTTATTAATGTGACCCACTATGGTTAAAAGACTCCAGTGAGTGTGTCTCTCCCCTAGGTCATTAAGGAGGTTAAAGGCGCAGCTCATTAGCAGGCAGCTCCATATCTGGTAGGCTCCTTCTCTTTGAACTTCCTGGAACGTTTGGATCCCTGCAGGCAGGGTGCAGGGATCGGTGTGATGCAGGCGGGAGTGCCCCATCTGGCCCCAGGAAGTCAGCATATCTCTGTACCTAAATTCAGCCTTACTGTAGACTGCATGATCTTTGCCTTAAGCATGTGTCATGGTAGCTAAGATTTGCATAATGAGGCTGCTCCTGTGATAACAGAGGTGATTTACAGTAAACCCATGAAGGAAATATATGCTCCTGTAAAACTTCAACTTTAACCCTCATACTGACATAATTAGAGCAGCATAATCAGGGCAGTCTCCTCTCTCTTTAGTGCAGCATGATAATTTGTGACCTTAAATAGTGGTTTCAGTTCTTTATATTGTGCTGCAGTAGGTTTGTCAGTTTTTTTAGGTGTGGCTAATGTTTGACTGCTGCCTGTTCACATACTTCCGTCTCTATACAGATGTTTATATTTTATATTTCTTGTGTCATCTAATCATGATTAGAGACAATTTGTCTTCCACGTCATCTAGAGTGGGTTTGGCAAAACATAAAAAACAAGAGGGGTGGGAGAAAAAAAACGACTCACATAAGTATCGGGATTTTTATGTTGTACAATCTTTAAATCGATCTTTATGTTCAACTGCAGCGGGGTGACGCAGCTCAAGTAAGAACATTTATGATGATTACTTCATGGAAATGCAATCAGCGGTGCAAAATGATTAATATGGTGATGATAGTAATGATCATAAATGTTTTGCTATCTCTGTATTGCTATCTGTGGTCTTTTCTAAAGTTGGTAACTAGAAAAGCAAGCAGTCGGCAACATTCATCTCTTGACGGGGTGTCTAACTCTGTGTTACTGTGTGTTTGACCCTAACTTAATTTTTGGCCGGAATATCCCTTTAAGAATAAATCTTAAAAACTGACTTACATGTGATGTGTAATTTTTAGGGAAATATGGTTCCTGGAATAGTCAGTAGACAAATATAATCATTCAACTGTTTTACTGGTGTTAAAAATGCATACTAAAACTCGAGAAAATCGACTATCATAGAATCGCAATTTAAATCGAATCGGCATCCAAAAAAATCATAGAAGAATCTAATCGGGGGAAAACCATATTGTCCCAGCCCTAAGAAACATAGTGTGGATTGAGTTGATGTTATAGTAAATGCAAAAGCTCAATCAGAGAAATTCACAGTCCCCTGTAATGGGAGAATGTGGCAGCTCTATGATAGACTTTTGAACTGATTTCTCTGGGGGTAGGGGATGACCCTCTTCGGTCCTTGCTTATTTTTTCCTCAGCTGTAAAAAGCTCTCTTACTGTTTTTGCTCTGGTCTTACATCTTTCTCTGTGTGTTTCAGTCACGGCACTTCTGAGGAAGCTGAAGCAACAGTCCAGGGAAAGTGTGGAGGACAAGAGGCCCAAGCTGCTGAAAGCCCTAAAAGAAGTAAACTCACTTTTCTGATCTGTTCACATTAACAGTATTTCTGCTGCTGCTGCTGCTCTTCATATCTTCAGTTTTTTTCTCTCTCTCTTCATCAGATCTCCCTACATTTAATTCTACTCACATCTAGCTCTCTTTTCATGTCATCTTTTTTTTTTCCCGACTTTGCAGTCAGCGAAGCGCATACGCACAGAGTCAGCTAAAACAGATCCACTCTCGCAAATAAGCAAAATTTCCTCCCAGACGTGGGTCAAGTTTGTTATTTACAAATTACTGTCATCGCAATAATACAGCAATGCCACAAAGACACCCAGCAGTGTCAACAAGTCAGACTGAAAGATGCAGGGTTTAGGGCTAAATGACACCTCGCAGTTTTGCAGCCGCCTGGCCTGACATCATAAGTGTACACACGCGATGTAAACCGAGCGGAGGCACAGTTATACTTAAGTGTTTGTTATGGCTGTCGGCCTTTGTGTCACGAATTTATCATCCTGTAAGTATTTAGTCATGAGCTGATTGGCTTATATATTTTTATCGTCATTTTATGTGGTCAAAGCTCACTAAAGATTCAGCTTCTTTTAGTACATATACCCCCAGAGTCTTAAAGTTCAAATCGTCTCACATTTGGCCCGGATTGTGTTCGCAACAAGGGTATTCCCTCCCTGGATGACGATGCTGAGGTGTCAGGCATGTGATATTTATTAACACTCTTAAAAGTGATATAGCTTAGAGAAATGAGGATCTCTCACCAGCCTGACATTAGAACCGAAGGCCAGATTGGTAAAATCTGTCCACACCTTCCTGCTTCCTAACAGGATAAGACTAATCAAGGCTTGTCTCATTATGCTTTTGTTGGACATGTTAACCAGGAGACTTTGGTGCTGTATTTTTATTTCATATTCTGCAAAGGACTCCTGCATAGTGTTTGTAAAATTGTTAAGGCTTCTTTTTTTCCAGTGTTGTCTCAGATGAAGATAAAAACAACAGGATAAATGGCCCTTCATTTCACTTTTGTCTTCTGTCTTTGCAGCTCGGAGACTTCTACTTGGAGCTTCACTGGGACTTCCAAAGTTGGGGTGAGTCAGACATCATCTCCTGCTGTCTTACTAGACTTTTGTTATCATTGTCCATCAGGAAGTAAACCAAACTCCAAAAAAATAAAACCTCTCATACTGACAAGAAAATAAGATTATCTGAGTTTCTGTTGACGGACTTTGACGTCAGGAGTCACAGCCTGAGAACAACAACCCTCTTGCTGAACACAAACTGACACTCTGTCTCCCAGTTTGTTAGACAGTGCGTTTAGTGATGACGTCAGCAACATCTGCTGAGACCAGAAGCCGAGTTTGTTCCCCGGTGTCATTTAATGTAACTGTGTGCTGCTGGTAAATAAATACGTCGAGCAGATGATGCGGGACTGCAGATCACATGTTTTCACTCACTGTGGTGCAGCATTTGCTGAGTCTGCTCAAGTCTGACCCCAGTGTGAGCGCCAGGACTGGATTCTGTGAACTCAATGTGTTTGTGAATTATTGACGATGTGGGCAAGATTATGTAATCGAAGCATGGTAGCAGATAAATGTAAACCGGTTGTGTAATCGTACATTTGTAAATGGCAGCTGTCTTAAAGCAGAAGACTTAAGTGTAGTAACAGTGGTCCTAAAATGTCATTGTGTTGGATAGAAAGCCAAACTGTTTAGTGCTTTGTGTCATCCTCAGAGCTTTAAAAATACCTCTTTATATAAGACAGAACAACAAATACCTCCTTGCTCAGTGTGGTTTAACCAAGAGAGGACTGAGTTATTAAAGATTCAGCTGCACAACTTTATCACTTTATGTACCAACTCCAGTCTACAGAGCTATATGCTACCAAGGCTTTGAGGGCGTCAGTGATTTTCATTATTGAGTGTGCTTTCTAAATTTAGACGTTGTTTCACATTTTCTCACTGTTTTGTTTTATGTTGCAGTGCCTTTGCTCTCCAGAATCCTGCCTTCAGACGCCTGCAAGATCTACAAGCAAGGCATCAACATCAGGTAAGTCCCACCTACTAATGCGAACGTGTGATTTCTGCAGGGAGATAACACAGCTTTTTGTTGTTTTTAAAAACTGTTTTTACAGAAGCACATGGTATTTAGGATATATTTATGAATGTGTTATGTTTCCCTGCACATGTCAACCTCCTTCCTCCTTCCATCCTTTGCAGTATTTTCCTCCCTATCCATTCACTCAGCCTTGTGTGGTTAACACGGGTGTGTAATCAGAGCCTGACATATTGATGAAGCTGAGCAGCAGTGTCGATCTTTTACTTCTGTGTTTCTATTTCAATCAGAGCATCACTGAAGGACAGTTAAAAGAGTATATTCTGCTTCCTCTTCCTCTCACAAAAGGCATCAGCAAAATTGGTCACACTCTGACTTATGCTGACAAAACGGTGAACCTGCAGTGAGAATCCAGTGAGAATGCTGCGTAAAATCGTCCTGTGGGGGAAAAAAGCTAACTCCAGGCTCTCACAGATGGGGCATATGCACTCGTTGACACGGAGATATGAGTTTTATAACAGGGTCACATATGCAACAAACAAGCTCAGAGCCTTACTAAGTACTTACACAGATTCATCTGGAATTGGATGTGATAAAATAATTACTCTCTCTTTGAAAAATCAGAGCTGAGAGTATACAATAGTTGTGTACTGCTCCTGCATGAGATATCCCTGATGTGGAACTCTTCATTATTCTCTGAAACTGCTCCTGGCTGTCTCATTTGGTATTCAAAATGTCCGCTTATTATCCCCGAGCTGCAGGGAGAAACAGAGAGAAAGAGTGTGTAAGAAACAAAAAAAAACTGTCACAGCATGTTCATTTACATTCTCCTGCTACGATGTGTCAGGCCTGTCATACCTACCCACAGCACCTACCACTTTGTGTCTGTCCTCACAAACACATTAGCGATTCTCTTTGCTGTCACGCCTTATTTCAGGACTACTCACTTTCACGAAGTTCAAAAAAAGATTCTTGAAACACTTTGTTGGTCTGCCATGGCAATGATTACCATAAACATTGTCTCTAAACTTTCAGGGCAAAGGTGTGACGCTCATTGCGCTTTTTTTCACTCCCACTTTTCTGTGCAAGTGTCTGATGTTAAACTTCATGCAACCCTATTGCTGTCTTACTATTTCCTGTTTTACTATCAATTATACATCAACAATGCCAACTCTATATGGGCTTCTTTTCTGTGTGTACAGATTGGACACCACCTTAATAGACTTCACAGACATGAAGTGTCAGCGTGGTGACCTGAGTTTCATCTTCAATGGCAATGCCATCCCCTCAGAGTCTTTTGTTGTGCTGGACAACGAGCAGAAAGTCTACCAGCGGATACACCATGAGGTAAGTTAGACACTTGCTAATATTACATGGACTAAAGACTCCCTAGCATCCCCTGGTGTTTGAAACATGCATCACCAACAACACTTGGAGCTTCAACTGAAAATAACTGAATCACATAATGATCAGTCAGTGATTTGATTTATTTATATGCAATAACTTTCTTAACTCAATTTTTTATCTATGAAACATCTGGAAATTGCTTCACTGTTTCTCAGAAATGTGCAGATGCCTGATTTATTACAACCAACTGTTCTGAAGTTAAACGTGTACATGAGACAAAAAACTGAGCTAAAACTAGGAGACTAGTGTTATTTTTGCCTCAAAATGTCCATAAGGGAGGCTTATGATCTTGAAATACCTGCATTTTTGGATAATTGACCTAATTTTTTTTAACTTTTTTATTCAAGAGAATAATAGATTGCCACTTATCCTGATGCCAAAGGTTATGCTTTTTTCAAAGCCAAACCCAGAACAGTAAAACTAAACTCAGATCAGGTTTGATGGTATTAATATTGCAGCAATATTTGTGTTCAGTTTTTACTGTTATTAAGAATTCAAAATTTGACTGTGAATGTATGTCTGCACATTTTTCTCCTGACAATTTCTTTTTTCAGCTACACCGAAATCCTTCATCATTAGAACCTCCTAAACAAAAATCTTCAATGACTGACATTTCCTTAACTAACTAGACTGAGTGTGTTTTACCAAATAACCTTGGGGAAAACTTTACAGCTTTGCAAACTCGGAGACATAACTACATGAATTAGATGCCCCAATGTTTGATTAAATGATGCAACTTTTATCTAAATGCTCTGGGAAAATCTGTGTTTAAGGTGGTTTTCACATGTGGAGCCCTGAATGATCGCAGAAATTCTTTACTCTCAAAAAGATACAGCACCCCCTCTAATCTGTGTCGATTCATTGATTGTTTCTAACAATGGTTTGTATTTTCAGGAGTCAGAGATGGAGACAGAAGAAGAAGTTGATATTCTGATGAGCAGCGACGTGTACTCCGCCACACTCTCCACCAAGTCCATCACCTTCTCCAGAGCACAAACTGGCTGGCTGTTCAGAGAAGACAAGACGGTTGGTCTTTGTTGTTGTTGTTGATCAATAGATGTTGTTATAATTATGATTTCTATCATCACCGCTGTTCAAGGTCAGCTGTGGGTCACAGTGTTTGACTTGTAAAAGAATATTGATACCTGTATTTTTTAGCTTGTTTACGACTGTCAACAACCCAGATGGATCTACCATTGTCCTGACCTTTTCATGTTCTGCAGTCTTGTTTTGTATTATAAATCAGGTGGATGTGACACTCTTCCTTTGGCGTCTCTCTCTGAGGGGACTTATCTATCTTTTTCCTGTACTCCCTTAGGAGCGTGTGGGAAACTTCCTGGCTGACTTCTACTCTGTCAACGGCTTGGTGCTCGAGTCCAGAAAGAGAAGGGAGCATCTGAGTGAGGAGGACATCTTGAGGAACAAAGCCATCATGGAGAGCCTGAGCAAAGGAGGGAACCTCATAGAGCAGAATTTCGAGGTGAGCCGGGCATCGAATACACATGAGTGTCACTTGTTATTCAGCAGCAGTGATGCGAGTAAGAAGAGAGAGAGAGCTGTTCTATGATTGAATCAAATTAACAGCTTCCCGGATCATCACACGTGATGTGGTTACAAGGTTTATAGGGCCTCATGGAGCATCATATCCCTAACATCCTGCTATGGATTGTTACAGAGCACACATGGATGCTGAAACCATGATATGACACAGGAGAAGATAATGTTTTTATGCACTGTAGCTCAGTCTTGTATTTTCAATCTGTACATCATAAGTGAGTCAAGTTTCTTAAAACTAAAAGAAAATAGTTTGGAAACTATGAAACAAAAGGAACAAAAATCACTGACAGAAAATGTCTTTATTTATATAACTGACATAGAGAATGGTCTGCTTTCTTTTTCGTATTCATACCATTGGCTGTCTTTGTAATATATTGAAGTCATACTTGTTTGGATGCCTCTGTGTGACTGTTTGGCCAATCAGTGATCAGTTCTGCAAACCAGGACCAAATAGTTCCTCGGTTTTCTGACTGTACAAGTAGAGCAAGAACTCTTTAAGACTTAAAACTATCCTGCATGAGCCTCACATAAACTTTAGCTTCATTTTTTATTCTCTTGTTCGAAAGTGAAGTCCTCCTTTTGGGATAATTGTTCTGTCTGTGCTGATGATTATTTGTGACCAGTCTGTTCATGTCATGTGGGTTAAACGTTGGTTAAACTTGGTTCGCTGCCTTCTTGGAGGTTTTCTTTGTAGAAAACATAAAAAAAAATTGATGGCAAGTGACGCGCAGCTGTACAGTCACAGCAACTATCCAAGTTTCAAGGCATTCTGTGACTCCAAAGAGAAAGCACTGCTCTGTGGATGAATACCTGTGTACTTATACCTGCAGCATAACCACCAGTCCAGCCCTGAAACTGTCCTGTCTCGCTGGAACCTTGGGGTAGGACATGACTCTCAGCCTAAATAAACCTCACAGTTCCCACTACCTTATCTGTCCAAAGATAAATCCTGTAGAAACAGCATGGACCTCCTGCCAGACTCTGTCAGTCAGCTCTGCATGGTTTATTGAGAAATTCCTGTCTGACTTCCCTCCATGTTGCTTTTAATGATGTTTTATTCATTACAGACATGGAATTAAAACAACCTCTCCTCTCTGTCACTGCTACTGTACTGTATGTGAGATAGGTCCACCACTCCCCTTGTCCACCATGCATGGGTGTTCAGTCCGAGCACTGCCACCCTGTGGTGAAAGCTGCAAAGCTGCACTTTATCCACAGAGATGGTTCTCCCTCTCACCATTCCCCTTATCATAGTATGTTCCAGAGTTTGCCTCCCGAGCCTTTGTCTAAACATTTAGCATAGAGGCAGCCGCACAGTGAAGACAAAGCCCTGTAGCAGTCAATAGATGTTTTGTGTCGACTCTCTTATGTTCTGTGGCGGGGCTTTGTCCCATCGGTGTCCGCGGTGTCTCTCACTCTGTTTGCACTTGTTTAAATCAGTGCACACTCATCTTGACATTGAACCAGCTGTGTTTCAGAGGGTATCCATGTGGACAACCCAGAGGGGGAATGATACATGGAGGTTGGTAAGAGGAAAGTAAGCAGCTGTGGTGACGTAGCCGTGTTTACCACAGTGAGGGGGAGCAGTTTTGCTCCCCGCCCGTGGACATAGGAAAGTGTGGGGGGAGGAATTCGAAAAGGGCTCGACACTATTGATCACATGGATGAAGGCTAAAACCCCTGGTGCCATGGAATGATAAAGGGGCGGGACTGGCATACCAGCAGGCCAGGGCCTCAGCTCTGGCGTGTGTACTCTGTCCTCGTCACAACAACACGCCAGAGCTGATACACGCAGCGTGAGAGAGAGTGTACTTCACAAGGCCACAGTCCACAGTGAAAACATTAAAAACATTTCTGTCATGGCTGCAGTGTTAGTGGGGATGAGGATGTTGTATTCATTTTTATTCGCAGTGAAAACAGTTGACTCTTGGCACAGCCGGCGTCTCGTCTGCTACTACATTTATCCACATTATTCTGCCCTAGTTAACCATATTTAACCATAGCTTTCAGATAGAGGTCAGCTGATGTTCTGTTCAAACTTTGGCAAGATCAGCAGCTTAATTTCAGGAGAACTTCTGTCTAAGGGGGCGCAGGATGGGACTCATCCCTGTTCGTTTTCAGGACCTTAGGGGACAGATAGCAGCTTAAAATAAATTGTCACCCAATGAGGACTCTCGGTTTATTCAGGAAGGCCAAGCTGAGTCATTTTCCTGAGGATGTTTGGATGATTTTTAATGAGGGGCAAAGTGTTCCCTCCAAAACACCCAGATACAGAGAAGAAGGTCTCATTTAATGTTGCTTTGCCACGGGGTAGACTCTCAGTGGATTGTAGAGAATGATCGCTGATGTAAATAAATTGAATAGACCTTTTGTTCTTGAATCTTCCTGTAAAGAAGAGTCAAACTGATTTCACTCCCAATGCTGACTGACTGATAATCTTTTGGCGACAGAAAACAAAGAGCCGAGTTGTTCAGCCTCAGTTTGTAAAGCTGAGGTGACCTGAGGAGGAATAGACAAAAGCTTTTCAGTGTGAATGCAAAAAGGGGTCAAGAGGAAATCACTGCCGTCACTAACCTGTAGTCATTCAGTTTAAAGGCTTGTGTCTCTGAGAGGCTTAGTAGGCCAAACAGAGGTAACTTAGTGTTTGGTGATGTGACAGGGCCCTCTAGTGGCTGAGCTCGTGCATGTCATATCACAGATGGAGCACAGATATACTTGGTAGATTATCCTCAATGTTACCCATTTTGTTTTGTCTGTCATCTCTGTGAACTTGGAACTTTGTTGTCTATGTGGATAAGTTTGTAAGTTTTGTGATGATTTAGTCAACCTTGAATCTTTCTTGTCTTTGTGTCCTCTTCCAGCCGGTGCGGCGGCAGTCTCTGACTCCTCCTTCACCTAACACTATATCCTGGGAAGAATACATCACTGCTGACAATGGAAAGTAGGTGTCTGTGTTAATGTAAACTTCCTTTTTGAGCTTTTACAGGCTTAACTTTTAAAGGAAAATGTCACAGTAATAGATATATCAGGCTTGAAAATTGAGCAACAGTTGAGTCTTATTAAAAAGATAAGAAACTGATTGAAACTGCTCACTCATGTCAGTACTTAGCACATTGTTTGTTGATACCAATGTCTGACTGTATATTTATAATCTATCTTGTTTCATCAATATTCACTCTCTGATGATAGGAAATGAGTTCAATGAGGGTAACTGTTTCCATAGAAGCTCATGAACCCATCTTTTCAAGCGGCTCCACTTCATCTGGCAAATTTCTGCATAAAACTGTTAACTCTTTCTAACATGATTTACACTCTAACAGTTTGAGGGTTCGTTTTTTTTTTCTCTGCAGAGCTCCTCATCTAGGGAGAGAGCTGGTCTGCAAAGAGAGCAAGAAAAACTTCAAAGCCACGATAGCCATGAGTCAAGACTTCCCTCTGGGCATTGAATCGTAAGTCTTCACTTTAAGTTGGAATCCACGCTGATTTTTTTAAAAGCAGGCTGCTAAAATCCCTCCTGGCATGTGCACAGTGGTGATAAGACAGGATGTGACTTCATTTGGCTAAGTAATAAAAAACGATTTTGTGTGTGTAGGAGTTAATAATTCCCTTCATAAAAGTGCTTTGTTTCTTGTGTTTCTGCTTTGAAAAGCTTTGAACTCATTTTTAAATTACATAATCTCTGGTTGTTTGTGTGTTGACAGAGTGTTACGAGGACACTTGGCTAGAAAGCTTTGAATTTTTACCTGTTGATTCAAGTTAAAGATTAAGAAATCTACAAAATGCTTTAAAATCCAAGATTGATGTTCTTTAACCAGCAATTGTCATTGTATGTATTTCAGCTTTAAGTTCATTTGTTTCCAGCCTTTATCTTGTCCCTTTGTGTTTCAGGTTATTGAACGTTCTTGAGGTCATTGCACCCTTCAAGCACTTTAATAAACTCAGGGAGTTTGTTCAGATGAAGCTCCCCCCTGGCTTTCCTGTCAAACTAGGTAAGCAGATATGTTACAAACAACCACACCATGTAAGACTGATTAACAAAACACTCTATGTGCGATTAGTAAACCTAAAGCTGTTTTGGAAGTACAAAACCCAATGAAGCTTGGAAGATGTGTGAATCGTAAATAAAAATGGAATACAATGATTTGCAAATCCTTTTCAACCCATATTCAATTGAATATACTACAAAGACAACATATTTAAACTATATTTAAACACATTTATCACAATTTCCCAACTTCAATGGAATTGGGTTTTGTATTTTGCAGTGTTTCCATTTTTTTCTCCTCCTTCAAAATAAAAGGAAAAATCCTGCAGAGATGAGTTGGAAGCATGCCTCACTTGTTATTCTGCTCATGTCCATTTGCAGACATCCCTGTCTTTCCTACGATCACAGCCACCGTGACCTTTCAGGAGTTCCGCTATGATGAGTTCGATCAGTCCATTTTTACCATTCCCAACGACTACAAGGAAGACCCCAGCCGCTTCCCAGACCTTTAACCCCTGACACTAGAAGAGGAAATATAGGCAACATGATACTATGAAACAACTTTTAAAGTCTGTGTGTGTTGGGGGGCAGCTTTGGGGGTCTTATCCCTCTGCATAACGGGAAACAAGACTTCTAATTCGGCAAGACAAAAATTCTTCATCTTCATCATCAGAGTGGCAGTGGCAGAGGGGTCGACATCTCTTTCGCACAAATAAGTGTTTTGCAGTGTACTGTTGCAGGGTCTTACTCTTAGTTTCAAATTTGGTGATGGAGCCGAGGCAGTGAGTGCAAATATCTTGTATCTGAGAGCCTGTAAATCTCGTCAGTGAAAGGGCATTGAGGATTAAAGGAGTAACAGCAGAGCAGGTGAGTTCTCTGCATCTGGAGTTCAGACAGGCAGCCAGTTTCAGTGATGCTTTGTATGTAAGTATGTAAGTAATGTTTATAAAGGGAACGTCTTCTACCTGACCTGTAGTAAAGCACTGACATTACCGTGTGACACATTTTGGGAGGAATTCCACCAAAACTGACTTTTAAAGTTATTTTTCACACTTTTGTAGGGTTTAAAAAGAATAAGTTTCCGTTTAGAGGTTTTAAATCTATAAAATGTTGGATTGTACATGTACACCTATTACACAGGTGTGGAGAGAGGAACATTCACAGTTTTTTACTCTTATTATTTACCATTATTAAATTCAGAATTGCTTCCAAAGATGTTCAGCAAAGAGTTCACAAAGCTGTTGTTCAGTTTTGAAAAATGATAAGTGAAGCGGTCTCTTTTGTAGATTAAAAATCTAAAGACCTGTTTTTGCTGAGTTCCATTTAAAAGCTGCACATTGTAAGATTGTGTGTGTGTGTGCGCGCGTGTGTGTGTGTTTTAACATTAAATTTCATGGGCATGGAGTAGCATCACTGAAACTCTGGGCACTATTCAGATCCACTACAGTGACTCCACTGACTTCAGAGACACTTACTTAGTGATAGTCAGCCCGAAACCCTGCATTTGAATTGTAATGGTTTTATTTGGGGCATTTCGAGAAACGCTGCAAATCTTCTGGTACCACAGTTTGCTCTTTCTTTGTATGAGTGGTAGCAAGTATACCGGTATGTTAAAACATGTATGCCTTTTGTTTCTTACTTAGTAACCCTTGTAAACTATGTAACAAACTGTACAATCCATCTTGAAGAAGAAACCTGGGGATTGATAACTAAGTAGAAAATGGAGAGTGAATAAATGATTACATGTTCATGCCATTTTTACACGTAACAAGAACCAGGCTTTCCCTGCACAGTATGTAAATACAGCTTTGTACTTTCTGTTGTCTTTTTGTGTGCTGTGAGTTCAAGATGTCCTCTACGGGACAGGAGGAGAGTTAGGGATTTTTTTGTTTATGTCACGTCAGTTTATTTTAATTTGAGGGTTTCTTGTTTGTAACATGTTGGCAGTAGCTATTTTGTACATACTTGTAATGTTTTAAAGAAACAATGAATCTCTTAATTCTCGTGTCATTCTTTAACCAAATTTACTGGATTATTAACCTATAAACTAACATCAGATGTGTAAAAGTGTAAAGCACAGGGATAAAAGTGGTTAAGTGTCTATTTGAGAGTGCAAAAGTCAAACTCTAAAGGGTTTTTCTTTTAAAGCTGCTACTTTAGTTCATTTACTGTATATTCATCTATTCATTTACTGGAGATGCTCATGCAGTCTCAAAATAACTACGTAAATAAGGGGATCCAGTTTGTATAGCTAGCTTATGTTCATAATCAATGTGAGTGTGACAAAATACACATATTTTTGACATCATAAAAGAGCAGCTAGCATCGCCTCACAAGCTTCATTATAATTTTGCTCCTTTTACTTTTAATTGTCCACTTCGTTATGGAGGGAATTCACCATTCAATTATATAACTCAAAAATAAAAACAAATGCAACTGTTGTATAAGTCTGCATTATTTTCATACAATATGTACCAAAAAAAAAAAAACATCTGCATATCTAGTTGACTTTGTACTGCTGGTTTTTAACTCTGCGAAGGAGCCGGTGCGCAAAGTATCAAATAAATAAAAAGACAGTTTTTTCCAATAGTAACCAAAAACACTAAAGTAGCGCCTGCTCTCATGCCTACACTAATAACCAAATTTTCATCGGTGCGAGGTTTCCTCTGAGCAGCATAATCATAGAGGACAACTCATTGGCTTCTATACACACAGCCAGCTGTGGCTGTGATGCGCAGGAACCGTCTGCAAAGTGCAATACTGTAAATAGATACTTAACAAATATTCAATAACGTTATCAAAGCTTTGTGAAATGTCATAAAATCTCCAGACCACAATCGATCCTTGCTAGTTTTACTAAAATACATGGTAAGAATTTATATATAGGTACATCACTTTAATATAATTGTATGCATTTTCTATCCCTGTAATATTTGCACAATAAATGGTAGGTGTCACTTTTATCAAAAAACAATCCACAGACGATAATTGTGTAGCCTTACCCCTATCCAAAACTCCTCTTTGCAGGACTGCAAAAGTGAATATAAACAATCTGTTATGATGTAATTTGTTAAAAATAGTATTTACGAGCCAAAAATTTGAACAATTGATGCTTGAGGAGCCCTTACACATTTGCCAAGGAAATGCAGTTTATCACATTACTACTTTAATTAATCAAAATTACATACAATGCAGCAAATCAGACTTTTTTTCTATTAGAGAAAGGTTGTAATAGAGTTTAAAAGAAGCTTATTTATGTGTGTTGTTCCTTTTTTGGACTTTACACCCTCAGACTTTGCAGCTACTACTCATCAACACTAGTTTTATTGATTAAAAAAAATAGTCCTACAAGTTAAGAGTAAACAATTTTGTCAAACTAAAGGTTGTAATACTTCCAACAGAAGCTCATTCATGTGACTTTACCAAATTATATCAGTTCAACAACACAATGAATGTAAAAACAACTGGCCCTGAATATGGGCACTTTTGTGGGGTCTAGAGTTTGTTCTGGCCTTTTTTCAGTTGCCAGGAAAAAAGGTATAAAACTTACCACTACAGATACTCTCAATACTGCTGAATGTTTGTGTTGAAGTAGTTTTCTCCCAATGACTGAATAAGATGCATTTCGACAAAATTTTATTAGTTTCCTTTGGAAAACCAAATGCAGACAAAGTATCATCGCAACAACACATTTCAATCTACATTGTACACTCACATAGGGATGTAAATAGGAGGGTCTGCTCAAACATAACCGGGTGCCTTACAATTAAAACGAAAAAGAAAGGAAAACAGCCAAACCATGAAGTACACTAAGTCAGTGCTAAGTGGTGAGTGACTAACAGTCTGGAGGAGGAGACGAATATCCTGACAAGTAAAATATTTACAACATTTTACTGAAAAATCGAGTATCCTACTGTCAGGTGAGTGAATTTGAACACAAAGGCAACAAAAAGAAAAACAAAAAACAAAAACAATCTTATAAAAGTACAGCAATGGCATTTAAAATCATGTCATTCATATTTCAGACAGTATTCTATTTTACAAAAAAAGGGACTTCTCCTTTACCCGTCCCCAACGCTTCTACAGTTAAGACAACAAATCTTGTTAACTTTGAGTGATCAGGCACAGACATGTTGTGGCCTATATTAAAAATACAAAAGGGTACAGTGGGGAGAGAACACGGTCAGGCTCTTAGTCGCTCATTTCCATGTCTTCCTGGTGGTGATCGTCTCCATTCAACTTCGACTTTTTGGGGATTTGGACCTCAGATCGCTCCATTTCCTCCGGGCCTTTTGGGGACGAGACAGAGTCAGAGTCGCTCTTCCTCTCATCGTCGTCTTCCTCTACTTCTTTTTCACTGTCATAGCCTTGCTCCTCCTCATCATAATCCCGAGTCACCTGTAAAGACAGCAGGGGTGAAAAAAGAGGTGTCAAAAGGTTAGGCTGGTAAAATTCTCATATTGGCTTACTGTGAGGAAGTTTTCTTTGTCCGTGCGTTCATAACACACCTTGACGTCTCCTTTCTCACTATCTGATTTGCGGTCCCGATCTCGTTCCTTGTCTTTGCTCCTCTTCTTCTTACTGGTGGAGCGTTCTCTTTCATCTCTGCTCCGGTCCCTGTCCTCCCTCCTGTCTCTATCACGGTCCTTTTCACGATCCTTGTCCTTCTTTTTCTCTTTCTTGTGCCTGGAAATATGACAAACGTTTTGTTAAATTGTTAAACTTCAAAATGGTTAGGCCATGTACCCAATACAGCCATCTCAATGTGTCATTGTACTCAGAGTGGAAAGCTCAAAAACTATGTTTTACTGCCGTGTCTCAGGCCTTAAGTCACATATACACTGACAATCGGATAAGCAATTACAAAGCCAAAGGATTTTCCCTATTTGCCGTATTTCGAGCTAGATTGAGAATTGGATTGACAATAAATTGCCAGATTATCAACATTTAGATGAGTGTGACTTCACAAGAACATGGCTGCTTTGGAAATATGGTCAATTGCATACAGAGTGACTGTGACCACTCACCGTCTGGGTGAAGGAGACCTAGACAACCTCCTCTTGGGGGACCGGGACGCAGTGCGGCTTCGCCTGTGCCTCCTACAACACAGAGTAGTTTAATAATCAGTTATAATAATGGAAGTTTTTTCATCCGTGTTACTGCAGTGATTTACTACCATTTGCTTTTAACACGGAGAATCACATTCATTGAATGAAGTGAGTTGCCCTGAGGTGACAGGTATGTTTGCCTTTCTGACAGCCTCACTATGGAATCACACACTGCGCTCACACCCACTCACCGACTGATACTTCGAGACCTCCTGGCACTGCTGTAGCTCTTAGGAGGCGTCTTGGACCTCTTCTTAGACTTTTCCTCCTTCCTCCTGTCCCTGATTGAGACACAGCAAAAATAAATGAGAAAAGCAAGCGTCAGCACTGATCAGGAAACAGAGAAAACTTTGATTTACTCAGCAAGGACTAACTTCAAATCTCAGCATGAACAACATGCCAAAGCAAACCAAGAGATCACATCTATTTTGACCCTCAAGAAAATGATGGAGACAATGACCTTGATCTACTGCGACGGCCTCTATCCCGGGAGTGGGACCTCCTCCTTCGAGGACTCTTGGACCTCCTCCTACTCCTTGAATGGGACCTTCGACGAGACCTGCTCCTTGATCGTCTGAGAGCAATGAGGAATAGCACATTTAAAAACACAGCTAACATGACAATCTAACAAGACATTTCTTGATCACATTTGCTGGTCAACAAACAAACCGTCATGTATGTGTCTCTACCTGTGTCTTGAGCGAGATCTAGAGCGTCTGCGCCGCGACCGTGAACGCGAGCGGGAATGCTTGCGTTTGTCATCCTTCTTATCTGCAAGAACAATGTGTACAGTTAGATATAAAGCACTTAGAGCCTGCTTCGGGCTAACATAATGAGGAACAGCATTCATAGCAATACAACTGCAATCTTGAGACTTCTTGCTCCACACGGATTACTCACTTCCTGGTTCAATGGCTGCAGAAATGAGAGACTGGGCCTCTCGGACTCTCTTCATGGCCTCTTCAATCTCCTTATTAGAAGCATCCGTCTTCAGCCCTGGATTCAGGTTCAGTCCAGCCGCTAATGGATTCAACCTGCAAATGCCACGAATTATTTAGACCTCTCTAAAAAAGACTTTTCTCTTTTTGAGCTCAGTAGGATCCATGACCTAAATGAAAACTTTCTTACTTGGGGTCCATTGACTGCATGAGCTTCAGAAAGTCCGTAGATAGAGCCTTGAATACAGGGAAGATTTTTCTGTTGTTAGTGCATTTGATTTTAACACTATGACACTATTAACAATGACGACTCTCTTGCTCACCTGGGGGTTCATGTTTGGTCCTGGCATTCCCATGGCAGCCATTTGCTCCATGTTGGGAGCCCCAAGACCTCCAAACGGTGTCCCACCCATCTAAAGCCACAAAGGAAAAGCAAAGGAAAGTCAGTAGGAATAGTTTTGAAATACTAACCACTAAGAATACTAAGCCACCAAGAATCTGATTAGTGTCAAGAGGTATTTAGGTATAAGTTCCAACAAAATCTGTGTTTACTATCCCTTGAAGATTTTAAGTATCAAAACTTAAGGTCCTTACACACCGGGGCCGACGCGAATATAGAACGCAAAATTACAAAATAGTCGGAGGTGAATTTTGACACGCCTGACTATACACATCAAGCCTGATGTAACTTTGTGACTTTTGGGGGGGGGGGGATCCAGGGGGAAGACTTTTCCCGGGGAAAGTCCCGCCTCCTTCACCTCTGATTGGCTAGAAAAGCTGGAAACATCATCACACGCTCAAGCCAAACTGTCAGCACTTATAGCCAATCAGAGGAGGAGGGCGGGACCTTCCCTTACCATCCTACAGCATCCCGGGTGGAAGCGAGAGAAAAAAAATAGTCTACTTCAACTTCAAGTGATGGCGAATTGGTAGTGGACACACAGTATGCGAAAACTTTGGAAAAATCGGCCGTGATCCGAAAAAAACGTTGCTGATGTGAATGCTTGCATAGACAGGATACGACAGGACAGGATACGGGTTCGGGAAAAAATTGACATCCGAAATAATCGCACAACAAAAACGGTCCAGATATGAATGGCCCTTAAAGGCCACTGTCACTTCACTCACAAGATGGGTGATCAAAGAAGCATTTCAATCTGGACTCTGACTGCTAGATATTGCCAATTACTCCCACTGTACCCTAGAGAAGAATTAAGTACAAGACTTACTGTTGCCAGAGGATTGGGTGTTGGAAGAAGCCCCCCACCAGGCATCATTCCTGCCACGGCATTGGCTGGAGCCAGCAGCGACATAGCTTTAGATTCATCAGGAATGACTCCTGGAGAGAGACAGCAACATTTCAGTATGTGCTCCGAGTGAACATCGACTTAACACTCAGACAAGACTTGCAGACAAGCCACCTCAGTCTAACTACTCTGCAGTGAAAAAAAATAATCAGAATCCACTGTTTGTCTTGTCTGTAAATCTTGATCCCTCACATTTTTTTTTTTTTTTTTTGTGAAAGTATGATTGATTGTAGGATTAGCATCTATGAGTTTAAAAGTCACAATACACACTGTGTTCAACACTGCCAAGATTTTATCACCTGTACTTGTTTTTTAAGTCATGAACCAAACGTAAGCAAGCACAGCCAGTTGTCCCGTGGGATGTGCTCTCAACTTTCATTAGATGTTTTATGAACAAGCGACTCGCGCCGGCTGCTTCGCTATAAAGCACACAAAAACATTGAGATACAGAAAACAAGTTCATGATTTGGGTGTAGACACAAGGGTACATTTCAACATCACTTACCATTACCAACACAAAAAAAATTAAAGAAAAAAAACAAAAAACAGAAAAGGTCTGGTCATATTACCTTTTCTGAGCTTTTGTTGGTGGTTACTTTACACAATCCCACCACAAAAAAAAAAAATACTTACTTTGCAACCAGAAAATGTACTTCTAAGAACTACTGCTCTGCTGGATTTTAGCCAATAGTTTATCACTACACAATGCCAAAGATAACTGAACTAAACAGTGCATAGTTCATGACTATAGCAAGCAAAATCTGTGATAACGTCATGAAAAATGTGCCCAAAGCTGAAGAAAAACCAAACAGTACAATCAAAGGGAAAATCTTATGGAGATGATCATCCATGGTTGTGCAATCTGAAAACAGGCTAATTTTGTAATCTGACATTTTACAGTTTACAAAGGGGAGAGAGAGAGAGAGAGAGAGAGAGAGAGAGGGAGAGAGAGAGGGGGAGAGAGAGACATACACACATGCGCGCACACACACACACACACAACAGAAAGGACACTTGAGAAACAGGATAAGGCTGCAGAAGACAAAACTGTTGGTGGCATTTTCAGCAGGGCCTGGTATATAGGGCTGGCTGAACCAGGAAAAAGAACTGTAAAACACAACAACAAAAGAAACACCACTGTTAAACGTGAGAGTCACTCAACTCTTTCAGAGTCATGTGTGGAGAGGGTCAATAAAAAACATTTTACTGCAACAGCAAGCAGAAGCTTCAACTACTGTATCTCTTGAGTGTTAGTGACAATTTGGAAATACAAATGCACTGTGTAAAGAATACAAGGCTTTGGCACATGAAGCAGGTCGACGCCAAAGGCATTGTGTTTACGGTGATTAATGACCAAATTATTTGCTAATTAGCTTCCACCACATCTGCTCAGTGAAAGTGTAGATGATGGCACACACCTTCACATCTACTCTAGCATGCACAGCTGATTAGTTCATCTATCCTGCATGCTCTGTGCTTGGTGTAGGGATGTCCCGAACAGGTTTCTACTCATCTGAACCCTGATCCTGTATTTATATTTTGGACTTACACAAGGGAAACCTCACACCAACATGTAGTTTAATAATCAGTTAGACACTTTTGGTAGGTTTAGTGAACCGCTCTGCTTATAGAAAAAAGACAAACTCATTACAGTCACAGAACATCCATGCAAGTGTTTCCATGTATTCAGCTAATGAAACCCACCCTGAGGTTCTTGTGGACTTTCAAGACTGTACTTTGTCTAATACCTAGGGTGTAGGGTCCTAAAAAATCCCGGATCACGGAACTGAACATTAAAAACGGAATTCAATATAAATGCGGAATATCACGGAAAATGATGAAATTTTACGTAAATAAAAGAAAAAAGGATTAAAAAGGAACATATCCCTCCGGAAAATGCTCCGGGGGGTCACTTATGCTGCGCCTGAGACCCCAGCTAAGTTGTCTAAGAACTTACGAAACATCGATATTTTTTTTCGAACCCGTATCCTGTTTACATCAGCGACGTTTTCCTGTCCTGCGATATTGCGGCATTTAAACTACAAACTACGTGGCAGAGCAGTTATTATGTGTCAGGCGATCAAATGTTCTGCAAATACTGTCAACATACTGTTTACTGGACCCGTAAAGACACCTGTGAGGACCACATGAAGAGTGACAAACACTTGAGGAAAAAGGAGAAACACCATGCTGCAGCTAAGCAATTTTTCATGCACTTTTGTTAAAAATATTGTTGAAAGGAAATAAAATGCCAGCAAGCATTCAAGTTTTCAGCTACCACTAAATGAACTGTCTGTATTTCATTACTTTATATAGTGGTTAAGGGTTAAATTTGCATAAAAACCTAAAAAAAAACGAATTCTCAAAAGATTATAACCCCAAAAAAAACTAAAATAACTAAAATGGGAAAATTAAAACGGAATTTGAGAAAAAATAAAACAGATTTTATAGGGCCCTAAGTGTGGGTCACTGTGATCTGCAGCATCTGTTAGGGTGGGTCAACCTACATCTGGAGTCGATTTCTACTGGTGTCCCACACAAACGCACAAAATATTTCAGTCCAGGCGTGTCACTGTGGTTCTGTTGTGTAGAAAAATCAACCATGAAGATAAACAGAACAAGTTCGTAACTTGTTAAGAGATATTTGGTGTTTTCTCTCTTTACTGCATGCTGTTAGTGTGGAAAGTCTGAACCCAAACTCAATCACATGAAACGTCTCATGCAGAAAGGGTCACTCCGAATCTGACAAACCCAGAGTCCAAAAGTATAAACAAAGGATCAGAAGAGGCTCAATTTAAGCAGATAACGGCGAATTAAAACCGTACTCGACTTTGATGCATTTTGAGCAGATCTGCTCAGGGGCATCCCTAGTTTGGTGCGTAGCTACTAATCAACAATTTCATTTGACAAATTATGAAAATCCTTCAAACATGAGAGGACTTGAGATTGCCTTGCACCCTCTCCCTTAAATGCCCTCATTTGTCTTAAGAGTTGTGTGGCTATTGTTTCTAAAATAATGCCTTGAACAGAGAGAAAAAAAGGAGAGAGTTAATATTTTACTGCAGAACAAGAGAAGGGGGGCTTGCAAGCCTGGTGCCATATTTTTTTCTAATCTCCTGATGGCAGCAGAGGACCACTTTCAGCCAGCAAGGAAGGGGCTCTCTGCAAATGACTTGTCCACTATGAAAACCACAACACAAATAACAGAGAGAGAGGTTTACAGCTAGATTGTAAGACATGGACACAAATGTACATTTTCCCTTTTTACATACCTAGAACTGCCAAGCACTGAAAAGCTTAGCCAATTTTGCTTGGTCAGAAAAACACTCACAGTGGCTCATATAGTGTTTGCATTTTAATTTTAAAGTAATCTAGACAAAGTAATGTATGTTTAGAGTTAGCCATGTGAGTGGACAAGAGTAAAAAAAAGACACCCACCTTCAGCAAAAGGGACCACGATCAAGGCTCTGTCCACGAAGACGGTGTTCGTCAGGTGTTGGGAAACTCCCACCGACTCAGACTCAAGGAACTTTACAAAACAGACACGTGAAGTCACAGGCAAGGGAGAGTCACTGGAAAAAAATACAGATATGTTGTGCAAAGAATACAAAACAAACAAGGAGACCCAACATGCCTTCTTCAAAATGATTTGAAAGAGAGTTTTCTGTCACCAGGAAGAACTGAGTTAGTAGAGGATTTTGGGATAGAAGATCTAGAAGTGGTGCAACGGATCAGAGTTGGTCTGTGATTTGTTTGGACTACCCCCCTGTGGTTCAGATTGCGTGTGATATGTGGATCTATGAAAAACTGAGCATTAACATATACAGGTAGCTTTCTGTAAGCTATTTGCCTCAGATTCAAACTAATATGAACATTAGAAAGTTGCTCATCTGTGTTATAGCTCTGCCACGGCACTCCAGGGGTGTAAATGAGGGGAGGCGGGCTTCAGTGTTGAATTAGCTGAACAATTAAACACTAGAAGAATCATCCAGGAAAACACTACAAGCGGCATTGTAACGCCTGTCACAGGGGCTGCTTGTTTATCGCCAAAGGGAGTGTTTGCTTCATTCACCAGCAGAGTGATAATTTAATCTGGATTATCTCTTTGGGGGGGATCACAAAGTAGCAGAATCAAAAGTGAAAGTAACAAATGACTAGAGGAAGAAGTGAAAGGGGCAGTTCTCTGTTCAGCCTACTAAAACTGTAATACATGGTACACTGGGCTGGTCCTCTCTTCCTCCAGGCTGCTCATTACAAAAAAAGTGCAGCTTCACTTCTGCAAACACTGCAGTCACAGTGAGAGCAGGAACAAAAACTATGCATCGTAAAATCTCTTAGTGCAAGCAACATGAGCATTACGTTCTCTGAGCCCCAGCTATACCAGACCATGACCAATTCATGTGACCTGCACAGACACAAATTCACATGCATACAGGTGATGACTAGACTACAAGTCGACCCCTGAATTGATTTTTTCATTTGCAAGTTTCTTAATCTTTTAATTCAAATGCAATATTGAAATAGTAATTGAGATAATTCTTTGTTGAATGAGGCTGTGGATGGTTCTTGTAGAGTAACACTGGTGGAGAGCTCCACTATTAAAATGCGTGGAGACACATGATTCTTTGTGCCTTCACGTGCACAGTTAGAATCATGGCAAAGGAAAGAAAGGCTGTATGACTCTCTTTTTTATTTCCTCTATGTGTAAACTAGAGCGAACCATGACTCTTAGTTTGTAAACAAAACTGATCCATGACATTTGTGATCCGTTGCAATTCTACAATCTAGTTCAGACTATGATCTCGAACTCTTGTTTGGTCTAAAGTCTCCAACAGACTCAAACTGACAGTATACTGAAAATTAAAGATCAGTTTTATTACACTGTGAAAAGTACTTTCATAGTCATGTTGCCTGTTGGTGAAGTTATGATATTTAATAGTAACTAAGTTGTTAGAGTCCTTGACATTTCCTACCTGCCCAGAAGCCAGGTGTAATTCAGTAGAGAAAAATACAAAGCAGAGAACAATTATTTCTGACTGTGCTCAACACTTATATAGTAATGGATTATATCATAGATGTGATTGATGTAGGACAGCTAAGAGTTCACAGCCAGGAACTCAGTTTGAAAAAAAAGGTGTCAACAGAATCCAGAACTTTAAGATCGTGCTGTGATCGTGATGTCAAGATTGTACACTTTGTTTTTTCTTTAAGAATTAAATTAATGATGTGAAAGAAAGGGAGACTACCACTTGCTCTGTTCATTTTAAATTAGAATTGATGTTCTTCTAAAATATAATCCCGTACTTAGATGTGAGGATTTATTAGGGGTGGGAGAAAAAAATCGATCACATTAGTATCACGATTTTTTGTTTTACAATATTTGAATCAATTTTATGTTCAAAAATCGATGTTTTTTTTTTTTCAAATTTAAGAATTTATCTTAAAAACTGACTTACTTTGACTGACTTTGGGAAATATCGTTTATAGAATAGTCATCCAACTGTTTTACTGGTGGTGGAATATTGAGGAAATTGACAATATCGTAGAATCGCAATTTTAAATCGAATTGGCATCAGAAAAATCGTAGAACTCGTCCCTGCCCTAGGATTAATGTAAGACAACATGAGCATCTAATTCACAGTTTCCCATCCAGGTATCGAGATAAAACTCAAGATAAACCAGATCCTGATCCAAACACACTAAACTTCGACTTCTCCAACCTGGACGAGGGTATCATGAGACTAGAGAATGAAAAGGGCTATTTCACTGCTTTTTCACACTCCTAACATGTGTCCTAAATTATTCCACTAGGGCAGCGGTTTTCAACTGGTGGGTCCCGACCCAAAAGTGGGTACACGTTCTGGATGGGTCACGAACAGTCGGACAAAAAAGTTAACATTTGATGCGATATTTATTAGATATTTGATATTTTTTGCACACGCAACTTCAGTAGTTGTCGTCCTCATGTTGTCCCCTTCGTGTGCTTTGAAATGCACGTTACTCAATAAAACAAGTGGATTTTTGTGAAAGATTAGAGTCTTTAAAGATTTTTTTATATAAAAATTAAATTTGCTTGGTTTGAATTTTATAAAAGTGGATCGCGACTTAAGGACCATGGGAAATTGTGGGTCCGGGGGTCAGACCAGTTGAGAACCACTGCACTAGGGCTTCTTACTCAACACAGTTTCAGGTTTGTGAAGACTTTTTCTATTCTTAAAAATACAAGAAAGTTTTTTTCCCCACTTTTGGTTAAGGTCAAAGTTTTAGAAATCTGAAAATGGATTTTAAGATGTCTAAAGACTCTCTTTGATAGTCATGTCCAGATGTTGGCTAAATATACACCGGTTAAATGTAGTTGTATACCCTTCCCCGTCACAGCCAATGAGCCCATTGATTAAGAGTGTATCCTAGAGTGTTTAATGTGAATCTTCATTCATTTAAAACACACCAAATACGAGTAAATTACATTCAACATCTCTTTTCTGTGGTCATGCCGAGGGGTCTGACTGCTCCTACGTTCACTCGGCGCCAACGGACGTTAGCATTAGCACGAGCGTGCCCGTCAATGAGGCCTACACCACAAGGCCTCGAGAGGACCCCGGCTTGAGCAAGGTAAGAAAACGTCCTTAAAAGTTGAAATTTCACAATACTCACTCTGGTGGAAACAGCTTAAGCTCCTCTATGTTCCCGAGGAATCCGAACAGCGTCCTCATTTGTTCGGACGTGGTGCTCGGGGAGACGTTTGTCACCTGGATGACGTGCGTGTTGGAATTCATTTTCGCGAGTACTAATCAAGCTAGCAACGCGGCTAAAGGGACAAAAACACGACCTAGCAAACGTTTAACATGAAAACAGAAATCAGACGAATAGAAAAGTCAACATCGTTCCTGTTGGCAGAAGGCGGTTCAAAACTGCTGCGGACAAAAGGACGACGACTGCGAACAGGCAGTAACAATGCTACCGTCAAAATGTCGCGAGGCACGGATGAGGCGTTCAGGGACAGTATGTGAGGTTATAGATATATCTTCCTCCTCTTCTTTAAAGGCTGGCGTTTAAGTTCTTTGCTGCCATAACAATGTTTAAGTGTGGACCAGAGTAACCCCCTCAAGAATTTGTCCTATTAATCATCTATTTTTAATATCAGAATCATCCATAACTTGAGAAATTACAACACTTTTCAAAAGATTAATGGTCATATGCCATTAGGTGAGAGTGGAGTACATTGAGCCACCCCCTGTTGCTTGGAAATGGTGAAAGAAATTGATCATTTGACCAAATATTTAGGAGATGGGCATCAATTCATGGAGTCTGTGAAGGTTAGAAGCACATGGGTGAAGGGGTTAAAAATTTATCAACAAAAAAAAAAAAAACTCTTGAAAGTGAATTTAGTCTGTCATAAGTTTTATTAGAATTGTGTTCAGACCAAAAAAGATCATTTTAAATTTGTTTAATTCATGAATTGTGGTATCTATGAGCTACAACATGATGTCAAAAACCTAGCATAAAAGTCCACCATTTTAGCTTAGAGGACTAATAAAGTCATAATAGTACTTCTGGGGTAAGTTGAGCCATCAAGTCAGTGCTTTTGACCCATAATTTGTTGGATTTAATGCTACCTTTCCAGATTTTCCAATAGGAATGATCACTGCCTCTTTCCACCCAGAAAAGAATTTTCCCACTCCCTATACTTGGTTGTGTAAACCTGGTAGCTTTATAGGCTATAACCATTGGGTGCTTTAACATGATATAACATGTCTCACTTTTTCCAGAGGATGTTTTGCCAAATCTTAATATTAGCTTCTTTTTTTCTTTCATCATGAATGGAGCATCAATTGCATATTTCTATCTTTCAAGGATAGGCTGATCTTGTCACTGCCCTGCCTCTCTTGCTTTTTCAGATTAAGCTGTTGTAACTATAAATATGAACAAGTATGTTTGCAATAATGTCTGCTTTCTCCCCATCAGAAACTGCTGCTTCCTCTTCCATTTTTAGAACTGTATGACTTCTGAGTCATTTCTTCTAACCTGAACTCATCTGTTACCAAGCTGTCAAATGCAAAGTAAAAAAAGAAGCGAGTGTTCACAGCCAAGTCAAAGCTATTGGTTACTTATTCATGCCACTCACCTTAATCAATAAGCAACTTACCACTCCAATATCTATGAAACAATTGGAGAGATAGGACTAAGACTTTTCCGACACTTTGACCTGTGAAACTTTATCCAGTCATTGGCTTAATTTTTAGATATTTGAAAATAATTGCACTTTATTTAAAAAAGAAAATAATAAACTTATTGTTATCCAAAATGGAGACAGTTGAAGGAAAAGCAATGCAACCATTATATCTTTTTATGATACAAAATAATGACAGATAAGAATAAACATTTGAACCCTCTACAGCCCTGTCGAACTTCTTATTCATTTCCAAGGTAAATGACTTTAAGTAAGATTTTGAAAAAGCTGACATTTTTCTGCAGCCCTTGAAGGCAGCACGGCTACATACTGCCTTCTAGAAGTGGGTGGGGTTAAGATTGTTGCGTCACAGTTTGGTGTTGCTAGGCTGCTAGCTTGTGGTGTACTCTTATACAAATGTTCTGCAGTTTTTCTTATCAGTATCACGAGGCTGTAATAATTTAAGATCTATAAGCATGTGCAAAGATGCATCGGTGTTTAAAACAACAGCTTTACTTTGTGTATGGATTAAACAAGTAGCGTCGGAGAGCAACTCAACAACTCACGTCTAGGCGCAAAGTCGTCCCGTGCTAACGTAGCATCTTCGGTGCGAGCTGGTATGTCAACAGGTCACTGCACTTTTTCTACAGTTTAATATCTTGATTAGATGACATTTCGTGACAGTTATGTGTAATTTTGCATTCAGCGGAACGTTAGATAAGAGGTTTATGAGCTCTAATGTTTAATAGGGTGGATGATCTTGCAAGCAATGGAAGTATAATCCCCGATCAAGCTGTCGAGATGGATCTGCAGAGCTCAAGCACCCGAGACAGGCAAGTGGATGCACTTATGTCTCTTTCCTGCAAATGTTGATTATTCATGTGCATGCTTAGAAGGACGGATTTTGAGCTTTTTAGGCGTCAGTGTTTGAGATGCGATATTGGCGGGAAATGTTTTAAAAGACCTTCTTGCAGACCTTTAAGAAACCTATGACCCCCATTTACAAGTCAAAAAAGTAGGGGAGAGTGGGGTAGGATGAGCCATTTTTCATATTTCGGATCACTACATCAAGGCAATCATAGTCTTGTCTCTAACTAGTGTATCTGTATATATTTCACGATGTTGTGCATCCCTGCAAACCAACAGAATGAGCGTTAACATAACTGTCATGATAATGTAGCATGCCAAAAAAAGTGGTCTCCTATGGTCAACTTACCCCATACCCCTGCTAACCCCCCACCCCCCAACTCTCCCCCCCAGCCCTCTCTAACTTTCTCTCTCCCTTAATAAGTCACTTTTTCACATTCATGTGTATTTTTATCTATTATTCTCTATTCAACTGGTACAATAATTCTTTTTATTATTATTGTATATAACTGCTTAAAAGCTGTTTTGTAAAAAGCCATTTTAACATGAGAATGCCTTTAAGTGATTCAGAACATTTACAGCTGTATTCTGGAAAAGAAAGTAACACATTCCAACAATCTGAACTGAAACTCTGATCCTCTCATCAGACTTCTTTACTTTCTCATAAACAAATTTAAAATGATGTTTTTTGGTCTGAACACAGTTCTAATAAAACTTTTGACATGTTTCTTGTAAATAAATTTCTAAACCCTTCACCCATGAGCTTCTAACCTTTACAGACTCCATGAATTGATGCCCGTCTCCTAAATATTTGGTCACATGATCAATTTCTTTTACCATTTCCAAGCAACAGGGGGTGGCTCAACTTACCCCACTCTCCCCAATGCCAGAGATAACAAGCAAAACTTTTAGATACTTTACATTCATGTTTCTTTTACCCCTATATTATTAAATACAGAAGCATTTACCATTTTATTCATGTGTTTAAATTGCCGTGTTAGGATCTGTCTGGGAGCAATGATTGTAAAAATAGCTCTGTCTCTTACAGGGGAGTGTTTGCAGCCAAAGAAACTGTCCATTAACTAGAAGGCCAGAAAATCATGAATGTGTTCCTGTGTCCAACCACATTCTCATGACACCAGCAGGGAGATATGGGCTTCTTAAGACTGGTTGCCAGAATCATGGGTAGGATCAGCACTTTCAGATCCTATCAGTTTTTGCTGCTCCTGGCTGCTGCGCTGGCAGTCGTAGCATTTTACTACTTTGGCTCAGAGAGGCAGAACTTCTCAAGCACCACAAAGAGGATCAAGCAGAGCCAGGCTAGCCACAACAGCAACAGGAACGACGCAGACCTCACCGTGGACACCAAGCTCATACACTCCGAGGAGCAAGGAGGAGAGGAGCGAGATGCAGATGGAGAGAGTGAGGGGTATATGTCCAGAGGAGGGGAGAGTGGAGCTGTTGACCAACATTACCACATTCTCATGATGTTCACCAAAGTGGACAAGAGCCGCAGCCTGCAGGACAAGTTCAGAGTGGCCATGTTGTCTATGGTTAAACATGCACGCTTTCTCGAAGGAGAAGTGTTGGTGCTTCATTTTGTGAGCGACCCAGCCAGCAAAGAACTTGGAGAGAGGATGCTGCAAGAATTTCTCTTTGATGCAACATTTAAGTATGAGGTAAGTTATCAAAATTTTCAACCTAATGGTGGTTTCTTAAAACCAGCTGACTTAGCTGTTTTGAAAACTTTGAAATGTATATTTTGATCTTCATAAAAAGCAAAGGTCAAAATCTCCTTATGATTGACTAGAGTCAAGTGTATAATGCAGCTGTGGAGTAAAATTAGATTACTTTTATATCTTCACAGTGAATTAGTGCCAGATAAGCACGTCTGTAAGACCATTTCGTCTTTGTTGCTCTTGTCTTACGTTTGAATTGTACAGCTGTGTCTAATGGGCTTGTGCAAACTAAGTCACTGTGTCTTGCAGAATTAAGCTGCAGATACAGATGCAGAAGGGAATTCATAAACAAACTTATGGCGACAGTTTAACACTAAAAGACTTTTTTTTTTACTAACTATACATTGGCAAAAATGTCTTGAATTACTCATTTGAGTCAGAGTGTTTTTGTTTAGACACTTAAAAAATGATTGCTTTCTTTGCTGTATGGCAAAATTTAGAGTATTTCATTGTCTAAAGTCAAAGTATGCTGACCTGGAATTCAGGCAGGTTCCCTTTGAAGTCAAACACAAGGGGGCAGTGTTGCTCTACGAAAACACCTCCTCACAACAGGGTCTCTTCCTCTCCAGCTGTGGTCTCTCTGCCAAAACAGTCAGTTATGTCCCCTCTCTGTTGCTCTTTCTGTTGCATGCAGTGTCCTGCCCCCATTTCTTCTCTTTTTCTATAATCACAGAGCACATGCCAAAAAGTTTTTGCATTTATTATGCCCTAACAAATCCACCTTAACAAGTGCGCCTCCTGTTTCATCACATAAAACATCTGGTGTGATATCCCTGTGTTAGCTCAGGCAGATCCCCCTGCCCAAATAAGATTTGTTAGGGGTTTGCTCGGCTTGACTTCTTGGCACTTTGAAGTGTTTTCTTGATTTTACTGCTCAGTCATTTCACTCCCTGCTACCACTGAACTTGAAGTCTTATTAGAGCCATGCTGAAATTGCTAATAGGATGTCTAATGTTACCATTCAGTGATGGAAAGAGTCCTTAGACCTGCTTAACTAATGTTAATGATCAATTGTACGAGTACATAGCGTGAAAGAGGACCAGGTAAGGTCTCTTTCTCAGAAACACAGCCCATAGACACTACCCTTCCTTGAATGTATGACTCAGCCAACACCCCGTATATGACCATCAAAGATAGATAGAAGTGTACATTTGGTGCAATCAAGGCATCGCACACACACACACATCTAAACATTTTTGTTACAAGAAACACATTAACACAGCTTACTGGACTACTGCAACCTTTAGTACTCAGCTGATAGATGATTTAATACTACTATATCAGTGACAAAGTTATTAAAAAATTCTCAACATCTTGCACCAGCATAAAAAAAATCATAGCTCTCTTTTACAGCTGTGTGTTCCTTTTTAAAATCAAATTCACATGCTTCAACTGTGCCTGCAGGCTATATAACCAGTGGTTTGATCATTTTCATGGTCTTATTCCAGGCCAGTGCTTCTCAGCATCATAAACTGGGATAATGAATCATGGAATAATGTTCTGCATCTGCTGGCGCAAGTACAGCCACAGTCTCTTCCCTCTCTGCACACAAGCACAGAAGCTGAGCCAAAGTTACAGATGGGGACGGGGACTCCCTGGGGCCTGACAGAGACATGTTTATGAGTGTGCAGACATCCCTTTTTCCTCATCCTAAGTGTCATTCCTTTTTCATAATTAATCTTAAAGTAGCACGAGTGTAAGACTGCCGTTATGCAAGAACGTTGGCCTGCATGACTCCTCATCAGTGTTTAATTCGATAAACAGCCTGTGGAGTCTCACGGCCTGGAGGCTGTGCTCATTACTGCTAACAACTTTCACACGGTCCTTATGAGACAACATGCGGAAGTCCTTCTACACTCAAGTCATTAGTGGGTGAGATGTTTCACTTTTATATTCTTCCTGTTAGTCCAAACATCAGCAGTGTGCTATAAAGAACTAATGAAGAGACCTCAATTAAGTAATGTGTTTTTATTTGACCAAGCCTTACACTTATACTTGAGTTGCTACTGAGAGGCTGTTTTATGAGAATTTCACAACCTGACAGTTACAACAAGTAAATCTACCTGGGGCCGAGATACCCATTATGTAAATCCTACCATCCTTTTTCAAGGGAAGTGGTTACGTCTTCACATCCGTATGGGGAACCTGTGGTTTATGTCATACAGACAGACACTCTGTGTTAGGTATCTGCACAGACTGTACTGTTCAGATCTTTTTTTATACACCCTGATAAGATGAGACCAGTCATGAGACTGATAACCCACACTGTCTTGCATTTACAGTAAATAACAACCATTCTGTCAAGATGTAGAATTAGAAGTCTTACACAATCTGTTTCAATGCCTCTAGCAAATTTTTTCAATCACAAACAAAACTTTTTAAATCATATGTCGGTAGATTGATGCATGATAACAAACCCAGAGGTAAAGGCAGACCAGCAGTGGAGCCAAAGTAGCTCATGTATTAATTTATTGATTTTGTCAACGATCAGTGAAATAAAACACTGTTACAGGTAATCGGCCAAAGACAAAATACCGGCACCCGTATCGGCCAAAAACAAAAGTTTATTATCAGCAAATAAAAACCCTTGCAACTACATTTTAATGCAACCTATGTTGACACAACAAGTTTAAAAGGATGAGTTAACTGCTGCAAGTATTTGTCCCCAGGATTTGACCATTTCTCATAACAGTGGTTTACGTGCCATTACATCACATTACCAACCATCCAAAATAGCACTGGTCCCACAAACAATTGAGGGCTTACCTTAATCTGCCAGGAGGTTTGCCTGTTGAAGCACATAAATCTGATTTATAATCTCAGCCATACTGTGGAGGTTTAATCTGAGGTCTCTAACAAGCCCTCCCTGGTGCCAGCCTAAACCAGAGACGGCAGCTTCTCCAGGGTTTGTCCTCAGCCATCATATTTTTTTCCTTTCTCCCACAGGGACGCTTTAATGATAATGAGTGCTTACTACATTAGAAAAATCCTCTTTTAGTAATCTGTAGAAATAACCGGCGTGCGTGAGCTGAGCAGACCCTCTGCCTTACAGCTGTGGAAAGATTCCAGGTCAGGAGCAGCACAGGAAGATGGTGCTTAAAGAAATTTCAGTTATAGATCAGCATGACAGTTTGTAAACATCATCTGGTGTCATGTTTTCTGTCCAAGCCTTTCAATGACTCAGGCAGTGTAATGCAAAGATTTATTAAACCCTATATCTGGTTGTGTCCTTTTTAAGACCATATAGTACTTTTTGTGGAAAGTAAAAGATTAATTAAGTTGATGAATGAGGTAAGTATTTGTATGCAGTGAAGTGCAAACAAATCAGTCCACTTTTCAGCAAAACTGCCTAACCATGTTTCATGTGGTTGGTTTTCCCTCTGCATATTTTTTAGGATGCAGAAATAGTCATGGATGAGTTTTTTTGGGGAAAATAAATATCAAATATAACATTGACACTATTGAATATCCATCCATAACCACATACCATCCATCCAAGCGTCTACATCTAGACGCACAGACTTGTATTAAAGTAGGTGTGCCATCACAAAGTTCTCATAATATGTGCACAAAGTTTGCATTTCACAGCTCGACAAGTATTAATGTTGGTGTCCTTTCCCGGTCCCACTGTGTTCATCACCCACCCAGGTGTTATTCCACGATGTGGAGGCTCTCACGCAGAAGCTGTACCCAATTGTAGAGGCCATGCAGCAGCACTTCAGCTCCGGCTCAGGGGCTTACTACAGTGACGCTATCTTCTTCCTGTCAGTTGCCATGCATCACATCATGCCTGAAAGTAAGAAATTCTTTTTCCCTCACGAATTAGCCTTTTGTTAACTTAAGGGAGATAAACTGTGCCAATGTCACATATTTATTTATGCATATTTTCTCTCTTGCCATGGGCTCCACATATGCTTTATATAAGATAATCAGTGTTTGGCCTCTGAGACCAAATGGGTTGATGGAAATCTTTATGAGCTCTGTGAATTAATTTCTTTACATTTCCTTCATTATTTAATGATCGATTGAAGCAAGATATAGATTTTATGAACTAAAAAAGAAAATAGGTCAATGCTCAGTCTTTACTGTGTAAGAAGGACCCTGTCTTTTAACATAAATGTTATGGCAGGTTAGTGTATTTTAAAATGTGTTATTGGAACTGTAGCAATAATTTTGGGTTAAAATTTAGATGCATCACTTTCTGTTGGGAGGAATTACGCAGAGCAGGTATCAGATTTTGATTTGGAAAATAGAAAATTTAATGTTTGAGTTGTTAAACTTCTTCATTTACATTGGTGTGCCTCATTGTCCTGTCCCAAAAAATACATGTATTTTTTTTACATACTTAAAGTCACTCTGTGCAGATTTAAGCCCAGTATTCTGCTTTGAGTCTGTGACAAACCATGTTTTATATTCACTCAGAAGCTCTCTACTCTGTGCTGGCGCTGCTGGAGCCCAGCTGGAGCAGGCAGTATGGGCAGGTATCTAACAGACACGTGGCTGGCTGCTAAAGCCCTGCAGAGAGAAGAGGGAAGGATCTCTTGGGTCACTGCTGCCCACATTAGTGCCCCCTGTGTCGATGTTGACCGATGGCAGCCATCTCCTCCGCTGCGCACTGTTGTGGTTCACTTCAGTAGACGTGCAGCATGGGGTGACAGACCACAAATTAGATAAAGTTATGGTCTTTAGGAGAATCAATATTAGTCACCAGAGGCACACATTTGATTTGACACCTGAGGTCTCAGTGTCGCAGACAGCAGGATCCTAGCACATATAAACTGTAACTCGAAAAGAGGGCACAACAGGTACAATGTTAGGTCATGTTTCTGCTTGGAAGTGCATTTATCTGTGATACAAGAAATAGGGTTTGACACAGAATAAAGAGAGTGTTTTTCTCAGTCACTTAGATATTTTCAAAAGCATGGCAGTTTTGGAAATAAATTGTATATGATGGTAGGGGCCCTGAGTTACAAGCTCCTTGGCATCTTTTAAAGGCTTGATAACCTATGTGCTCAAATTGAAAGTTCTCTACAACACACATACACAATTTATCATACTAGCTATTTATCGGGGAGCAAAAATGAGAAATTGTGGGAAAAAAACATGCTCAGTGATATATAAAAGACTTTTGTTGATAGTTGTTGTCATTCAGCTGTCAACACTTAAAAGTTGTTTATTTTGTCTCAGTTTTAAATACATTACCTGTTTTCCTTTTTGACATGGAGGTGTTTGTCTGTGCCCTTGAAACGCTTATTGATCAGCCACATGTGCCTCCTGTCTAAACCATTGCACACGTCTATTCAAAGAACACTTTTATCTATAAAGGGCATTTTGAGGTTGCTTAACAGGGAGAGTAGGGGGTAGCCTGGTGGTCAAACCTCCTCTGGTATTATTTCCTTTAAATCATCCTGCTCTGCTTAAACTACTTTATAAATCTCTTTTCACTCATTCAGCCTCACCGCAGATGCAGAACATCCTTATGAATAATGGTACAATAAAATTAAAAGGGTATGGTGGTTATAAAAATGGAAAAAAATAATAAAAATAAAAAATAGCAGTAATAATTAATGTAAAAAAACATCGACATCAGGATCAGTGTGATTTTAAACATTGGCATCAGCCATGATTTTTACATTTTCTGCATCATGACTGATGCATGCATTGCGTCTATCCATTCATCATCCGTCTGATCATCCATCCATCCATCCATCCATCCATCCATCCATCCGTCTCCCCCCAGTCTTTCTTTCATTGACTTTAATATCCTTCCAATCAGCCCTTTTTAAATCTCCTGCATCTGTTTACCCACCAATCCATCCATCCATCTATCAATCAACCAATGTCCATTCCCCCATCTATTCATTCACCCACCCCATCTCCCCTCTTTTCATCCATCCATCCATCCATCCATCCATCCCTCAACCAATGTCCATTCCCCCATCTATCCATTCACCCACTCCATCTCCCCTCTTTCCATCCATCCATCCATCTATCCATCCATTCATCCATCTATCCATCAACCCATCGTCCATTCCCCCATCTATCCATTCACCCACTCCTTCTTCCATCCATCCATCATTCAACCAATGTCCATTCCCCATCTATCCATTCACCCACTCCTTCTTCCCTCTTTTCATCCAACCATCCATCCATCCATCCCTCCAGACCTCCACCCATCCATTTCTTCATTCCCTCCACTTTGTTGAGTAAGAAGTGTTTTTAATTCTGTCCAAATACTTCATCAATTATTGTTCTGTTTAAAAAAACAATAATGTGTTGTAATTGTTTGGAGTTTAATAACATTTTTGGTCCCTGGTAAAACTTTGAGGGGGAAACGTACACCAGCTTTTATTTTCTGTAGGTGGAGTGCAGATGTCTTACCCTTTCAAAAACTTTGACATTAACCATAGGTTTTCCAGTCAGCACTTGGACATTTTTCTGTTCTTGTTCAGTTTAGCTTTAAAGAGTCCATTTGATGTTTATGTTATAAACTCATGCTAATTGTGATTGAAGGGGACTGTTGAATAAGCTTAAGCTTTACGACCAAAGTGTAAGCAGTGAGTGGATTCTTATTTAACTCCACACGTCCTATGAGAAACAACAGAAGGGATCACTGATAGGGTTCCTAAGAAACATTGTTTTTGTCAGTGGAGAGCTGTTCCATGTTATGTATCCTCTCATGAGGTTTCAACATGCTGAGACTTGAGTCTCTCCTTAAACTGCAACCTCTATTTTCCAGCCTTGAATAGAAGTGCCATTAGTGATGTGTGAAGAGCTCTGCCATAGTGAGAGAAACGCCACATGGAAGTGTCTCCACATAGCTTCATTATTGAGTGTTGCAGGATTACACAGCAAAAAGATGCCGTAAATGCTGATAATTTTAAAGCTTGGTGTTAAGTGAAATAAAAAGTAGAATCAGTAAAATCGTATTTGCTCTGTAATTTCAATATTTGATAGCAGTTTATATGCAGTAACCAAAATCAGACTTAAGATTTCTCTCTTACCTCCTACCCCTTTTCTCCAGAGCTTATAACATACAGGTTTGAGCTCTGTCCCCCCATCCAATATGGAAAAAACTTGTTTGAATATGACTGGGTTATATGACAGGATTATGATGGTTGTTTTTTTAAGAAAGGGTAAAAAAAAAAAAAAAAAAAGGTGGAAAGAATCAGAATCCGAAATTTGAAATGACAGTAAACTGCAATTGAACATAAACTCTGTGTTTTGCATTAGTTGTGTTGTGTTAGTCTTCCAGCAGGAAAACTCTAGACTTTGGATGTTGAGTCAGATAAGGAGAATGAAAATGAATCTCAAGTGATCCCTTTTAACGGAGCAGGGTGTTTTCCAGTCAGTTTTGTTCAAGTAGACAACAGTGACCCCTTTTATATATGGGTTTTAAGTGCTCACATCAAGACTGACATTAGTCCTTAATGAGGCTGACCTACTTTCTTTCTGAAGATAATGCGATAACAGTGTGTGTGTTGTTTTGATGCTGTGGCTGAGTTGAGGTTTGGTCAAACAGGGCTGCTCGATCTGACCGTAACCTGAGGCGAGTTATAAGCCACCCTAACAGCATTACTCCTGCAATAAAATGTCAGCACACACACACACACACACACACACACACACACACACACACACACACACACACACACACACACACACACACACACACACACACACACACACACACACATTTCTGATCAAGACTAATTTGAACCGTGTTTGAAATTAGGTAGCTTAACCATACAGAAGATCAGGCCTGAGACCACAAGACGTCATTTCTGACATGTTCGCTTGCTGGTTGAACAGGCCGGTTAAGCTAAAGAACATCACTTCCCACAGTTATCATTTTTAGAGTTTGACATTATTATTATCATTAATTGTTGTTTCTGCCTTTGTTTCAATTCATTTCATATTATATAACCCTTATTCATCATCTATTATTATTGTCCTTGTTTCTATAAGGCTGTTACAAAAGTCATATTGAACAGTTAGTTCACTGGGAAAAATCAATTCTCCTCCAAATGTCATAAATTAAAAGAGAAATAAATGCAGAAGTCGTTGTTTTAAATATGTTAGGTAGGTGTCTGCACATACCAATATTAATGTTAATAATTATAACAACTTTAATTGTATAGAACAAACAAGAGTTTACTTAGTGCTTTAACATGCAGGAAAACAAAGAAGATAAAACAACAGAACAACAACAAGAGAACATTTGGGGGAAAGAGCCTTGACAAGACTAAAACTCAGACTACATGTCCTAATGTGACATTATTGGCAATAAAGAAATAAAATGAAATAAAAATCGGTGAAAGACATGAAAGCTTTGATGAGTGTCACATGAGCTGAGATGTCATTCAACTGAAGACATGTGATGGTGTGTCATATACAAGGCGGTAATGACTGACAGCTCCCCAGACTGACATTTGTCAGGTGGTACATACAATAAGAGACATGCACTGTCTGTCCTCTTTTTCTTTGTCATCCTGTCTCTTTTGTCTCACCAGGCTCATGCTTAGTTCTCTGTAAAGAAAACAAGCTGTCTAGCCTGAATGACTATAGACTTATTTACGCCCACATCAGAATCTGTTTTGCATAGATAATTCCCCTTCATGCATCTATTCATCCTGATATGAGCATTTGCGATTTCTAAGCAAGAGGGTTTGTATCATCACAGAGATCACTGCAAGCTTCTGCACTAAACAGCACATTAACTAGTAAACATTGGATCTATATAAGAAACAACGTGGATATAAGGAACTCATAGTTGCGTAATGTTTGTTTCTATAAGTCACATATCCTTCCCATTGACTGCAGAAATCTAACGTCTGTCATCCTGAAAACTGAAACTAGAATTCATAGAAACTCCAAACAAAGCATGTCACAAAAACTGACCTCATGGACTGTTCGAGCAACTCAGTAAATGTAGCATTTGATCAAATCCAAGAGAATAAAAATAGAACAAGGCAAAAAAAAAAAAATCCATAATCATAACATGCCATGATAACACAGCCAGTGCCACAAAGCCTTTCATGCACCTTCACACAACTTTGTGTTGAGTCACTGATCTCACATCAAACCAACTACGTCACAGTGTTGCTACAACTCCAGGCCCTCTTCCTGTTACACTTGCACAAGTTAAGCCCAGCGAGTTCAAACAAGCAGAGCCAGCTTATGGGGGGACCTCTCCGCCGAGCCTCTCTGTGTTGCCATAACACATCAGTACATTGTGATGGCAGCTTCCTTGTTTGGAGAGCACAGAAAACAAGTCCATGCCATATTGCTGAGTCTTCTTTTTCTGTCACTTGTTTTAACAGCAAACTGCCACTCAAATATTTTTACCACACAAGGCTTTAATATCTTTATTATAGCATAATTACTAGTCTGAAAGTGTTTGCAATAATCACAAAAAGATTTGGGCATGGTAGCTTTTCACTCTAAAATCACTAGATATGGTTATATGTTACCATTTCTTTACACAGTAACTTTAACACACGATCAAAGTCTGGGGTATATAATGTCATATTGGCTCCACCAGCCTCATTAGTTCAACTGTTGTTGCTGAATCCCAAACAAGCTTAAAAAAACTGAAACAGACCTGGATATATTGAATTTAGCTTTGAAGGTCTATGGTTCAATCAGCCCGTGAAGCCCATTGTATTGAAGTACCCTTGTTTTGTAAAACCAGCATCTGTTTTGTTATCAACCTTTAAAAACAAAATTTTATTGCCTTTCTCTTTTACCGTATGTTTTAACTTGACAAATGTTTTCATCAGCCTAATAATCACATTGTTCTTCTGGCACACCATTAAGGGCCGTTTCCCATCCTTTTATCACCATGGAAACCAGCAAAACATAGGAAGCAGGAACAATGAACAGATGATGGTCTGAATTTCCTGGATACCTCTGTTACCACTTCATCCAGAACCAAGATACAGCACTTATCAGCCACTTAGCACCAAAAATGCAGCGTTGAATAGTAATGCTCAGCTTTTTAGACATAAAGACTCTTTGTAGGTCACTGTTATAAACCAAAAAAGGAAAAGTATTAAGGACCTCTGTTACTGTGTCTTTTCCTGGAAATACTTAGATGTGATCAGACAATCACTGCATTATATGCTTGTGGTCAGAGAGACCCAACCTACATGCCCGGTATACTCATAAGTACATTTCCTGGGATAACTTAAAAATGGGGAACACATTTACATTTATTGCAGTTGGTTAAAAAATAATCGTCATGTATCATTGGTAGAACTCTTGGTCATATAGAAATCCCTCTTTTGGAAATTTATGTGATTTAAAACATCTGATGTTTTTGTATTTTTTGTTTGATCCAACCTTATTAGTGTGGTCTCTTTGTTTACAGGTCTGACACGGATACTGCAGCTGGACCTCGACCTGAAATACAGGACAAACATCAGGGACCTGTTCCAAGAATTTGATCATTTCCCTCCAGGAGCAGTGATAGGCATAACCAGAGAGATGCAGCCAGTCTACAGGTAAGGAGCACAGTCTTAATCTAGCTGATGGCTAGATAGATGATCCAAGGTCAAGTATTTGGGCGTTTGCCTTCACTTTCCGAAGGTAAAATTCCTCCTATCACAAAATATGTTAACACAGTTCAGTCTTCGACTCTGACATCAGCTTGTTAATCTTTTCAGCTATCCTCTCTTTTTGTTTGGACAATAACTTTCAGATAAATTCATTAGTTATCCAGTTTTCCAAACCTGGGACGATTCGAGACATTGTCTTGTTTTGGTCACTCGTCGTGTCTGAACGGTGACCATGTCCTTAATTAAACTTAAAAAAGTTTCACGGATGAACAAACAGTTTGGCTTCAATACTTAATAAATTTATCAGTGCTTTATAATGATTTTATTTAGTGTAGTTTTGTTAGACGAGCCACTTAATATCCATTTGCCCTCTTGGTCACTCATGGGTTACAAAGCACAATTATAATCCCACTCACAGTTGCTGACCCCAGATGGATTAGAGTTTTATGGGCCTCATTTACACTTTCACAGTCACTTTCTCTCAGTTTGTAAGTGAGAAAGAACATAAGCAGACACTCATACATTCTCGAGAACTGCAGCAGCGTAACCAGCCTGTAATTATCTAACTCTGAACAAGGATTAAACATTGTTATGCAACATGTAACAGGAACAGCTAGTGGTTTTACTGGACATCTATAAGATGGTTGGTTAATTTATTGCTCTCAGATACTTAGGGTATTGACAGTTTGGTTTATATATTCATATCAATAAGAAGAAATAAAGAGGGATTAATTGGTCAGCTGATTTATGGGGCAGATTAAAGGTATTTTGTAATAATCTGTACAATATCACATGGCTGATATCACAAAGATTGATGAAGAAAAAAGTTATCACATTTTTATTTAACCACAGTTTTCATTTTAACCACAATTTTTAACTTTTTATCCCCTATTTGATAATTTAAGATAGTCGGATAGAAATCCAAAAGTCCCTTATGGCGATTTAAAAAAAAGACATTTTGGCATTACCTATCAGCCATCTGCCAACCTGCTCTATCATTGTAAGTATGCACATATATTAAAAATAACAAATCTGTTTTAGGCGTATAAAAAATGGGGAAATGAGGTAGAAATGCTGGTGTGTTTGGTAGGATAAAGATGGTCTGTTCCTAACTCTGTTTTATGTGATATTTCTGTTCCGTTATGTCTGAATCATCATTCTGTCCTCCAAATAGTTTCTGAACAAACTCAGCTGAAGACGCAGAACCAAAGTCCTTAAAAAACCACAGGGTGGGCTGAATCATCCTCTAAAAAATGTACACTGTGTTGTAACCTTCTATTAGTTCATGATAACCCGATTGGTTTTACAGAACCAGTCTATCACAAAGTGCTTATAAGAGAACTTTTTTTACAGGCTCGATAGTTGGGTCGAGCTTTTAAATCACAGTTGCAGGATAATGATCACAATGCCAAGCTATCTACTGTCCTTCCTTTCGGGTAAATAGCTCCATACTTGGCAGATCCAAGCAGAGAGATATTGCTTGTCAGAAGATGTGTTGTGCTCATCCTTTCATTCACACACACCTCCTGTCTCCTGACAGACTTTCCTGATGTAAATAAACAATCTGCCCATTCCCTACACACATTTCAAGGATTTTTGTCAGAGAATCACAACAACATTGAAAGTTAGAGTCAAAAGTTGAGCACCTCTTGCAAACTGCTTATGTCACACAATTTTGAACTGACCCAGTTGTAAATTATCCAGAAAGGTTTTGCTTAATTTTCTGTATTAGGAAAAGTTTTCGTTTTGTTTCATTAATTGATGTAAAGTTAAGACTTTTTATTTCAGTCTGTAAAGTAGTTGAGTGAAAAGTTTTGTGTTTGAGCACTGATCAACTTTGCAGACAATCCGTTTCAATTACCTCTGCTGTCAGACAGGTTCTTCACTCATGTTTACTTTTGATCTGAAGCATCTGATTAAGATAACAAACATACACACAAACAACTGAATGAAAACACCGTCTGTTACTCATCCTGATCCAGATTTCTTATTCATTACTGCTAGTGCGTGTGTGTGTGTGTGTGTGTGTGTGTGTGTGTGTGTGTGTACATAAACAGGGATTGATTCAGGCTCAAAAGCTCTTTGTTCCTCAGCTGATTTTTTCCGTCTCTCTCCGAGATAGTAAGACAAACACTCCTGGTACGTTTAGTCTACTGCGCTGTTTTCCACTGAAGGGTGACATCAAAACAGGACGTCACTGTGTGTGTGTGTGTGTGTGTGTGTGTGTGTGTGTGTGTGTAGGACTAAGTAAAGCAAGGTCAGGTCGAAAATATCATGCTGTCACTGCTTTTTAATATGTGTTTTAATTTTTGCTCCTTTTTATGCATTCACCTCTATGGAGCCCCGATAAAGAGCCCTAATATTAAAGAGTAATAGTAAAAGAAAATGAGAGAGACTGATTAATTGGCATCGGTGGATGCCTGCTCTGACGAGGTCAGCTAGAATAATAAGAGGAAAAAGAAGAAGATGAAGAATTTGATGATTGGACTCAAATAATAAAATGTTCTTTGAAGTTCAGCAACTTTTTTTCTTTTTGTTGTGATCCAAGGATAGCACCAAATAGGCATCTGGACATGATTAAGGTTCTTGAAAAGGTTTCAGCCCTCCTCAGTCAGGCCTCTTCAGTTCTTCTGTAGGCTGGGGACATTCATTTTTTTAGACCTGAAGAAGCCTGTTGGAGGAGAGGGGAAATGTCTTCAAGGAAGACCTGTTGGATCTAGCCTTGGACAAACATTAATTTACACATACTCATTTTTCATAAACATTAATTTGTTCTTTTTCTTTTTCAATGTGTGAAAGCTACAACAGCAAAAGTTTGGTCTGGGACACACCCTGTAATAAAAGCACCACGTCATGGTGTTGTTTGGCTCTGATTTTTTGGACACCATGATTTGTTGTCCGTGAACAGGCAGTATTGCAGAAATAAGGGTCTATTCTTATTCCAGTAAATATTCATGATGTCAGGTTTTGGAGGTGGAACTAGAGTTTTCCTGCCCAGGCTCCAGTCGTCACTAACATCCCTAAACAGATCTGTATCTAAGCCCTGCCTCTCATGTGGTTCAGTGGGTTACTGACTCTGGGAATCCCCTGCTACTGTAGTTCCTTTGGGCCGGATACCTTCTTTCAAAACATACCAGGAGGTCTTGCCTCGTTTGTTTCTTTTACTTACTTTTTTTGTGAGCTCCAAAGATTGGTGAGATAAGATATTTTAACAATAGCTCGAAATTTTAAATGCATGTCAAAATAGAAAAAGGTCTCTTTTTTTGTCTTTTGGAGGATATTTCAGAAATAGTTAGGCCCTTTAAAAGGAGAACTGAATTTGCTACCAGCCTGCTACCCCAATGAGCCAGCTAGCTAATGAACATTGCAATGTTTAAATTGTGAACCTTGGTATCAGTGCTGCATTGTGTGCCACCTCTCCTCTGAAGTGTTTTCCTGCTTTGAGTGGAGAGGGCTCTCAGCTCCTACTCTGTTTCGCTGCTAATGGACAGAACATTATGCAGGAGAACGTGTCCTCCCACCAGCCGCATTCAGAGCACATCCTGCCGCTGAAAGTTCATTATTAGAGAAAAGTCCCCGTGTCTTTTCCCCTGCAGCTGCATTTGTAATGCTTTGAAACCCCAGAGACAAGACCCACTTACGTAAGTGTCACAGTCAAAGCCCCAAACTCTCCCTTATTACTTTGCATTTTGAGTCTTCATTGTGTGGCACTTCCTCTGTAATCCCAATTTTTTTTTGCTCTTAGATGGGAATCAACTGTTGAATGTGAAATATGTCATTTTGCATTAAACCACCTGTCTGGTTTGCAGTCAGGTGGCTGTGAGCTTCACAGTGCAGTTCCCTGCCTTTGCTCTGACCAAAATCTTCTTTTAAAAAGAAAGAATAACGAATTTTAATCTGTAAATATGCTATCGAAAGTTTTCAGTCAGTTGACAAAAGGTGTTAAAGTTTTAAAAGAAATAAAGAAATTTATGATGGAAGGATTTAGTTGGTGCGGTCAGTCATGTCTGTAAAGTTATATCTATATTTTTTCAGAATCTACATAATCTGCATCATCTTTTAAGTTGTTAAACAAATCTGTGATGAAAATTTCCAAATATAGCTTGTGAGTACCCCAGAACCTGACCCCCACTTTGGGCCGAGTTGTTCTGCACAGCCTTCGGAGAGAAGGTTGTTTTTTTGTTCTGAGCAACAAAGTGTAGTACAGAATGTCCCCACTGTCACCTGCTAATGCTTTTCATTCTTTCAGCAGGGAGAGAAAGAAAAACACTTAAAAGGTTGGCAGTCTTGGCAGAGCAGAAACAGAAGCACTCGCCGGAGCAATGGTCTAAGCTAAGAGTTTGAGTCTGGTGTGAGTGTACTGCTATAAAGTAAAAAAAAAAAAAACTGGAGTCGTTGTGACAAGGTTGTTTTCAGAGTTCAACTTTGGAAAAACAGATTGTGACAAAACCATTTCAAGCCACAAACACCTGCTGCAGATATCTTCATTAAAGGGACACTCCGGTCTAAAATTAAGTTAAGATCAAACACACCGAAACACCGAGTTAGACACCACGTCGTTCTCCTGTTGCTAAATAATTTGTCATGGAAATGTAATCAGACCGAGACGCTAAGGCAGAAGAACTATCGCATCTGCAGTGCAAAATGATTAATATGGTGATTATTACTTCAAGGAAATGATAAAGTAATGATCATAAATGTTCTTCCTTGGGCTGCGTCACCCCACTGCAGTCAATTGACTCACCCGAGGTCTCGCTACAAACAAGCGGCTGCTGGAAGGGAGTGGGTGAGTTGTGTTTAGTCTCTTTGTTAAAGAAATCAGGCAAGATGTTTGGTGGCTAGTACTGTGGCTGGGACCCTATATGTACTGTTGATGAAGTTAGGTGCTGTTCTGAGCATTATTTGTGGCTATTGAGTGGCATTTTGGTTGTGCACGTGGCTCTCTGTATTGCTATTGTGGGGTTGTTACTAAAATTGGTTTAACTAGAGAAGCAAGCAGTCAGCAACATTCATCTCTCGACGGGGTGTCTAACTCGGTGTTACGGTGTGTTTGACCCTAACTTAATTTTACACCGGAATATCCCTTTAATAATAATGACATGTCTAATCACCATCATGCAGCAACAAATCTGGCCATCGTGAGCAAACGTGACATTGTATATTCCTTTTGGTTTATTCCCACGTCTGAACAGCAAAAAGAAAAGATCTGCTTGAAGGTTCTGACTGACTGTGCTCTCCCTGAATGTGTCTTGAGGCACGTAGACCCCGGGTACATCTTTCTGATGATGAATCCTCCTCAGGGGCCACAAGTCCCCAGCTACCAAAACAAAGGGCCGTGCAAAACTGTGCGGACATGCTACAGCTGCTCTGTATGGGTCAGTAATAATAATAATAAAGTGTGATTCCCCCTGGACTCGATCAGCAGCAGAGACAGACTGAAGGGGGTATTTGTTATGATATAAATCATAATTATTCCCTTGTGTCCATCTGCACCAAGAGAGCATTTAAACCTTAGCTAATTGTTTATTAGACCAGTCTTCTGTCATAATGTGTTTGTTTTGTTCATTTCTTTAAATTGACAGCTTTGTCTGGCAACTTCCCCATGTTTTTAAGCCGACATATTTTGTCTTATTTTATCGACTGTAGGTTTCCTCAGGCTCGGCCAAAACTGGGAATAATTGCGACTCTGTGAGCGTGTTAACATGCATGCAAAAAGAGTACATTACCAGTCATTCACATGTCCATGAGGAATAAAAACAAAACTGCAGCGGCTGTTTGTAGACCGAATGGGACATTTTGTTCTTCCCTGAAAGAAGAAATAAAAATAGTACACACACAACACTGAACCTGTTAGTCTCCACAGACTTGTTAAAAGTAAAAGCAAAAACATCGCAACATGAAAGTATCGCAAGATATGACAGAAACAGACAAGACCCAGTGTCTTTTGTCCTATATTTCTTTTTCTCCTGAGAGACAAGATAAATAACCGTACGTGATCGTACATAAGGACTCTTATAGGCAAACAAACATCCAGCTCTTCAAAGTGATCTTAGTTTTTTCTTTATGCATAAGCACAGTCCCAGCTCGGGTCTATTAATCTGGCCCTAACCCAAATTTTACTCCCCTCCTTTGCTTTCTCACAAATCACTACTTATGTGAAGCTGTTCTCCTGTTGCTCAATTTACTTTAAACATCTGGCCCCAGTTTAGACACTGTTATTTTTCACACTGACTACTCCATAAATTCCTCTCATGCTGTTGCGTCATCTCTTTGCAATCCAGCATTTGGATGGGGGGCAAAAAATGTTGTCAGACAGAGATGGAGGCAAAATACTTCGGAGTAGTGGACCTGATTATGTACCAAGGCTGTAAGTTAAAGCTGGATCACATGTTTTATACAGTGTACCGCTGACATTTATTGGTCAAGTGAGCCAAAAATACTGACCTTTTATAACACCCTGCATTACTTAAGTCAAGTGTACTATCTGCTGAAACTCCTTTCAAGGTAAAAACAACAATATGGACATAAAACAATATAAAGAAATTTCCACAAAAGGTCCTCCCTTCCCCGGGTACATGTCTGTGCATACAAATGTTTTCTGAATGAGTCTAAGCTACTTTAGACTTGGTTTGTTGGCAGAACAGGGCGCTGAGTTGGCACAAGCCTCTGGCACTCCAACATGCTCGGACACTCCTGGACCAGCTCTCTTCCTGTTTTTTTTGGCCTCAGAGCTGTTGGTTCAGCAAATGTGGGCTGGAACAGAGTTGATCCTCTCATGGACCCTCTCTTGTCTAAATCTGTTAGAGGCTCAGTATATAAGAGTGAGACATTTGCCACTTATGCACAGGTTTTCTAGTCTCTGATGAACAGCAGATCACACGTCTCTTCACACTTTGTAATAAAAAAATTATCAACCCTGTTGACTTTTTAGACATTTTAATAATTTGAAGTTTAGGGTCTTATTTAGAGTTGAACTTATGGAGATAGTAGGCTGCTCCCACAGCCTTTACATAGCAAACACACAGCCTGCATGAATGCTCTGCAGCTGGCATGCATCCTGTGTGAAGCTGGCAGTAGATGTTTTGTCCTAACTCTAATTACCTGCTCATTTCTCAAGTCGACAGAAACAAAAGCCTTGGCTGGAAGTTTTTTGTCACAGATTGATTTCTGGCCACACAGGAAGCCCCAAAAAGTTGGTTGTCATCCCCACAAGAATATAGTGTCAGTAGAAGAAATCGAACACGCTCTGGGATCGCCAGTGTTCTTACTACTACACACCCTAAATGATTTTGAAATATGCGTTACTCATATTGCGTTAGTTGACAGTCACATCTCTGTCTCTCTTACCTCAGGCACACCTTCTGGCAGTATCGTAAGGAGAACCCTCAAGCCAGAGTAGGTGAACCTCCTCCTGAAGGCCTCCCAGGCTTCAACAGTGGTGTGATGTTATTGGACCTTGGTGCTATGAGAGCCTCAGCTCTCTACAACCAGCTGCTGAAGCCTGATAATGTTGCCAAATTAGCAGACCAGTACCGCTTCAGGGGCCACCTGGGTGACCAGGACTTCTTCACTATGATTGGGATGGAGCATCCTGAGTTGTTTTATCCTCTGGCCTGTGGTTGGAACAGGCAGCTGTGCACCTGGTGGAGGGACCACGGATACGGAGAGGTGTTCCACTTGTACTATCGCTGTAACGGACCTGTTTATATCTACCATGGGAACTGTAACTCACCTATACCGGACGACTAATGACTGGAAATGAAAAATATTTTTTGACGTGTACATTCAAATTAAAGGGAAACTCCTGCTTTGCAACCACTGAACAGCTTATGTAGCCACAGACACTGCCCCCTGCTGGCCAGGGGGCTCTTGAAGGAAACACCCATGAAACAGCACCACAAATCAGGCATACAGCTGCATCAATTTTTAATAAAATTTAGGCTCTCAGGCCAAAAATAAGCCCTGCCATACGCCATAGAAGAAGCTGAAACAACAGGATTGCTTCAGAAACAGATATAGCAATAATAATAAGATTTACAGGTAGAGATGTGCTGATTATTTCACAAGGTGATCTACCTAGAAGATTATCTTGACTGCATTTTTCAGCCAGAGCAGCACCTTCTTAGATCTCTGTACACTGCGCTGTGGTAACAGTTCGGTCTTGTTATAGGTACCCCCTTTGTGAGCAGGACAAGGGTATGTCAGTATGAATGTAACCTATGTTTAATTCATGGTCAACGGCAGTGTCATATTTTTTAATCTGCCTGAGTCTCTCATTTGAATAAAATTAGAATCTTGTTTGAGGGAGACATCACTATCCTTTCATATTTCACACTCAACTTTCCATCAAAATCATCACTTGGTCAGTAAATGTGATATTTGCCACATTTCTTGACCTTGAGTGGAATTAACAGTCTCAAACCTCTCTTCCCTCAGTCTTATTTCCAGCACAGTGGCTTAAGCCCACCCCATGTCAGCATGTATCCCTTCAACACCAGGACAGATGAGGACTTATTTGGGGACATTTACCAGCCTCTCAAGCTTGAGACACGTGTGCGCTGGCCACGGCACTTTCTTTTTTTCAAACTGATCTTTTTACAGGTGGGAAGAAAAGGGAATTGCTGCAGAGTGAGGAGAAGGAGGCGTTGGGGAAAAAAGTGGTCAACAATGACCGCAATGATGGCTGTTGTTCGTGTCCTGCATTTGCAGTTTAGCTGAGGTCAAATACAGTCCCATCAGCCGCACCCATTTCAGAAGGAGCGAATCTCCCAGGGAACGTGACTCAAGACTGACCCAGTTTTGAGTTTTTCTTGTTGTGCTCACTCAGATTCAAAGAAATATCAACACCCAATATTCATCTGCTGGGAAATTGTTAGAGGTGACGCACACTTAACAGCACATCAGGGCAAAGTGGCTGAATGCTTCGCACTGTCAATAGAGTGGAAAAGACTGCAAGAGGAAACACTTGAGACTCGACATTATTCTCAATCAATTCATTCCCCTTGAACTCACTCCAAAGCTGATCAATATTCTGGCCAGAACAACACTTTCCAGCCTCCACGACTTTGATTTTCCTTCGTCAACTGAAAAAAAAATCACTAAATGAGACACAAAATAAAAACATTTCCATTACCAGTTCCTCTTCGCACTTTACAACATAAAGATGGGCTCCAGGATGAAGGGTTTAGTTGACAGATGAAGCCGTCTGCTTTCAATGTCGTTTGTTATATTTTTAGGTATAGGTTTTAGCTTGATGTTAATATCTTTTCGTTTTCTTGTTCATCCCTCAAGACCTTTTCCATCTCATTAGCAAATCATCATTAAATTATTTTGTCCAGTAATTATGTCAAATTACAGTTTTAATTTGGATATTATTTGAGTGTTGTAAATGGATATGTAAGAGACCTAGAAAGGATGAATATCTGATTAACAATATTACATCTGCTTACTGTATTAGAATATGTTCTGCAAAAGTAAACTTACATTCACTCTTTTTTATCGACTAAAGCAAGCTATCTTAACTAAAAACCACATTTCTACTCTTAGAAAAATTGTGTTCTGTTGCTGGTTGACCGTGTATGTACCGTGTATGTATAAATCTTGTTTCATGGTTCCACATTTACCACTAGTTCCTGAGTCAGAGTTGCTTTGAAGTCTCATGTCTTGTTCCGTTCAATTCAAATTCTTGTTTATTTTGTTACTTATAATGGAGACTTTTCCTTTAAACTCTATTTGAACCAAAGTGAATCCTGATACAGTGTCAACCTGTCTTTACTAACTTTCTTTGCTAACGCTTTATTTGAGGAGATATACATTAGACTGGCGTTAAGCTGTCATAATCATGACCTGACACCTGTCATTAACATGAATAAGGTTTCTGAAGGTTGTCATTTAAGTGTCATATGAAAAATTATGACACCTTTAGTGCTATGTTGACATTTTTTGACAAAGCACTGTCATCAACATAGCACCAAGGTTGTCATAATTACTGAATTACGCTTAATGATAACCTTTATAAGCATTATTCATGTTATATGACAGCGTAATGTCGATCTTGTTTATACCTCTTCAAATAAAGTGTTACGCTTTCTTCTTTACGTTTGTTAGAGGACCTCTCTGTTAGTGTCTCTTTAGCGCCCCCTGTGATCAAAGCCATGCCTCTTACATCTTGACTGATTTTGCCTTGTGCAGGTGTCAGAATTGTTTCCTAACCAAAACTCTCAACCTGTTTTCTAGTAATAATAACATCCCAATAATATAATACCTCCTTACAGGGATTACACAAATTTAAAACTGCTGACTTTCTTATTGATGCACTTGTGTTTGCCAAAAGTTTGATTGTAGTTTTCATCCTTGATGAAAATAGAGATCGAGTTATTTGAAATTTTTTCAAGACATAACATTGTTGTGATAAAAGTTGTGCTCCATTTTGATGCCAACGTGTCCCTGAAACTCATTTTGAGAAACACTTGCTGAAGGGTTAGAGTAATTGAGTTATCCAAACTTCTTGTTTCACCTGTCATCATAAGCCTTTTTCTTTAATACCCCACTTATGATGCAAAAAAACTAATTCAGAAATCTAGATTTATTTGATAAAAAGTGATAGAAAATCATACAGGTGGAGCTTTATTTTTAAAATGGATACATCTTCTATGTTTATGTCACCACTGTAAATAATTCCCATTCACTACTGCACATTCTCTATGATCATCTGTGCCTCCTCGCACAGCCATCAAATTTTGACAACCACTGCATTATACAAACCCGTGCTTATGTTCTTGTTTGTCTGCTACAAGCAAGACGTGACCTCTTTCTGTCAGTCAAATCTGCCAACACTGTCAGCTAACACTCCACACACACAAAAAAATTACATCAATCAGCCTTGACCTCTGGATGTGCTGACATTAAAATAACCCAGTTTACACCTGCAAATGAAATGTCTCTTGTGTTAGGATGCACTGTAGTGTAATTTTCATCTCTGTCTGACATAAAATGGAATGGCTATTTTGTAGAGAATAATAAAAAATGACTCTTTTTGCATAACACGTCCCTGCAACCTTTGCTTTCAGTTGAATGATTACACTTTATACATCTTGCACTGAAATGTCAGCAACAGGTGAAAATGAGGTAGACCTCTATATTTTAAGACGGACACTTCAAACCAGCAGATGATGAAACAGCACACAGAATCTGAAAGTGTCGGACTCATAGTTTCTGAAATTGAGTAAATAAATCCACAAATTTCAATACCAAATACACGAGAAGGCACAACATAGTTAAAACAGTTAGATACAAAGGTACTGTCTCACCTGTCTTATAGCCTTTCAAATTATTGATATGAAAACCATTCAATGTCTCTGGCCAACATATATTTTGTTACGATGTCATTTAGCAGACGCTTTTATCCAAAGCGACACACGTTGAAAAACAACACAAGCGAAGATTGAGACAAGAGGAAACAAGATCAGTAAGGAAAAGTGCTTCAAGTCCAATTGGACACAGGTACTGCCACACAGTTTGAAAGACACAAATATATATATTTTTATTTTTTATTTTTTATTTTTACCCCAGGTAAACAGGAGCAGTGCGGGTAACTGTGAGCAACTATTTTCGTGTTGTCTGCTTTGAGAATAAGTACTAGATTAAATAGTCCATGTTGTGTACAATCAAAAGTTTACATTCAATGGTTGAAAGCAGTGCACAATTGTATCATCAACATCAAGGTAGACATCATGATTTTTTGTTGTGGGTTTGATTTTTTTTTTTATATTAACTGTAAATACAATGGGCCCCAGAATTAAACCTAGAGGAACCCCGTTTGTCGATAATCAATCAGAAGTTTTAAATGTTAATTCCCCTTGTTATATCTGAAGCGTGAAAAGTCAAAGAACTACAATTAACCTTTTTTTTACACTAGTGGTTTGAGTGTTTGACCTGCTATAGCAGCTCCTACACTGATACAGTCACATGAGGTTGGGTATAATAACCCCGGGTTAGACAGACTTTAGTATGTTGTGATTTTCAGAAGCCTCAGCTTGAACTCATTCACCAACACTCTGAACCTAAAGCCTATAAAAACAGCAGGCCGCCATGGATTTGATACAGCAGCAACAGCACTAATTTGTCATCCAAGAAATACAAAAAGTTCAATCTGAAGCTCAGCTAGACTCAAGAGTGTTTCTGTGTAAGTGATTCCTACAGATTTTCAGAGGATTGAAGACAAATGCTCTGCGGTATCTTCCTCTGCTGTAGCTTCTGAACATGGATGACTCACTGAGTCAGCACCACATTCAAAACAAACAAGAAAAAAGCATCACATCATGAAACCCAGACTGTAAAGCATATGGACATGTGCATAGGCCTACAAAACGCGTGTGGGACACGACACGAGACAGAAGATTTTGACTAATCACCCTTCTGCTTTTCAACAATATACCGGCATTAAGTAGTCCTCTTGAACAAACAACCTTGTTTTATATTCTGTCAATATTATAACCCTGAACATGCCAGAATGACAGCAAATAATTGACATTTACAAATAAAACAAGGATTGTAGTGACTATGCTGACCTGAATTTTAGTCACTGTATGCGTGCGGGAATGAGGTGTTTTTGATGCACTTCTAGTACAAGCCAATGTCCAATCCAAGGTTGTTGTTGAGTTATCTTTTTACCATTTATTGAATTCATGAAAACCAAACAAAAAAAAGACAGATATGTCCAAGTTACTTTGATGGTGATGTGCGTGATGAGCGTGAGAGTGGTGTCGGAAATTAGCAGTAAAAACCGTGTGCTCTTCCCATTCCCCAGATCACTGCGTCACCTGTGTCCCTTTGTGGTGATGCTGTAAGTAACAAAACAAAACCCAAAAAACAATATGGGTAAAATAGCTCATACAAGGATGTTAATCAAGTTTTTTTACTCTTTACCATATGATATCAATTTGAAATAGTTGCCTACAGGCAAAGATACTTATTTTTGCCATCTCAGCTGCACCGCTGAACAATCAGCTTCTACTTCCTCCAACTTCCAAAATCTTTAATGCCACCCCATTCCCGAGCCATGGACCTGCTTGTAGATCTGCCCCTGAGTGTGCCTTTTGCTTACAGATGCATTTGATTGTGAGTAGTGGGGACAAAGTGCTCCATGGGACAGATATAGACCAGTTTGTTCCTGCCTGCTGCTCCCTGCTCTCTGTTTTATGTTCTGTCCATCAATGTCTGTCTCCTCTTTCTCCCAGAGAGTGGTCAGTCTGACCAAAAAGAAAAAAAAAGAAAGTCTGAACAATGAGCTGCTGCTTCCATCTGTACACATTACAGCTCACTTCTTTGTTCAAGTACATGTCAACCCTGTAATGGCCTCTTTTTACTGTAAACATATTTTTGTGCTGATAATAATAATAATAGGACATTTTAGTGAAATTCTTTGTCTCTGCTTCAGTTTCTGCTTTGACTAAAAGATTGATATTAATAGCTGTTGTTTGTATTAATGCAGTCATAGCTTGGAAAGCTTGGTGAAATATCAAAGCTAGCTTGTACTCAGGTTGCTCTTTAAGTGAAGTTTATAACTGGAAAATGTGATTTGGTTTTTAACAAATTTACAAATAGTTGACAGAGGTGCTTTTAAATTATTTTCGAGTCCTTTCCTGCCCTTATTAAGAGTGTAATAGATGGAGGACGAATTTGTGATTCCCTCTGGACACAACCCAAGGACATGATGGGTCATGCTATCTGCCTATTGAGCCATCATTAAGATTTTTGGGGTGGCTCGCTTCTTGCTTTTAGACCCTTTACAGACCTTTACTATTTTAAAAAGGAAAATGTCAATCTCTCCTCCATCAGTTTGAATTATTCATAAAAAGAGTTTGCACAGCGGTCTAGTCAAAAGTTTGGCGTCGTGTGTCGTATGCGCCCTTGGACTGGATATTTTCAAATACTGTGAACTCACATGGTTGTCTGTAGGTAATTCATTTTTGTTTTATTAATAGAAGAACAGGAATTTAAAACAACACAGCAGTTTGTGAAGGTTACCAATGATTTGCGCGCCAATCATTTTTCTCTAATTTCCATGTTTATGTCTGATACACCGAGGTTTTGTGCCTGGTGCGCTGTCTTTTGACAATATCCAAGAACATGTTTCATTCATGCAGCAGCCACAAAGACAGATGATCTCGGATTATTTCTGAAAACAATAGCTGATCTCAAGGTGAGCACCAACGGCGAAAAACAACAATTACTGATGCCGTCCAATAAAACCGCTCACGTTTTTGTGCCTCCTGTTGCTCAAGGGAGTAAAAGTGCTCAGAAGTCGTATCTCAAAATCCTAGTGACCTCATCCCAAACGTTGGGAGGGTGAGGGGGGGTACAATGATGTATTTACAAAGTTTGAATGGAATGGTAAACATAGAAAAAATGAAAACAACAGTATATACATATTTACACTTTAAACATGATTGCCAAATTTTGAACAGAGTTTCAGCAGGTTGTGAAAAAAAAACCACACAGTATGTAACAATATGATGACCTGCAGATTCAGCATTCAACACGGCTGTTTGAATTCATACAAATGTAGTTGAGCTTAGATTCTAATGTAACATATGATAATAAAAATAATAATAAGAAGAATATACTGTAATATAAGTGAGGGTAGGTATGCATAATAGACATCAACATTGCAATAACTCAAATGTCGAACGATTTCAAATGATAAAGTGATTAACGTGCATATAAGTGATAGATCAATCATAGTGCAAAGTCACAAAGCAGCTGTTATGCACTGTGATGAGACAGGAAGAATAATGGGGAAGTGTCAACATTTCAGCGCAGCGCTAGTATTATCCTGTCTGATTGCAGATGGAATGATTGATCTTCTTGCAGGCTGGATGTCTCAGTTGCTGAACGGGCTTCTCAGGGCCCTCACAGTTACATCCAGTGATCTTCCTAAACTCCCTTCTCACCTGGTCAGGTGTTATAGAGAGGCCAGGGGTGGATGAGGAGGGAAGAGAGGTTAGTGGAGGGCTAGGATGGTGTAATGATGGGGTGATGGCTGGTCAGTGCTCTGGTGGATGGGGGAGTGAGTGGGGCCTGATTCAAACCCATTAAAAAAACAAGTTTAATTCATAAAGGCCCACTCCTCATCCCCAGCTTTAGGGCCCCTCCCATGGTTTTTGCAGTGGCCTGAAATGTTCCTCAGGACTCTGCAGACGTCCTTTGTGTAATGGTTAAAAAATGTCAGAAAACTGTAAAAGCCTTTGCTATCTACAGTGCTTGAATATTTTTTCTGTTCCTTGTTGTTCAGTCTTGTCTACTCTCATGCCCTTACCCTCTCCAGTCAATGTTTTCATATGCATAACAAGACACAAATTAGCATGTACTGTCTCACATGCACCAACACCATCTGTGGTCCTCTGAGAATACCCTGTTTTCCAGCTCTTAGTGTCAGAACAGCTGCAACTTATAAACAAGAGGGATGATCATGATGGCAGCTGGGCGTCACTTTGTGATTCACCAGCAGATGAAACAACAGTTGAGACATGGCTGGCAATTGGTCGTTTGACCTCCAACAACATCATATCTGTGGCTGAAATATGCAAAATATCATGAGTAATTTGTAATGTAGGTCATACGTAGAGAAATAATTCTCTTACCAAGGCTCACTTCCGTTCATAGTTATAGTAGAATAAATACTGAAGGGATAGTCCTGAGTAAAATTAAGTTAGTGTCAAACACACTGTAACACCAAGTTAGACACTCCCTGGAGAGATGAATGTTGCCGACCGCTTGTTTCTCTAGTTATACCGACTTTAGGAACAACCGCACGATAGCAATACACAGCAGTCTGAGGAGCCACACACAAACCTCAACCAAAACGCCACTCTATAGCCACAAATAATGCTCAGAACAGCAACTAACTTCATCAACAGTACATATGGGGTCCCAGCCACAGTACTAGCCACCAAATATCTTTTTAACTTTGCCTAATTTCTTTTGAAAAGAGACTAAAAACAACTCATCTACTCTCTTCCAGCAGCCGCTTGTTTGTAGCGAGACCTCAGGCCAGTCCATTACTAACTGCTGCGGGGTGACGCAGCTCAAGGAAGAACATTTATGATCATTTCTTCATGGAAATGCAATCAGACCGAGACGCTAAGGCAGAAAAACTACTGCGTCTGCAGTGCAAAATGATTAACATGATGATTATTACTTCAAGGAAATGATAAAGTGATGACCATAAATGTTCTTCCTTGAGCTGCGTCACCCCACTGCAGTCGGTAATGGACTCGTCTGAGGTCTCCCAACAAACAAGCGCCTGCTGGATGAGGGTGAGTGAGTTGTGTTTAGTTTCTTTGCTAAAGAAATCAGGCAAAGCTAAAAAGATGTTTGGTGGCAAGTGCTGTGGCTGGGACCCTATATATACTGTTGATGAAGTTAGGTGCTGTTCTGAGCATTATTTGTGGCTATAGAGTGGCGTTTTGGTTGAGCGCGTGCAGTGCTATCTGCAGTCTACTAAAGTTGGTATTACGAAAGCTAGCAGTCGGCAACATTAATCTCTCGACAGGATGTCTAACTCGGTGTTACGGTGTGTTTGACCCTGACTTAATTTTATGCCAGAATATCCCTTTAAGACTTGAAAAACCCAACATTATTGACAATGCCTGTGACGTGTTGGACCACTTCTCTTTCCTTGCAAAACCGGCGTCCTACATATAATATGCTCATGAGAAATGTGTTAGACATCCCATTTGTATTTCTGTGCACTGATCCATGATGTAGATCAGTCTTCATTTTGCTTCAGGAAATCTCTCTATTACACTGTGCAACCACATCATCTGAGCTCACTGCATATATATATGTAAAGTATCAAGCTGTCCTATCTTTAAGTACATTATGTAAAAGATTTCCTCAGACTACAGCTGGAAATGTATAAGGCCCACATATACTGGACTCAGTATGAAATGAATTCATTGTGAAATAACATGTTGCCAAAGGCCTAAAGGGGATTATGGAAAAAAAGTACAGTAATAGCTCGAGAGAAGGAAGACCATGGACACTTGAGACATGCTAGCTCAGTTTGATCATACGCTCTGTATGTTCAGGTATTATTCATGGACATGACTCAAGAAAGACCATCAGAAATGAAGAGTTGATGGATTTTGGAGGTGCGTCACAAACCGCAGGGTACAGGCCTTCTCACAATGCACAGACAGTGTGACAGAGTATCTGAACTCACTGTCTCAAGCTACACCCAGACTTAATACAGCCATTTATTCACAAGATATCCAATCATAATGCCTGCAGGGAGGATGCAAACTGTGATCACTGGCTGGGAGACTGACCCACATAATATATGGCTCTATCCAGCAGAAATTGGGTCTCTGTGTCGCTCTACTTCAAAGTCAGAGGGGAGAGGTGTCCATGTTAATGGCTAATCTTGTATTCAGCTGCAGGATCAGATTGAAAATCAGAGGTGGTGAGCTGTTATTGAGATCGGAAGAATTTGATCAAGTCGTCAAAAGTAAGGAACTGGTTCAATTAATTTATGTGTCTGACATAAAGATCTTTAGATTTATTAGACGAGACATTAGTTCTAATGAAGTATGGCGATTGGAAGCTCGCTTAAAGACTGAACTTCTCTGCAAGTTTAGAATTGAAATTAGTCAATTTCAGCTCAGACAGTAGTCTTCAAAAGTTGTCTTCACAGCACAACACGTCACACTGAATCATGTGTCAGACGTAAAAATTAAAGTCAGTGTTTCACAGTGTTCAGAAATCTTAAGTTTGTGATGATTAAAATCTGAGACTTTCTTAGAAACAGCTTGAGCACATGTTGCTGATGACTGTGGAGTGTTTGACCTATTTCTGCTTCCTTTGCTCAGTTAAGTATAGTAAGGGAAGTCTGAGGTCACAGTAGATGGTGGTGACCTAGCAGAAAATTAATCTCTTGTTGGGTTTAATGAAGATTGATCCTATAGAGAAAAAAAAAAATCAATCGTTAAAGAAATGAGATTAGAGAATCTGAACTGGGCCATCTCCTCTCCTGTAGTCAATATCTGAGATCATAAGATAAAATATGCTGCAGGGATGTCTCGTCCGGAAAACTACACGAGTACTTTGCTATTTTATAGATTGAAGCAGAAGTCAGCTGAACTTTTCAGATCTTAAATAACTTCGACTGCAGAGGACACCGAGGTGTAAATGACCTAGATGTGATAAAGCCTCACACACTCACACACTCCAGGAGCAGGATCAGGGCTGAAACAGGTTTGAGATCAAACAGCAAGTCTGCGTATTCCCCTTTGAAAGAGTGACACCTGTCATAGATTATGCTCCCATGGTTATATATTCAGTTAGCCCAGTGTGTGTGTGTGTGTGTGTGTGTGTGTGTGTGTTGTGAACTGACTCACACAGGCCAGCTGATTTTGCTCTGTGATGATGCTCAGTGTGCCAGTTACCTGATGAGACATAAATGTCGACCCCATTTTGTGGTATTTGTGGGGGATATGAAGACTGATGCTTATGACAAGATCATGAGATGGCATTTATGTTTTGTTAGCAGTGTGTGTTAAGTCTGTTCCCGTGTGTGTGTGTGTGTTTGTGCAGTTTTAAATTTCAATTTAATTTGATAGGACAGCAGTGCTTACGACACAACTGAAGTATTCCTGTGCTGCTGTTCTGATGCTGCCACTACACATCTCCCTAGTTAGTGAGACATAAGTGGGCCACACACACACATGCATGCATACACAAACAAACACATACACAATGTCAAATACAAAGCTCTTGTCTTAAACACGCTGGTTGGCGGACGTGACTCAGAGTCCGATAGAAGGATAGGTTGGGATTATGACGCTGTAATTTGTTCGATCTGTTCTACTGTCTGTGTGTCAGGCGCAGTATAAGACACAGTCAGGCTCACAAGTAGGTCAGTGTGCTACGGCACATGCAACAGGCCAATATCAGAGAGGCTTCAGCTGTGATTAACAGCCACTTAGACCATGCCAGTGAATAAACTGTGAGGGTGACACACATTATTACTGGATAGGTATCTAATAGACCTTCTGTGCATGATTAATCTGCTACTCCATGAATTCATAAACAGCTTTATCTCCAGATTCAAGAAATGGAAAATCTTTCCCATGCACTGCAGAAACATAATCAACAGATGGAGTTCGTCAGTCAACCAGAAGTTTTGGGTTCAGGCCTCATGGTAGGGAACAGCTGCCCCTGAAGGCAATGAACCTCCATCAGTACTGGGTTGCACCAGCTTTGTCCAAGTTCAGACTTAGCCTTGTTTAAATGTAATTTCTGATTAGGGATGGACTCTTTGTGCTACTAACATAAATCATAATTTAACCAAGCTCTGAGTAGGTGGAAGCACACTGACCAACTTGTGAGTAGGTGGAAGTAGTTGGTGCACCACTCAAAGACACCACTGTGATTTTACTCTCAAGATTAATTTTCACTGTATCATGCTTTGTTGTATTTTACTTACCTTTCTGTTGCTGTTAGTCGGAGTAAAAGACTGCAATTCACAGCTGTTGACTCCTGTGAAGGCAGTCAGGCGCAAGAGTCAACAGTAAAACAATCCCTTCATTGGGGAAAACTTTTCCTCTGATTGGCTATTGAGAGGTTAGCATCATATCTGCGGTAATATTGTGCTTAGCTTGGATGTTGACGGTCAATCAATCAATCAATCAATCACATCTTATTTATATAGCCCCAAATCACAACAGTCACTATCACGCTGATTGTTTGATGAATTACCAAGACCCAACCTTAAGATGGGACAAATATGACCCATCTCATCCAACATGAGTGACGGTGGCGAGGAAAAACTTCGTTTTAATAGGCAGAAACCTTGGGTAGGACCAGACTCATGTTAGACAGCCACCTCGCTCTTCTGTCTCTAAGGGGCAACAAAAAGGAGGTACAACTTAAGTTACAGGCACACTAGTTTTAAGAAATGGTTTGGTATGGACTTTTCCACTTTACCACCCTCGCTGGTGTGGACTTTGCCACTTTACCACCCTCGCTTAAGACACGGTTTACAAAAGGTGGTGCAACAAGCCCCTGTTCAGAAATGAAGTTCAGTTGTCAGCCTATGTTTTTTTTTTTTTTTTTTACTTAAAAGCCCCTATGAGGATCCTTTGGCTTTTTCTGAAACAGACCAGAATTCACAGTTATTCCTCATTATGCATAAAAACTGCAAACCATAAGTGGAAAAATCAATCACTGAATGGTCATTTTTAATGCATTAAATCACTGCCATAAGGAAGTTGTCAGACTAAATTATATTTTCTTGATCTGTTTGTCCAATATAATGAATAAAGTCAATGATGTTATTGACAGCCATAACATTGGTGCATGCCAGGAAATAGCAACTTAAATTCACATACAGGCTATAACTCACATTAAAAAGTTAAGAGGTCATTTTTAAAGTCATTTAGCCCCTAAACTTTAGCTGGAGTTGGAAATATGTGTCAAAACAACATGCTGATATGTTAAAATTGTCATTGTATCAGACTCACATTTGCAGTTTTTACAGTACAGTAAGTTTAAGGAAGTCACAAATTCACATGCCTGAGGTTTGCCTCATATTACGCTTGTCATTTTTTTCATTTCATTTCTGATAAGCTATGTGTAAGATTTAAAAAAAGGACAGCCAAGTTTGGTCAACGTGAGAGGTGAGTCATGTCTAAAAATAGCAGCAGCAGCAGCACACTTGTTAACTGTCCATGGTAACCCCGTGTCCATCCAGCAGCATGCCAGTCTCACAGGCAGTTAGCATGACGGTATAAAGTTTCATTCTCTAGACTGAGTGATTGATCAATCATTCCAAAAGCTGGTTATTTAGTCCTGGATTTGATGTTTGGTGCAAACAACTTGCATTGTCATGGCAACATGTGCTCTGTAACTTGTTAACAAACCCAGTCTCTATTGTTAGAAGCATCATAAGAAAAATAACTGCATGCCTCACAGATGGTCTGTGTGTCCACAGCACTGTCCTCCTTCCTTGACCTAGATGGCAAAAGTCCACATCTTGAGACCCAGTCAGAACACTGATTGTGACTCACATGTATTTACGGCTGTAAATTCAAACAGTCAGAGGCCTCTGAGTGGCTGCACATGCTGTTTTTTGACTGACATCTCAAACAGGGTCACAGCTTGGACATGCCATACTGAACATCAACTTGGAAAATAATGATAGAGTAGAAGCAGTCAGAGGTAAGCAATAAATATCTTTTATAAAGGACTTCCTTTTCCAAATCTGGATTGTTTACAGACGACTTCAAGGTTTATTTGATCCATGGGAGATGCACCTTCTCAGTTTCACTGTAACTGTCAGATGTAGAGACGCTTTACTTGGGTTTACTTCATGATTTTCTTGTCTTTTACTTCCAATTAATAGTGTTATTTTAATACACCAGTGTGAGAAAGACAAGGTTTCTTTTTAATTCCAGCATTGCACTTGCTCTTGAAAATACAAATATAGATAGAAGGAGAATAGAAATAGGAATTAATAAGAATACATAAGAAATTAGAAATGACGCTGTATATGAAATTAAGCAATTTTGACAACATACTCCTCTCTTTACCACCGTCAGAGAATCCAGCTCTACCCCAGCACACATCAACAAACAGGATTGCACTGGCCACCACAGACGCATATGGAACATCCTCAGAATCATCCTGAAGATATTAAAAGACCTCAACTACCTGAGGAAGTAGAGACGACTGAGGCCTCTCTCGTAGACAGCTTCAGGAGTCTTTGACCAATCCAGTTTGTTATCGAAGTACACCCTCTGTAACTTGTTATCCTCCACAATGTCCACTCAAACCTCCTGGATGGAAAATCATGTGAAGCCTTTAAAGAGGTTTAATGAGAAAGGAAGAGTCTGCAAAAATGCATATCACCTCTTTAAAGTCAGAAAAGCTAGACCCCTAAGAACAGCTTAAATCGGGGAGTTAAGTTAGGATGATGTGAAGGTCCAATGGTGAACATGGGCCCTAAAAGATATTAAAACATATGTGGGAGTGAGGTTATGAGGCCCAAACTCATTGGTGGCAGCCCTGTTTGTTCATAAAGGCCGTTGTCAATCAAACCCTTCATTTCAAATGCTTTTGTTTTACATTAGACAAGCTTCCATCATGGATGGACTTTGGGATATCAGTATTCCTGACTAAAAAGCATCTTGCATACAGATTATTCAGTTGCCTTTATCTGCTTTCTGTTAATTAACATTCATGTACTGAAGGAAAGCAGCTGTCAGCACACAATAGACTGAGTTGTTTCTCAATAACCTCACCTTCCTGACTCTACATACATGCAGTAATTACTTGGCTAAAGCAGACTCATCTATTGCCTTTGTCAAATTCTTACTCATTACTGCGGACTTTGTGTAGCAACTCAGGTTCTCTGAGTTCAAGCAGAGATGGCTGTGCACGTGTTGCCAGTGAACATCGCACAAAGATGTTGTGACACGTGCTCTAAGTTCCTGCTCATAGATTTTTCAACATTAGTAGATTTTTGTGCACAGCAGAAAGCCAAGAAACCAAGTACACAAGCACTGTCACGTTACAAGTTAGTTTCATCTATTTTTTGTTAGTTAAATTTCATTCTTTTCTTCACAACTGCTTCATACGTCAAAACATATCACGTGTTTCCCACGCATGCACTGTTCTCACTTAGCATATTAGATCTTGAAAATGAAAATGTTTAGCAGACTGTTTGCACATGTTTCCAGGGCTCTAAAATAAAGAAAAATTCAAGAGCACAGACATTTAATGAGACAGATGAAAGTGCATAAAAGATTCACAGCATTTTGTCAATTTCATGTTAAAAAACTGCATTGCAGATCCTTTTAGAGTTTGTAAAAGGATGTTTTTTGGTAAGTGGAGCTCGATTTGAGGCTAAATTATAATTTATATACTTACATACTGATTTGTGTACACATTTATATATATATATAAATATATACATATATATACATATTCATATATATATATATATATATATATATGTATATATATACACACATATATATAAATATATACATATACATATATATATATGTATATATATGTATATATATACACACACACATATATATATATACATATATTTATTTATTTCTAAAAAAAAAAAAAAAGATGAGCAAAAGTACATTTCACATTTGCCGACCAAGTATCTCAATTTTCTAGTCAATGGACTCAAAGGATTTTTGATCATGTTTTTACTTACAGATTCTGCTTTAAAAAAAATGACAATTACCTTTTCAAAAATATATAGCAGGTCCAACTGTCCGTGGCTCTGTTTTCTCTCTTATACCAGTTCTCACCTCTAGTAGAACAAACATATATCTCTGTTACATGTCATATTCGATGCTTATGCTAAGCAATCTGAAGAAATAATCTTTTATTTAATGACTAGGTGAGTGTATCTTCTTTGGAAATCTAACAAAGCAGTAAAAAAATCCCTAAAACTTTACTAGCCAAGACTGTCAAGCATGTCTTCACATTAGTAGTATATTAGTATAGCCTGTATCACTCATATTAATGTTAGATGTCCTTAGCTGATTCCTCTCGCCTGACTGCACCATGACCTCATCCTTTTTATTGTCACCCCATAAAACAACCTCCAGTAAGCAGCAGATCACTCAGTATTTTTGTGTCCACGTGTTTTCATTCACACTGACACAACAAAACAAACACCTGAGTGCTGCTCTCACATGACCCTGGCAGAGCAATTTTCATCAGTTGATTTATGTTGATAAGTGGAAGAAGGGAAAAAATGTTCCCTGATGAAAAAAACAATAAACACAGTGAGTCAAAAATCTTTCTCCATCCCAAAGATATTGTTATGTGTTTATTTTTGGTTAAAATTACATCTTCAGGCCAGTTTTAATGTGAAACTGTTTTGAATTGGTAAGTGCTCTGTTTTTTTCTGTTATTCTGGGACGCAGACTGGAGTTACACAATAATGTAGGTCATCTTACTCACTTATGTTTTTTTTTCACTCCCCTAAGTGAATATTTGAATTTTAAAACGTTGTACCCTCATGACGAAACAGCGTTTATGGGCATCAACCACTGAAAAGAAAGGCCATGACTGACATCAAGGCTGCGGATGACGCAGAAATAAAGGGTGAGGTAGAGAGGAGGAGGAGGAGGAGGGAGACGTGTGCAGGTGAGCAGCTGACTGATTAACATCACAGCTGAAAATGAGCAGATGCAAACAGAAACATGTCTTTGTGTTTCATCAGCAGGAGGAGCAGGAGCTACAGAGTGAATTAACGTTCCCAGGCAGCCTGAGGGGGGGGAGGACGATTTATCGAGTCATAATGTCGATAGTGTCAAGCCTCCACAATTTGACCCACATTCAGTGTCCAAACAACTCACCGGAGCTCCTCCTGTTCAAATCTCTCTGTGCATATTTCTGTTATCCCAGATGAGATGACTGCTGAGACTCAGCCTCCTCAGGTAGAGCTGCGTAGATAAGCTGCAAGGCTGACATAATTATGAAGTTATTAAATTCATTCATGTCCTCAAGGAATGATTCATGTGTTTCAGAATAAAAGCTTGGATAAAATAAAAGTCAGAGGTGAAGAGGCCCCCGTTAGTTCAACTTGAATCCAGCTCTGCCACTCTGAACAGCAAATTGAAACGCTCAACCAAGACAGTGCTGTCTATTTAAACTTAGTTTAACCCAAAACGGCCTCATAATAACCTGCTTTGACACAGACGACCTGAAGAATTCAGACCACGTGCCTTTTCAGTCAACAGAGTGTCCTTGTGTGTAAAAGCTGAACTTTATCAGCAGAGCTTTTATTAAACTTCCTGGAGTGGGTGAGCGTGTGAATCAAACCAAGCATATGGTGTCATCACACAGACTCGCTTTATGCGTGCATGTGTTTCAGCTGTCTGTACATCAACAGCTGTTGCTGAAATACTCGCACCGGTGGTGACTCATCATGGAGGTAAGGTCAAAGAAAATCTAAGGTCAACTAGCTGACTATGTTAATTCCTGCAGGTACATAAAAGTCTTCATCACCTCATTCCCAACTTAAAGACTTATAATCAGCTTTATAAAACAGCACTTTTTGTCTCACTTAAACCCTGAGTAATGTTTCTCTGACGTATTTCAGGCAGTAGAAAACTGATTTGAAATGGTGCCTGTGCTGTGCTTTAGCACTCAAGTGATATTGAAAACAACCACCAATTCACCATGTTGTCCCATTTATCACACATTTTATCACAAATGCTTTAAAACATCTAAATATTAAAACACCAGAATTTGGGTTACCACAACAAGTGATATATTTAGCTAACAAATCTTTGTTGGGAAAATGCAACCTGTAATACAAAAGAGACAAACACAGAGTAAGAGCTACAGTATTATGGGGGCAAAGTCTGACATAAATCAACTCCTTATTTTGATAATATCTATAGAGCAAACTCAATGGACAGGAATGCGCAACAGTACACCTGAAGTATCAATGATACAAGGGTGACCATACGTCCTCTTTTACCCGAACATGTCCCCTAATATGGGGGCTGTACGGCCTTGTCTGGCCTTGTCCTGGGGAGTTTATAAACTCGTTCAAATGTCCGGGGTTTTTAATGAAAGTTTTGAGTTTGTTTCTCGTGGACTTGCTGAGTTGGAAGCGTGTAAAAAACACTTGACCCGACCCCAAAAACTCAAAATTTACTACGTGCGACTCTGTGACTCCGCCCCCGCGTACTCGTGTCCTTTTTTTGGGGATTCAGAATATGGTCACCCTAAAAAATGCTGTACACTGTTGTTTGCTTGTGCTTATGAATGTTAAAAGTAATGTTTGTTTTTCAGTACTTTACAAGTCAACCAAAATGGGGATGAATTTAAAATAAACATTCATGTACAGCAGATTAAAGTTTTATGAACAGAGATATATTGTTGCGAATCTAACAAGCTAATGAATTCAGACTGTTCGCTGTTTACACTAGCAGATAACTAGCAACAATTTTTCTGTGTAGAAGTTTTATCATGTGATAACTACACTTTCAATCCTCAAGTCCAGTTCCATTTACAATCTGAATATCATTCAGCATTCACAAACACATTTATTTGTGGTGAAGGATGCACCATCTATCTGCGTTAAATTAAAATGTGTTGGTAAGACGGGGGATTCTGAAAATACATCCTTTGCTCGTTCCATCTTTCTTCCAGTGTCAGGGACTCGGCGTGTTGCTGTCTCTGAAGCTGGAGCTTAAATTTAGGCTCCCGTCTGTACAATCCTCTTACCAAATCACACCTCATGTATGAACCTCTCCTTTCTACCTGTAGGTATTTAAATAAGCTCCAATTCATGTGTTTAAAAGAGACAAATTAAATCTGTTTAGTTTAAGTTTTATCACATGATTCAAATAGTAAGCCTCAGACATTTAAGTTTTATATTTTTCATGTGAGAAAGAAAACAGGAGCTGCACATGAACTTCTCTTTTCTTCCCCACAAACAAGTTACTGACTTTTATGTTGGTACTCTGCTTTAAAGATCACCTTTAGTGTCTATACGGACTGCTGGACCTATTTTAGCATGCACTGAGTAAGTACAGAAAATCACAAGGCTCACAAAACAAACACTTTTGAAGTCATCTGATGTTTCTTTAGGAGTCTGGTGCGATTGTATGTATCAATGATAGAACTAGACGATCTTTCACAGTTTTATTAACAAAATGTATAAATTCTCAGTGAAACATACTTTTTTATTGATACAGTCAGATCAGAAATTCCATTATCAGTTCTCTCATCCTGCCGTTGACTTCACTATTGATTTCTGTTTAAAAAGCTTGTCTTATCATCTTTTCTCAAAGCTTTCGCAAAGGAACTCTATGTAAGGAGGGGGTTTATATGAGAGAAATCTTCTAAAATTTGACTAATCGAACTCCAATCGAACTCACTGATGAGAAAGCAGTACAACTACTCGTCCCCCGTCTCACCTCCATGGCAGTGCCACTTCCTCCGTCTGCCCCTGAGAGGCTGCCAGTTCATCTCTGGCACAACAATGTGACCAGCAGCCTGGACCGCCCACTCATGTCTGCTGTGACTTCTGCTGGAGTGAAACCAGCCACAGCAATGCACTATAACAGGAACACACATAGAGCATACACAGTGCACCATGAATATCCTATGTGCTATTTTGTGCATGCTTCATAAACATAGACTTCTACCCACACAAACTCACACACAAGCTAACAAGTGTGTGCTATGGCTCTGTTTGGATGAAGTGGAGGAGTGTTATAATAATTCTGCTGGTGTCAGTAAGTTAATGGGGCCACTGGGATTTGGAGTGATGCACCCAATGGTAAGAATTGTTGTGCCTTTTTGTAGGAGCATGGATAAAGTTAGTAACAAATGATATTCTGAACTGATAACTATTATCTTTGTCTACCAACTTTGATAAATTAAAGATATTTTGGTTCATTGTGCATTTTTATCTCTCTATCATTCTCAGTTGACACCCTCATACTGTACAGGTACCAATAATCCACAACTCTGAATATTAAATAAACTAAATGCTTATGTTATGGCTTCATTTGACGTAGTTTTTTAGGATTTTATAGCTAACAGAGGTCAAATTTATCCTAGAAAGAAACCTCAAATATCTTTTGACTTCGTGGTTGTGATACAAAACAACCGCCCATCATGCAGTACAAACATGCTGATCCAGAACTGTGTCCATGTGCACTGAGGCTGCAGTTAACAGGGTAGTGGTATTAGGCTCTTCTTGGAACTGCGAATGGGTGCCGCTGCTCTTCCAGTTGATTTTGTTACGTAACTTTTGTCCATGGCTCATTATTTACAGCGATCACTGCAGGGGGAGTTTGATTTATCAATGCCAGTGAGATCGCAGCTGCTCTCATTCCTGCACACGGTAGCTCTGTAGTTTGGGTGACCAGTCAGTGCATCAAAAGGGAGACAGAAAAAGTTGTTTAGTTTCATCTTTTTTTTTTGGTATTTGTCATCTGCACTTTAGCCGGACCACCAAGTTTTTTCTGCTCTGTGCAGTCTGGCAGGGCTGAGTGCCCATTTGATTTCAACAGACTTGTTTTCAGGCCGGCTTCTTTCTGAAAACTGAAAAGCCACCCTCTATGTAAGAAGAAACAAAATCCTCTGAATGGACTGTCATTTTTTATTGCTGTTATTTTTATGTTATTTTGCAGTTTACATCTAGATTTTTATGAGTCCTTTTGCCCCTTTATTAAAAGTTTTAAGCAGAATTTGGTTGAGACCGAGAGTCCAGATGCAGATGCAAATGTACATTTTTATGAATGCTTGAATGCATCAGAAGTGCTTCTCATAAAGTTTCTGAGTCATTTAGCAAAAGTTAACAGTAAAGACACGGTCCAGAGAAAATAAGATTCCAGTTATCTGACATTACAAAAAGGACATTTAAATTGCAGATAAAAGCACAATAATAGAAAATGAAGCTGAAGATGGTTGGAATAATCCATCTTCAGCTGTACATTATGTCCTGTTCAAACAGAGCAGAAAATAGGCTTCAGAGATGCTGCCTAAGGGAGGCACTGCTGTACTCTGACAGAAACATCACTGCTGCTCATGAAAAAGGACAGGCCATTTGCTGTGCACACAGCCAAGCCACTCCAGACAGTGGCATGAGGTCTGTCTGTGTAGAGCATCATCCAATCCAAATGTTGCTTATTAAGGCGAGAGACAGTTTTGTACAGGCTGTAAAAGTTCTGCAGCACAAAGTGGTCATAAGAGTTTTAATTGTGATTAGATTGTTGAACACAGATTTTTCCTTTACAAAGAAAACTTCTTGGTTCATGATACAGATTTATTTACTACTTGTAACGATGCATTGGTTTTCTGATTTAAGGAGACAAAAATAGGCTGCAAAGGCTTTTTAAAAAGTTTTTAAAAAGTTGTAAAGAAATTGGTCACGATCCACAGCATCCATAAATAGTTTTTCAACAGCACTAGAGAACACAAAAAGCACAGTACAATAACATGACAAATGCTCAAACCTGAGCTTCTTTTGATAGACTGTAGTTCATCTCTGTCAGTATTACGACAACATTTATCTGTCTGTGTCTTGATTGAGTGGCTGACACACTGCGGAGCTGCAGTTACACACCAATACCGAAGCAATTCAAAGCCACACATGTTAAATATAAGAATCAATTTTCTTTTAAATGGGTCTCATCATCCTTTTCAAAATTATTCCTCTCTGTTATGTTGTCTGTTTCACCTTTTTGTTCCCGTCTTTTGATGACCACTCCCCTCTCTCATCTGTTTCTCTACTTTAACCCTCATCTCCTATTATTACTCTCATCATTTGTTTACCTTTGTTTGTCCATCTGTTCTTTTATTCGTGTCTCACACTTTACTCCTCGACAATGGTTCTCTCTTCCTGACACACTGACATACATTTCTGAATTGATGACCTACATTCACAACTCTGGGCTTCCATCACTCGCTACAGCAATCTCCCTCTCTCCTCCCTTGTTTATCTTGCCCCGTCTCTCCCTCGCTAACCCTCACTCTCATTCACGGGATGTTGATGATTTTCATCTGCAGCTGCCTCATTAAATGTTAAGTGGCTGTCATGATGTTTGTTTTTCATTTCCTCTATCAATAGGAGAGTGCTTGTGTCTTTGTACTGTATCATTTTTTTCAATATGTGATTTTTTTTTCCCTGGTGATAAACCTGACTCTCTTTATATGCAACCTATTTGAGAAATTTATATAACTTTGTAACTGAAAAAAGTGGATTTAGTGTGTTCAAGAAATAAGCACAAGGGTTATTTAGAAGACTGTGTGAAAAAAAGGCTTTTCAGATGTACAACTTCTACATCTGCTTTGACCTCAATATTTGATTTTTTTCCCCAAAAGTCAATAAATGAGTTTTACTGTTTAAGTCTTCTCGGTCTGTAGACTAAATGTGGTTTTGATGAGCAGTTAATCTTTGAAGGACCTCAGAAAAATGATCCTAATTTGACCTGAAATTCAAAATTGCTGACTTACTCTAAGTTTTAAAAGATAGACACAAGAGACTTTTTGTAGTATTCTAGAAAATTGTGTGCGTGGCTGATAGTGCCATTAAAGGGATATTCTGGCGTAATAGTTTCTGCAGGAAAGGTCTCTATTACTCCACTGGCCTCCTGTGTGACATGTTTGGTTACGTTACAAGTATTCTAAGACCTTTCCTGCAGAAACTAGGGGGGCGCTATGACCAAGGTCTAATATTACCACACAAATGTGTTTTGGCCTGGATCTTTATTAAGCAAGGTGAGATCAGATCAGACTGGAGCATGAAACACTCAACTTTGAGGGCTTACCACAGCCAAGCCCTTTGACTTATCTGCAGAAACCCATCAGTCTTTCATTGTTTAGATCTCTTCTACCTGTAAATTTGCTCATGAGCAGATATGAGAAATTATCCCTGGAAATGCCCCTAAAAACATGTGTTTTTTGCTTGTGTTTTTAAAATATTGGACTTCCTATTGACACTTCACTACACCAAATCAAACCTCACTACTGTAACACTCTTTAACCTTACTTACAGGATGTATTTGTGATTTGGTTTGAGTTCATAGAGAAAGAAAGTCACTTTAAACTTTAAATATCCTTGAAGGCTTGTGGGTTTGCACATCGATTTGAATTTGTATAAACTGTGCCCTGACGACACAACTTCTCCCTGCTGTGAACTCGACACCAAATCAACACAACACTCGACATCGAAGTAAAAGCTTGAATAGTTTTCTGACTTCTTATTGGGTGAAAGTTGAGTTCCTGTCTTTCACTGTAGTCTCCTCTATTACAGCAACAGAATCCCACCAGTCAGCATGGATCCACCTGTTGCTGAGTGAAAAAGTAATGTTTACTGTATAACTTTTTTTCAGTAACAACCTCGATTCTACTCTTAACTGTAAACAGCAAACAGTCAGGTCTGATTGTCTTATGTTTATAGACATGATAGACAGAGTCCTGATGATGCTTTTAAGATGAATGAAGGGCATGAAACAGCTCTAGCCTGAGAGCCTACAGTGCTTTAATGCAGCCTTGACTTTAGCTGTACTGAGATAATTTCTGTGTTGCCTCACTTCATCAGTGAGTGAGTAAACAGACAGAAAAGCTCGTCAAATGCGGAACAAAATGTTCTCAGAACATTGGTCCTATTAACAGTTTCTGTTTAAACAAGTTTATCTATCTTTTTCTCTTCAAATAGGGGTTAAAACAGACTAGCTAATCATTGTTCCCATTTAGGGTATTCATCAGAGAGTTGTGTGATAATAAGCTTGAACCTTATGGATAACCATCGCTATTTTGTTTAAAGCCAGAATTTCTTACAGATTACTTAGCCGTGCATTTTTTTTTTAGGTAGAGATCTTGAATTAATTTCTACAGGATGTGAAATGTGCCCTCTCCTGGGAACAGTATGAAACTACACTCCTCAATGTACCTACAGGTTTAGTGGCCCTGTATATCATTTGGTACACAGATGCCCTCATGTCTGGGGTTAAAGTAGATATGACAAGTTGTGAAGATAGAAATTCAGTCCACTTCACCTATTGCACCATGTGTGCTCACCTTCTCCATGCCAAAATCAGGGCCCAGGTTCAGCCATCAAGTCAAAAAGGTGTGGACATTATTCTGTATGCACATGATGTTACCACATGATAAACATGTGCATAAGGAGAGTAGATGGTTTATGTGTAAGTGGATAAGTGGATTTGAACAAATGTGTTTCACTATTTTCCGCTCTCCCATCATCCATGAAAAGTGTGATTGTTAAAGAAATAAAGAACTAAACAAATCCTCAATGAATTTCACTCCCCTTTCATGTTTTTTTTTTCAATGAAACAGCATCACTAGTTTCTGTCACTGAAATGGGATGCATAATAACAGCCTGTGCGTGTGATGCTGTGCAATCAGAGAAGAGAGAAAGGACCTTCGTCACCACGTGCCCCACGCTTGCACTAAACGTGATGAGAAACAAGAGGGAAAAAGAGACGTTTGCACCTTTCCACCTTTCCCACGAAGGTCTTCCTGGCTGTAACTTCTTTTTCTTTTGGCAGTGGGAGAGGTCGTCTGCTTTGTATTTTTTTTCCCCTTTTTCTATGAAATCTGGTCTTTTTTTCAATTCTGCCATCTGTAGCTTTCTTTTCCATTATTCCAATCTTCCCAGTTCTATTTATCCTTTTCCTTTTCCTCTGTTTTCCTCCTGATTCTCATCTCCCGTGCTTGTGTTTTCATCCAACGTCTGATCTCTATTTCCCCTTTCTTTATTGTGTTTCTCTATCACTGTGTTTCTCCGTGGCCACCGAATTGCTGCCAACTGATGCTTCTGTGCAGCAGGTGATCAATCAGCCCTCTATTTTCCTCAGCACAAGGCACAGGGGTGCCGCAGCAGGCGGCCATGACACGTGCTTGTGGGTTGACACTACCCCTACCACGACAACCCCCTCTGATGCACAAACCCAGTCAGTATTCTTGATCTATCTGTGCACCTCCTGTCCTCTCTGCTTTTTTGTTGCTTTGGGACCATTTACTGAGCTTTTATCCTGTAATTGCTACATTTTGACATTTTGACAGTGCACTTCCAGCTTTGACCAATTCTAAAAGTTATTTAAACTTAAATAATTTCTTGCAATTAACAACCTTGTCCGCACATTGCTCTTTAATCTCCTTTTCCCTGTATAATAACGAGCTTTGCCTATAAAACCTTGGTAGCTAACTGTTTCCATGTAGTCAGCTAGTCAAAAATGAAATCTTATAAAGTTTTTCTTTGCTGTTTTAGAAGTTTTTCTTCACATAGGCTTCGAACTTAATAGGCCTGCACACTCACTCATGTAGAACAACAATCAGAAAACTGTCTATACCATTACAGACATTAATGTAAAACCCTCAACAATGCTTTTTATCATTTTACTGTTGTTTTGCTTGATCTTAAATTAGCTCCTGCTCTGCAGCCTTCTGGAGTCTTCTGATTGGCCAAATGGAAACAGACCTCTGATTGGCCAAATAAAAAGAAGCCTCTCATTGGTCAAATAACAAAAGGTATCCAACCCCCAATTTCCACTGCATCCGGAATGGCTACAAAAAAGCTGTATCCACCTATCGTAGCTGATCGTAACCATTCAAGTTAATGTGCCAATTTCCACCGTCTTTTTCCATTCCACTGCGGATCGCCAGACTCCGCAGCAGATCGCAAGAGTTCAATTTTTTCTGGATGCCGGAGCATGCCGGATAAATTCAGCACCGATTAACCAGTGCTGGAAAGGGCACAGACACTAAATAAAACATCCAGCTTCTTTTTAAAATAAAACAATCCATGTTTCAAGCGGATCGTATTTCACAGCATGCAAACGGGTGAGTACGAACAAGTGAAAGGTTTATAGAAAGCATTAGATGACATCTACTGCTTATGTGGTTAGCCTATGTGGCTAAAGACAACTTGTTATTGCATGATTCCACGTGAACCCGCAGGTTCTTGTAAGTTCTCGTGATTCCTGCTGTTCGTATTCCACCACGAAATTCCCCTTACAAATGGCTCCAGTAGGAATTGGCGGACAGCAAAAATCGCTGCCGTTCCGGATTGGAGCTGTTCCGGATGCGGTGAGTATTGGCGGTTGAAAGGCTCTTGATGGAAGTCAAAATGGTTTTGCTTTTTTCATGTGTATACCAAACTACTTTTTTAAAGCTGTACTGCACCTGTCACATAAACATGTACGTATTGTTACTTTCCTCTAATACTTCTGACCAAGAAAAAAAAATGCAATTAATTCTGCATAGTAATGCCCAAGCAGTGACTCAGCAACCAACTGCTCTCGAGGAGATGAATGTTTCTAATTAGATGTTTATCTTTGTTTCACCAGATGATGACCTTGAAAGTCATTCTCACAGATATAAAAAAAGGTCACCCTGAATACAAGGCCTACCACAGTGGAAGACTTGATAAGCAAGCTGAAAGAATCACTGGGACTTTATTACAACTACAGCCTCCAATACAAAGATCCTGAATTCAATTACGAACTATGCAATCTGACGGATATTGAAGATCTTACAGAAAAACCTACCTAGATCAGCTACATGTCCAACTTTCTGGAGGGATTTGATCAGGCAGCCTTCGGGGGAGCCCGCAAAGACTTGATTGATGAAATGCAGAAGACAATACCGAATGGACCACTTGTGAAACAGAAGATGGACCTGACTTTAGCATGAGGAAAAAAGAGGTGGTGGAGTCTGAACCTGCCATATCCCAATCCAGATCTCTTTTTAAATCTGATACAAACATACACAATGAATCAGCTTCTGTGAGACTTTTAGTTTTCATCAGAGGCCTTTAAAACATGCTCACTAGGATCAGTATAATTACCCTCTGCTGTCCTTTAAATTCTCACTCTCTGACATAAACTGTGAGAAAAAACAATTACCCAGGTGCAACAAATTCCCTTGAGCTACTTTCCTCCCAGGTTGTGATAACAGAAAGGAGAAGCAAACTTAGCATTTATAACTGTCCACTCATTAAACAGATTTTTGATATCAGAGACAGAGATATGGACATTTTAATGTGTATACAAATGAACTTGGTTGATTAACCAAATTGGACATATCTTGTGTCAATATCTAATAACATATAAATTGAGTGAAAGGTGAATCTTCTCCATCTAACAGTGAGCTTTCTGAGGACAAAATCTAAAAGCCCTGCAGTGCAGCTTGGGCTCTGGCTCTCACTTTTCCTGGTATGCTGTTGAATCTTGCACCATGTTATCACCTTCTCTTGTCTCCTAAGATGATCTCTTCTCATGGCAGTGAGACAATATTCAGTATTTTTTGCTGTCTGGGGAGCAGCTAAAAATAAACTTGTGCAAACAGGCTGGACTCATTACTGAACAAGCTGACAGAATCTGCTGTCCACTAACCATCAAAAAGTTCTGCCATCAGCTTCACTTGAACCACATACAGGAATCTTTCCCAGTCTCCCATGATTGTGAAAGGGGTGTCATTACCTTTGTGGTTGCCTTTATTAAACTCAAATTGTACACGAATAAGCCCATCAGCAATTCAGGCTAGTGTGAATATGTCAGATTTCTTACAATCATTAATGTTTTTGCAGGTACTTCTAAAAATAATGTAATACCCTGATAAATATCAGTGGTATTTGTTTCATTATCTTAATGTAAATAAGTTAAGGATAACATGCCAGTTCATGGTTAAGTCATACCTGCCAACATTTGAGTTATAAAATCCAGAAGGTTTTTGCAGTGCACGCCGGGCAGTTTTGGGGTCACCTTGTATGGTGGATATGAGATAATTATGAGAGTATTTGTAATTAAATTGCTCATCTAAATAAGTATAAGTGAAGCTGCACACTTTTTTGTTTTGTTTTAACAATAACAAATGTTAAGAATAATAATAATAATAATAGATTGTAGTTGTAGATTGTAGATAGTTTTATTTTTCTTCTCCCTTTTTCCTTTTTCTAAATTTTTTCTTATTACATTTATTTAAGTTCTTAATATTAGGATCTTTATTTTTATAACTGCATTTTTGCACTCTTTGTCTGTGACAAAAAAAAATTCCCCCATGGGGGATCAATAAAGGATTATTCTATAGTCTATTCTAATAATAATAATAATAATAATAGCTGTGATATGCCTTGAACTTGTTTAGTCCACTAATATTAGTGTTAAAGTCCTCATGTGTTTTACATGCTCTCCCGTATGAGGCGCTTTGAACATCTGTGCATGCAATACAGCACTCTTTTATCTGAGGCTGCCCTGAACGCATCACGCCGAGAAGGTGCAAGACTGCAAAAATTAATATTATATCTCGCGTTTGTTTCCCTTTCACTGAAGTTTTCATTTTACAACAAACACTGCTTTAATAAAGTTTACAGTTTAAACCGACCTGAATCATCCCAAGTTGTACAGTAAAAGTATAAATCCAGTGTCTGTGTGGCTCAGCAGGACCATCTTCGGTTGTCTGGAAACCTGGAAACTTTGGACAAATATAGGTATTCGTGAATGAACGTGGACCATGCAAACTACGGGAGATTCCCGGGAGAAATGACAAAACGGGAGGCGGGCAGGAGAGAGGTCGAAAAACGGGAGGGTTCCGGGAAAAACGGAAGTGTTAGCTGGTATGGATTAAGTTAAAATTTACATTAAAACTATTTGATATAAAGAAGATATTAAAATTTATGAATGATTTACTTTTAAAATGAGTGACTTTAAAAACATAATTCCATTGGGTGTGAATGTCTTTAAAAAATGTTAAAATTAATTCTGTTAGGAGCGTGAGTTCATGACCATAACGTGTTTACACTTCCGGGAGAGACCGCGAGAGAGGAAGGAGAGGGAACATCGTGCTAATGGCGTAGATGAGCTGAGACTCTGGGACTGTGGGACTGTGTGTGCCGTCAGTGTGGAGTTTGATAAGTGACGGACTGTAAACTGTAGTTGACCGACGTGTTGGAAAAGTGTGAGTCGGACTCTCCACCACCGCTTGTGTTTCGGTGAGCACAAAGCTAGTTCCGGTTACGGTAGCTAGCAGGAGCTAGGCTAACGCTACGGTCCACGCTGAGGGGAGACAACGCTGCCTGCACTCCAGGACGGGACAGGAGCTTCGGTGAGCCGTCTCGGGAGACAGTTGTTGACGGAGGACGTGTCGCTGCTGCCGAGGGACGGAGGTGTGTCGCTGCGAGCTGCTGCGGGCGGAGACGGGTGCTACCACAAAGAGCGAGCGATTCATGAGCTGCGTCCTGGTCTGACTGACTTCACCTACACACTGAGGTACTGGTATGAAAGGTTTCCATTATGAGCTCTAACTAAAGCGCGCCAACAAAAGTTGACAAAGAGTGGCAAACATTAGGCAGTTGAGAAAAGACAAAAAACTATACCCCGGGATTCTAATTTTTTATTTTCTATATTCTTTCTTTGGATGGGTGTTTTCCCTGCATTGTTAATCCATTCAAAGAAAAAAACTGAGATCCTGTATTGGTTTTATTGTCTTGGTTTTTATTACTTAAGTATTACAGTAGAGTTTACATGTCAGGTGTATTCCCCATAGTCTCCAACTGTAGGGCTGCCAAGTTTCAGAAAATGACAAGTGAGACTTTAGTGTTATAATGTATTCGGACACTGACCTGTGGTTGGCAGCGAAAAAATTGTCCTTTTTTTATGTTGATTTGTACCTGAAGACTGATACCCCTGCACTGTGGCCTCCTAATGCTCGTCTTAATTAATCAGAAATTAGAAATGCAGATCTTAACAAGAATTTTCACAAAATACAATTATTTGTCGCATTATTTGTCGCATTTTAACCATAGACTGGACAGAGTCTGTCTCCTCGCTGGGTGAAGCCACTCAGAGAACAGCACCTTCTGGTGACGGGCTGCAGTATAGGTCATAAATCTTGCCCTCACCAGTACAGCTTTGCAACTGATTATTTAAAAGTGAGAATCATACAGTACCATAGAGTGATATTTACTATTTAAGATGTGACTTTTACGATAAAATATTTGACAGGAGTTAAAGCTTCATCTTCAAGCATAAGGTGGGTTTTAATAACACAAGTTGGTAGTAAAAGGGTTACAATAAGAAATGCATTTTTACAATATGACCGGACAAGCAGGGCAGCCCAAAAAAAAAAAAAAAAAAACGCACACAGAAAAGTTTATGTAAAATACAAACACATATTATTTCAGAATTAACTGTAAATAAAGTTCTTACGCTTTGTAAAGTAACAGAGTTTTAATGTGTGAAGAGCCTACACAAAAACTCACACTCACTGTGTGTGGACACAAATCATGAGACGACTCTTGTAAATGTAAGGTTATTATTTTCCTATAATTTTCTTCATTCATGTGATAAAAAAGGTCATCACTGTGTTAAGACTTTGACATACGTCTTATTAAAATACACTAAAAGAGAGAAAACAAAATAAGAAAGGGATAGACGGGGAAAGCAGATTTTTGGAATCGAAGATTACTGGAGGATCTATGCTTAAGATTTAATTTGAGTCTTTTTTTTTACAGGCGATTAAGAGAGAGAGAGAGAGAGAGAGAGAGAGAGAGAGAAATAAAAATGTGGTCAGACTATCATTCCACATCTTTCTCTACAGACTGTTCTGCAGACACTGATCTCTCCAGTGGGAGAGGTAGGAACAGTTTGTACTCTAGTCTGCAACAGTTTGTTTTCCAGACCAGTCAATATCGAACAACACAAGAGGTGTTAGTCAGACTTCTCAGCAGCCAGAGCTCTGGCACACTGATGGAATTGACAAATGACACTGACATATTTCAACAAAATCAAAACAGGTACAACGAAGGGAGTATCTTATGTCTGGGTAAGCCAGGGAAGTTTACAGCAAAGAAACTGTGAAACATTTTTTTTATTATTTTTACCAACACCAAACTAATATATAAAAATCTACCATAAGAAATAAAAAACTATGAGGTGTAGTTTTTTAAATATTCAACTTTGGCCTAGCTCTTCTTAACCATATTTAATCAAATTTTAGTCAAGGGTAACAAAATCTAAACAAATCTGTAGCTGATGTCAGTGTTAAAAGGTAATCGAGAACAGATTTAAATATGTCTTAGGCTTACTAGAATATTTTGTCATCAAAAAGTGATAGACATACATTTTTTGTATAGCCAAGTGTTGTGTATTAATAACCAATGCATCAGCGTGGTTCTGACTCAGACATGACAACTCATTATAGCCGATAGTTTGCACATCCATCCTTCACTACATATTCCTTCAGTTCGACTCAAACTTGAAAATCCTTCTCTCTTGCTTCCACCTGCTATGTTAAATACTCCCTAGCTTTCTGAGAGTAACACATTTCCTGCTTTTTATTTGACTTGAACAGTTGCATAACTATTTTTCATAACTTCTGCAGCATTTTGAGCACATTCCTGTTCAGCTGAGCTCCCAGAGGAATGTGTTGTCAGGGACCCCCGCAGGCATGAAAGAACCGCCGCAAAATATATAAATAATAATGATGGCAGCTATTGTCAGATTGTCACTTGCTGTATGATACCTCAACGTCCCATTTTCTTTTACATTGTTCCTTATTTTTCAGTGCAGCTTTTTCTGTTGCTTTGTTAAACGGATGCATAAGTCGGGAGAAAAAATAATATCCAGCCCCCAGGAGGCTAAGAAAGAGTGACAGGCTGAAGAGTTAAGGGCGGAGAAACAAAGCAAAACAAACACAAAGGATTTTATGAATCAAGCTAGTTATCTAAATTATGTGATGCTATAACTTAAATTCAGTAAAGCTTTGTTGTGCTGAGCGAGGGCTGTGATAAGCTTAAGAAAAAAAAAACCTTTAGAGGGTTTATCCAAGGTACTCAGGCTTGTAAGGTTGATGAGTGAACCTACTTTGCATAAAGGTGTGATTGTGAGTGGTCGTATGTCTCTTCAAGTCAGCTCTGTGACTGATTTATAGGACCTGTCAGAGGTGTTTACTCCCCTTGTCAAATGGCTTTCAGGACGCTCCAGCCCCCAGGGATGTGCCAATCATGGTGATTTCCCAAAAATATAAAAATACAGGATAAAAATTAACTCAAGAGAACAAAATATACTGTTACCGATAGTTACAGTGCATCATTTAAAGGTGGACTATATTTCAGTGCTATTGTCAGATATAGAAGAGGCTTTAGCTCCCTGGTAGATGAAAAGTGTGAGAATAAAGGGATGGGTGGATTTAGCTTGGATACCTCTGAAATGTCAAATCAGTTTGATGCTGTTTTTTTTTTTTTTTTCTCATGTTCAGATTACCAAGCTGGCATTTTTATTTTTGCAGTACAAACAAACTATGACGTGTTTGTCATTGTGATTTAAAGTGTCGGTCTTGGTCTGACTCCAAGTCTGCTGTGGCTGTTTTGTGGCATAAATGCAAAGACTGAGGGTGCATTAACATCAGGGTGGACTATTTAATTTAATTTAATAGATTTAGATAAAAAAAACAAAACAAAAACAGTGGTGTGTTTCCCTCTCAAGCTCTGGTCATTTGGAAATATGTGAACACAGTAATCATATACTGATGCAGAACAAAACAAGCAAGGTGACCCCCCCCCCAGGAGAGGTGGTCTCGACTTGCTTCCTGTTAAACCCTGCAGTGCTTTGTCTGTAAGAAAAACTCAATCAACCTGCGGACTGAATATTAAAATAATTGCTGTGAATGTTCACAAAGTGTCACACTAAAACATTTAGAGCTCACTCTACTAACTGACTCCAGTATAATTCGTAAAACTTTCTTCCTCTCTTATAACGAATAAATGGATCAAACTATGAAATGAAAACTTTCTTTTTCAAACATGGTCTTTGTTATTATTGTAAGGACTTAATATTCTGATTGTTGATTTTCTAGTTTTCATTTTTCTTACAAATTCAATTTTAAGTCGTAATTTGATTTTGAAAGATGATTAAGAGCTTTGCAGAGAAGTAGAAGGAATTACAAGAATGAAGCAATGACTAACACAAGAACCACTAAACTTCATCACCACAGATGTCTGTTGTAGACTTCTGTATTTTTGGGGAGTGGTGTCTAACATTTGACATATAAGCTCATTTTCCTCATAAGTGTTGGTGAGGCATTTGACCTCTGACTCCAAGAGTAGTGCAGTGGCTGACATTATAGTAATGTGAAATTATAAAGCACTTAATCCTTTAAGACTGTTGGCAAACACGGTAAGGAGGAGAGAGAGACTTAGATGAATCAGAAAGTTAATAAATAGTGAACTGAAAGCTTAGTTTAAAAAAGAGGCTGTTTGGTCCCTGTGACACTTTTTGTTTGGTAAATGTTTTTATACTATACACTGAGTATTTTTTTTCCAGTTCCTATTTAATAAGGGAGTAAAAAAACAAACAAACATTAAAACTGACCTCAAATCTGTTTACACAGACAGCTCATCGTTAGAACCTGTCCATCATATTTAATGACCGATGAATTATACTCTACTGACATATCTCTGTCTGACTACCAAAATAAGAGGATGTAAAAACTTGGGGCACATTTGTGTGCAGTAATAATAGTATTAATGTACCACTATATACTATGTTTTTTTATGTTTTTTTATATATTTCATGGATTTTACACCATCTGTCCATGTTGATGATGCAAGATAACGGTTAACAAAAACTGTCCAATTAAAGCTGTTCCCTGTCAGTCTACGTAGCTCAGTGTTGGCTCTTGTGAAGGTCTACACAAATAGGCCAAAACTATATCCATAAAGAGAGACAGGCAATGCAAGTTCAAAAACAAGAGCAAAAGTCAAACAAAGATTGAAGGATTATTAAAAAATTGCAGCGAAAAAAGGTAAAACAAATGCAGTGAAGGTAACCACTCTCGACCTTTATCACTGGCATCTTTGAGAGGACTTTTGACTGACTTCTGTGAGGGGTCCGATTGGGAGCACTGAGAGAGTTTACGGTGCCAGTCTCCATCTGGTGCAGGTTTACACTACATTGCACTTGTGTGGGCTGTATAATTCAAAATTGTCCGTCAGAGCTCATGTCGGATTTCCAGCCTGTGTGTCATGCCAAAGTTTTGTCCTGAGGGATGCTCAACACTTCACACCCTCTGCTTGGGTGTGATCTCATTATGGGTTCATTGGCTGACTCTTAATAAACAGCAATACCAGGATGAATATCAGGTCACAGAACTGATTCAGGAAGGTTGAGAAAAGCTCTCACAGTTGATGTTAATTGGTGCTCTGGTCAGCCAGGGTCAGATTTCTGTCGGGGGGTAATTGGGAAAAGTGGAAGGTTGGCCAGACTAGTCACTCGTCTCCCTCTGTACCCGTGTCTGTCTTTGGCCTAATTAACTTGCACTCAGTGGCTACTTCACACAGATAATTTGGCATGGAGGGATGGAGACAGAAGAAGGAGGAGGTGTCAGAGACAGAGAGGGAGAAGTGGAGAGGTTCAGCGCAACAGGAAGAAAATAGACCTGCAGTTTCCAAGGTGATGCTTAAGTGGAAATTATTGTATGCTTCAGTTCTCCACATTGTGGGAGCTCTTTAGTGTTACCCATTATTGCACATGCAACATTCAGGCTGTAGTTTATGAGACAGTCAGGACAGACAGTATTTCTAACCAAATGCTCTACAGACTGCTACAAAGGGACATTAAAAGACCTTATAGGTTGTTCTACAAAACTCCTTTGCATCAACACCCTTGTCTTGTGCCATCTGGATTTCAAAATATATTCATTATGGTTTTTGAAATATAATCTATGCCTTTAAAAACAACTGGTGCTTCAGTTGTTGGCTAAAGTTGGCATCTAAAGCATTTCCTTGAATCAGTTTTCACCCTGTCTTTTCTTTGCACTGAATCAGCTTGGTGCATGAAAACAAACTCAGTGCAAGGTTGACCTCTTCTCCCCCTTTGCCTGCTTTAGTTTTAATTAATCAAATCAGCCAGGGTCTTTTGGAGCATTGAAAGTCTGAACAAGTAACAAAACCAGTGAAAACAAACATAAATGTAGTGTTTACATTCAAGTTAACTCCAGTGCAGAGAGTCCACCAGATATAAAAGTCAATAAATATGTATAAATCGCAAGTACAAATAGATTAAAAGAGAAGGAGAATCTGGCCTTAAACGTCCAGTCAGAGTCAGAGCTTTTGTGGTAGATGTTTCTTTGATTGTGTTTTGTTAGATTCTCATTCACACAGACATAACGTATGTCACAGAGTCTAGATGATATCAGGTTAATCAGATAAAGGGGTTAGTTAGAGGAACCCATGCTGTATATCCAGTTTCCATAGAGAAAAAAAACAATAGAATTTCACCAGAGCATTTCACTCAGGGAGCCTGAGTGAAGCACATTTGGCATTTCAGCATGTTTATCTATTTGCTGAGATATCAGCCATTTCTCTGATTAAAATTAATTTACAATTTGGCCAGGGGTGTCCTTGGAATCTCCTTTACCTGCATGTGTGGGACCTTTTTGTGGTATAGAGAACATCTTATTTACCAACATTACATTCTGATAGTGGAGTTTTCTAAAGATTTACTCAAGTTACAGTGCTGTGTGTTTAAAGTTTAAATGCTCCCACTGCTTTTTTAACAGGGAGGCTCACTCATAGATTCTGCTGCAGGTGTCTAATAAACCCCCAAACACCTGCAGCCTATCAGATTTTTGACTCTCCAAACATCCTAGACTCAGTAGTTGAGTCCCTGTATTAGCCAACTAACATTAGTGTAATCAGCAAGTCATTGTTTCATTTGGAAAGTTATTTATTCTAAGCCAGAATTAATTCCTATGCAAATTTATTAATGGTGTTCAGTATTATTTGCCATCAATCACAGACATCTTACCACACACAGTTTTAGAAATATCAGTTTCAAAGTGACTCTGTTTACTCCACAGATAGTTTGACTCCAAGATTAAGACTTGGTTCATTTCTGGATTTATTCACAGTTTTCTTTTACTACTGACATCAATGATCCTTAAACAACCAAAGTCTTTAAAAACTCTAAGTCAGTGCCTTTTAGTGCTATCTGCATTTGTAGCAAGACTTTGACAGGTTTAAAGGCACAAACACTCATTCTGTTTTTTGGTTGATTTCTTTGGGTTTGAAAGAAATTTGCATAACCTTGAGATCAATAAGCTTAAAAACTGGCCTAATCTCTTAAACTCCACCGAGTCTCTGGCTGGCACCAAGTCTCTTTCTCATGGCTAATCCAATGCTGTTGTCAAGAGAAATACAGGATTTAATGTATCTTTACCCAGAAGCTTGACACTCTTTCATGCTTTAAATCAAACCTTTAGATGGAGTGTAACAAAGACAGTTCCCCATTTTACCTTGTAGCTTTTGATTACTGCAGGTTACTGATCTTAATATTTGTGCAATGTCTTTGTATTGGTGTTTTTTGGTGAAGTACTTCAAGAAACACCAGTTGGGCTATTGACTGGAGCCACTTAAGTCATGAATAGAAGACTTATTTTCTTCTTAAAATGCTAAAATTCAGCACTGTCTTGCCAAAATACTGATTTTTGACACAGTGAATCTATCACGGGGATATTAGTAAATCCAGCATCATCTTGGACCAAACTAAACTAGCTTCTAAATTTGAAACACTTTTAGGCCAAGGCTTTGACCTAGAACCCAGTTTCAGTGGAGGCTTAGCTAAACAAAATTGATTACACTTAAGTTATCAATAATACTGTTAAACAAAACCAAAAAGGCAGGATTTCCTCAGTTCAACCTTATATTTAATTAAAAAAAACTGATTAATAAGAGCGCCCAAGTTTTCTACCCAGATCTGTACAGCTGAACAATACATTTGTATGTAGCCAAAAGAGCCATGCAGACAGAGGTCTTGCTACTTAAACTTAAATGCAAGACTGATATATGAATTCTTAACATTTCTAAGCAAACCTAAAGGTTGATCAATCTCCTCAAAAGACTTTAATGGGATGAATTCAGTCTGAGAGAAGTTGAAGTCAACAAAAGGTTTAGACAAATGTAAAAACATTTACCATTTGGAAATGTTCCCTGCAGTCTCTACTTGATTTTTTTCTTTGCCTCACTTGTCTCACAGCTTATTGCATCACAACTGGTGAGGTTGATTATGCAAACAAAGTATTCAAGAACAATGCTGGTGGATATGAAGCATTTCACACTGTGTGTCTATGTTCAGCAGGAGAACAAACCAAGAGAACAATAGGGAATATAATTAGCAAATGGTGCGACCAAATCCAAGGTGAATGTTTTCTTTGTTTGATATATTCTTTACCTGCAGACACCAGATATTTTTTCAATTTTTACTGAAATCCCCAAAAAAGAGAAACTAAGTCCAAAGCTGATCTCCTCCCTCAGGATTCAAATGACCATCAAATAAACTGGTGACACTCCAAATGCACATCTTTGTAGCCCTAATCACAACTTTGGTGTTAGAGCATGAAATGGAGCAGCTAGAGTTCTTTGGCACCAAACAAAGAACAAATAAGCTTGTTTCCCCTGCAGGGACTTGGCTTAAACACAAATGAAAGGCAGGCAGCCTTTGTTATGCAAGCAAACTTGTTAAGTTGGTAATGTTTCAATCAAACACATTGTCAATGCTCAACAATGTCCCAAACAAAGTCTCATTACAGAGGACTGGACTCGCATAATAGACTGTTACTCTGTCCAAGACTTGTAATGAAGTATGTTTGCAATCTTCTTGTTTATTTACACCCGTAACAGTGATTACACATGTTTCCTGACTTTCTTAAATCCTTGAACACAACATTAAAAAGACAGTTGCTGGAATTTCTTCAATTATGAAAAAACTCTTAACATCAGGTTAAAAAGATTAGTTTAATGATTAAGGGTCAAGGTCACAGTGACCACATCAAACATAATCTGGACAATGGCCCAATTATTTTAATGCTAATCAAGACCAAATCCAAGATTAAATAACATTAATGGAATTAGGTTTATTATCTCTTTCTCAGTTCAAATCCTGCTAAATTTTCTTCATGAACGGATGACCTGTTTCCATCACATTTTTCTAGTTTAGTTTAGATGTCAAACTGGACCCAGGTATGAACTCAAGCATAAAACCAGGTATGATATGATCTTGTTTTTTCAAACATTAGCCCAACCAAATTCCAATACGCAGAGAAAGAAAGCGACGTCAACTCTGAGTAGAATGAACACTCAATATTGATGGATGACAACCAATTGGACGATGACTTTTGGATTGAAACTAAAATCTTTTTTCCAAAATGTGTGTTTGGTTCAAGTCATTCATCAAAACTGGACAGAAAACAAATCTGTAGGAGGTACAAAAAAATCCTAAAAAAATATGATTTTTTTTATTTTGGTCAATGATTTTAGGTTTTCAAATATTAATTTTATTTAGCCTAAATTATTCTGCTCCTGAGTAGAACAGTGAGATTCTCACTTATACTTTGCTTGATTTGACTCCATGTTATTTAGATTAACTCAGCCTTAATAAAAACATTTTTTTAAAGTTAAGGAAGCACTAGGTCTATTGACAATAAATAACATGCATGTGATTATGCCGCCCTCTATGATCTTAAGCTAAACTATATGCAGTAGCTGCTGCTTGCATGAGGCTTGCCTTGTAAAGACCAGAAGCAGCCAGCCCTGGTAGTGGTCTGCCATTTAAATGAGACCATTGTATCCTATCCACTGATGCTGTCTCACAACATCATCATGTTACACAGCCGTAACATGAACTTTCGGTTTGGGAAATTACATCTACAACCCCTGAAAGACCTCAGTAACCCTCAAACAGAGCAGGCTTTATGCAACATGTTACTCAAGCCTGCAGCTCTGTAACAGCTCAGAAACAGTCTGAGGCTTATAGTGAGTTAATGGTTGTATGTGTGTGTATGTGTCTTAATATGTTAGAGCTTCTGAGTGTATCATGTCAATGTGCAGGTTGAGCTCAAGTGAAGTGGGATAGTATAATGATCTGCATTGGGTCATGTTTCTTAAAAAAGTAAGTTGTCACAAGATTACAGCCACCAAATACTGTCTGCTTATGTTTGCAAGTTACAACAGTAAAACAAGAAACAACAGTAACATGTTAAGGTGCTCATGTGTTACCTGCCAGTCATGTTTTAAGAGTGCTTTCCTTTTACTTACCTGCATGCAATGGCAGCTTTCATACACCACAGAGAAGAGGGATGGATGCAGCTTGCAATCATTCCATAAGTCTTAGTTTACTTGCTTCAAGTCAGCAGTAGTGAAAATATAGTCCAAGCTGGCAAACATTTTTTTTCACAGTTCTTCCTCCACAGGCTATGTAGAGATAGGGAACTAATGTTTTCCAGTGTGACATGTTTCTTCGATCCACCTCACATATTGTCGACATTTGAGACTCAGCCTACCACGGAAACAAGCTAAGGCTGGCTGTAAGGGACCAAGCAACCAGGCAAAGGACAAAGGTGTGGAAAAGGAGCTTGATCAAAAAACAAAAATCAACAACAAAATTTCCAACTTAATGTGGTAGAAAATCAACAAAATCTGGGCAAACACTAAAAGAGGTCAACTCAGCAAAAAAGAACTAAAGTTAAACCCTAACAAACGTAATCAAACAGACCTACTAAGTGATACATGTCAGGGGTTTAAATAGACAAAGGACTAGTCTAACATAAACACAAGGGGGAAACCAAAGTGACTACAAACTAAACATCTAACAAACCCAGAAAAACACCTCTAAATTATCCAAACCAACCTTTTACAGAAAAAAAAAATAAATACCCCATTCTAACTGAAAGAATAAAGAAAAAAGTTTTATAAAGAATCAAAAGTCCAAGCTCCTTCTTGCTTCCCCCTTGATGGTTTGTCCCCCTTCCTGTGGGTAGGGCTAAGGGGCCATCTTGGATCTGCAGACAGTCTTTTGCCAGGTGAGCTTAAACAAAGACAAACATAAGGTAAGTACTGCTTTGACATGACAAACTCGAATTAAATCATGATGTAGAAAATTTAACCATGTGACAGTTTGTTAACCAAATTTACTGTGTTAAAACCTAAAGACAAAGAAATACTAACATGAGGTGGTGGTTGAGGCCACCACACTGGCTAACAAAGTAATTGCTAACCCTAACCATGCTCTTAATGATGAATATAAACTATAGCCATAAAATCTGAGATGCAAGGTCCCTTGTTTTCAAAAGGTCAGACTGAAGCACTCCTTCATACGGCAGTCCATTATAAAGCTGAATATGGAGCTGAACCCTTGATCAAAAGTATGTAAGGCCTCTGAATATGCCGCCTGCTGTTTGAAATGTTTTTTTCATGTGTTTATTTATTCGTCTTGTCTTGTATGTTGTAAATAGAGCTGCAGTGATAGACACCAACTTTGAGACTCCCTGACAGTAAAGTCATTTCTAATCTAATCTGATGTATTTTGTCAATGGAGAAGCAGGGACTACCCTAACTATTTGCTATGGGTTTCTGCAGATACTTCTTCAAAGTAGAGATTTTAGCTATTGACAATATTTCCACAACATAGCTGCTCTGCTGTCTCACTCAAGCACTGGTTAAGTGTGCTTATGAGGCTTGCTAAAAACAAGTGATGGAGGATTTATAGCTGCTGGTTTCAGGTTGTTCAGATTTTAGGAATAAGTAAAGTTATTTCCTTTCACCTATAATAAAGATGTTGGCTGATTGTGTGGTTGGAGACTAGCTACAGTCAACCTCAGCACAGTCTCTTTTTAAGGTTTAACATTAATGACTGACTAGATTTGGACACAGATATCATGAAATGAAATTTCAACCAGCCGCTGAAGGTTTTTCTTTTCTCTGTCAAGCCTTCAAAATGAAATTACCTTTCAAACGTACACCCTTCATCAGCATTTGTGTCCCAAATGAGTAAATGCGGCCACGTGCTTATGTTCAGAGTTCAGGGATCATAGGAGGAAATGAGGATTATGCTCACATCAAAGCCAGCAGGTGACAAATCAGTGAAGATACATGGTTATTAGATTAGAGCAATGCAGACACATCCAGTGTCCCTCCACGTGAAGAGAAACGGCCTAGTCCTTAGTGAAATAAAAACGTGGACTCTGAAACATTCAATACATCTGCAAAAAAATACAGAGGATGTTTCCTCTCATGAGTTCAGGAGAGGTTTCTCATTAAATCAGAAAAACAGAGGATTATGTTCTCAAGTGAAAGCAGTACACCTCAATATGCTGCTTTGTAAATTATGATGAATAAAATAGTTATTGTGGAGGCCTGAGAGTCGACTCAACCATCATAGACACGTGTCAGCACACCTGCTCTGAAATACGGTGCATGAAAGATCAAATGTCTGTATTATTCATAAAAACGAATGATATGTGTGGAATAAAAAACAAGAAACAGTAGAAAAAATTAATAATCTGCTCAGAAAATGGTTATTTCATTGAATAACATGTTGACTGGTGCCTTTATCGCCATGATTTGATCCTAAGAAGCTTGAAGCAATAAAACGATGTTATGTTGCTGTCATACTTGAATTTAAAGTATCAGGTAAGACTCGGCTCACATCGGTAAGAAACAGACATTTTTTACCCAAGTTTATTATCTGTTGTCTAGTGTACTGTATATCTGAAGTAGGTTAAGTGGTCTGATGCCGTTTCATAAGAGAGTGCGATGATAAGAAAACAAGGGCATGTCACATTGTTTTTGATCAGTGATAGAGCATGAAGGAAAAGGCTGCACATCAACACTGGAGACGCTCAATTAAACCTGTGACAGTGAAGGAAATAAACCTCCATCAGTCTCACTTCATTCACCAAATTAAATCAATGTGCTCATTCTGTCTGGTCCATCCTGGTGATATAACTCAGTTAACTTTTAAAAACCTTATTTAAGATGTTTAATTTCCCAGCTCGAATAAGTAGAACAAAGATGTGTGTGTTTGCTTTTATGTTTTGCAGGGATAAAATGAGGGTTAAATAATAAGAAAATAAAACACTTGGCGAGACAATCTCAACCTCCCTGTGGGATTTACAATGAGCCTTAGCTGCCGACAGCTATCACTAACACAAAAAGAGAGACAAACACAAAGTCAGGCCCAGATTAATGCCTTTTTTAACATGATTAAGACATCCAGCTGAACCTCAGTGCTGCTTAAGATAGCTTATGGTCAAGACAATGATATCGAGCTGTTTTACTATTAGCTGCTCTTAAGTGAGGGTGTGTGTGAGCGCTTACCATATTACCCTCTTTACTGGTTTAGAGAAACAAGATTAAGAGGTGTGAAAAGCTATTTTTAGTCACTATACTGCTAAATAAACCCCTGCACGCAATACATGCAGGAAGAACAAGCTGAGTAGAAGTGACAGGAAGGCTAATCTTAGAACTCATGGACAAAGTGTTTTTACTACTGTTGTGTGAAAAGGAGAATGTCTTGTACTCATTTCTTCTGTCAACGTCAGGAGAGTGTAGAGGAGAGTAAAACTTGTGACAAACATTTAAAACAAACAAGGTTAAGTTAATGCTTTCTAAGTGAGACAGAAGCACCACAAAGGACAGGTTGTTATTTTCACAAACCCAGCTGTGGCGAAATTCATCTTCTACAGGTATACTATACTAAACGTATACTAAACTGGCCTCGGGCCACTCTATTACAAACTGCAGCGAGGTGACGCAGCTCAAGGAAGAACATTTATGATCATTCCCTTTAGGTAATAATCACTATATTACTCATTTTGCACTGCAGGCGCAGTAGTTCTTCTGCCTTAGTGTCTCAGTCTGATTGCTTTTCCGTGGAGAAATAATCATAAATATTCTTCCTTGAGCTACGTCACCCCGCCGCAGTCATTAATGGACTAGTTGAGGTCTCGCTACAAACAAGCGGCTGCTGGAAGAGTGTGAGTGAGTTGTGTTTAGTCTCTAAAGAAATCAGGCAAAGTTAAAAGATGTTTGGTGGCTAGTGCTATGGCTAGGACCCTATATGTACTATTGATGAAGTTAGGTGCTGTTCTGAGCATTATTTGTGGCTATAGAGTGGCGTTTTGGTTGAGGTTTGTGTATGGCTCCTCAGACTGCTGTGTATTGATATTGTGTGGTCGTTACTAAAATCGGTATAACTAAGCAAGCGGTCGGCAACATTCATCTCTCAAGGGAGTGTCTAACTCGGTGTTAAGATGTATTTGACCCTAAATTAATTTTATGCCGGAATATCCCTTTAACATCAAAAGACATGGTGACGGAGCAGACAGAGTTAAGCAGTGATAAATATTATACACTACACTATCTAATGACTCTCTAGCAGCTGCAGGTGTGGACAGTAGAAGTATGGGCTTTTGAAACCCTCACAGGCCGGTTAGGTTTATGAACCAAAACTACTTAGGCTTAGGTAGGTTTAGTCTAAATAAATCTTATTTTTCACCTAAGTTAAGTAACCATGTACACTCAGCGACCACTTGATTACGTACACCTGTTCAACTGCTTGTTAAGATTGGCTAATCAGCCAATCACATGGCAGCTGTATGTGGTCAAGAGGACCTGCTCAAAGTTCAAACCAATTCTGCGGCTGGTCAAAACTTTCAGTCCATACTTATTTCGATTTACCATTTACAATAAATATATTCTTTTATTATTTCCACGGAGGATAAGAAGACCCAGAAACAATTTATGCAAAATGTTTTTGAGGAAGCTGGCGATCTCTGTTGTTGGGGTCACCCACCCTTTGATGTACCAGTAAAGGTTTCTTGGCCTCAACACCAGGATTAACAGCAGGGTGAGATCCTGATAACCAGGACAGAGCTCTCTGTGTGTGTGCATGTGTGTGTTTGTGTGTATTGGAGGGAGGTTGCCATGCAAAAAAAGCAAAGAAAAAAATGGCACTAAAGGAAGATCTACAGAACAGTCACCGAATCTTCTCCCCAAAACCTTTTTCTGTGTCACCACAAGTGTTGGACCTAACACACAATGTTATACATCAGAGTTGAGGTTCCTTATGTAATTTTAGTCAGTCAGTAAAGTTACTTTCTCAGAAGTCATTTACTACTGAATAAAAATGTAGTATTTTCAAAGTGTCACTACAAAAAAAGAAAATACTGAGGTAGATCTCAAAGCCAGTGCTTGGGTGAGAAGGCAAAGCAGACAGCATTTTCTTCTTGGTAATAATAATATGAAGCCTAAGAGGATGTAGAGGAGCTACCTAACCATAACTCCACATATTTGGACCTAAAATAGTTTTGACCCCACTTAATGGAAACTCAGACCGTATGGATAATTAATTGAAGTCTATTAAAAGCCCCTTTGTAGTGTTTTCATTGAAACAGCTGTGTTTACAGTAACACAGCATGCCTCTGCCAAGGTTGCTGCCACAGTGTCATCAGTATAAAGAGGTGTAAAGATTATGGGCTGTAAACTGGGTTATGTAATGGCCATAGTGTCGATGCTCCCTGAACTCTTAAAAAGTAGACGTACTGTTGACTACAGGCTGTCTTGGGACGTACTGTTGACTACAGGCTGTCTTGGACCAAATGACTAATGTATAAGGAGTTGGGGGGGGTTCAGCAGATTTTTCATACTCAGAAATACAAGGGCACTCATGTATGTTGCTGTTGTATTGAATCATCTTAATCATAATCTGGTAACATGCCTGCAGTGGGTTTCTAACGGGTCAGAAAAACTGGCTATATAACCAGAATTTATTTTACCCTTTAATATATGTATGAGTATGAGCTAGCAGTTGGTCACATAGCCCAAGAGTCCTTTCTTTAAACCCACTGTGCTTTGTGGGGGACTATACACCAACTGGCCTTGGGAATGGACCAAGAAAAAATCCTGTAAAGGAAAATGTCAGAAATGGGTCAGGTAAGTCATCAGGAATAATCAAGATGTAGTTTTTTCTCTAATAGGATTTTGTTTATTTTTATTCATTTATCCTGCCAAAGGTCTAAAGCTGCCAGCTGGGTTTTACAACAAAAGCAAAGCAAGCACACTGATGCACACAAACACCACATTTACCAAGCAAACAGCATGGCATAAGCCGCATCCCAAATAGGGTCATTCATAATGAAAGGGGCTTTAGAAGTGCCAGGCTTTCACCCAACAAAAAAGGTGGGCATTTATCGACACAACAGCATGCTCCATTCGATTTGGATTATGTAAGACCTAAAATCAGTGGGGGTAGCGCCCTCTAGATATTTTGATTTTGGGGTTTTGAGGTAACAAGTGCCAAAAAGCCCTAACAGACATTTTATCTGTTGGGCTCTGTTGGTGTGAGAGTTGTTAAAACACAGCTGCTCCTGCCTGTCTGGTAACTCTATCCGGGTTAATACACAGCAGGCCTGATCTCTAAAGGCCCCGGGGTTTGAGCTGCCATAATCCTCGTACCTCTCATATCACACAGGAGCAGACACTGCAGGTCCAGGGTCAGTACTCAACCTTAGCAACCCAGTCTTATTCTTTTCTGTCCACTTTCAGAGCCAAAAATATAGTTTCTGTTCTACCAAGAGAAACCTGGCCTGTTTCAGGGCTCTCTTTAAAAATTTGTGTTTTTTCAAATAATATGTGTTTATTTCATTTTTAGCACAGCACATTATTGCGTGTGCGTGTTACATAAATCATACAGGCCAGTTGCATAAAAAATACAAAAGATTGTGGTCTTATTGTTGGGTTTCAATGGTCTGCAGCAGACAAGGACATTGCTTCCTTTTATACAGGAGCACGTATGTAGGTTTACTGTAAATAAGTGTTGATGCTATATTCCACAGCAACAAGGACCCCATACTATGACCACAGAGTTATTTCAACCCAATAGAGGTCTGGGAGTTCGTTTTCTTATGTGAACTTACTTCTTAAAAGTAATTCGGGGTAGTCAAATAACTATTCCCTTGACAATAATATATTTTACCCTCTATGGTCAGTCTGGAGCTTTGTAAGGGGGTCATGATGTAGACAGAGTTGATGTTTATGTTTCTTGAGAACTCAACTCTTAAAAGAGAGAATAGGCTCTGATGGAATGAGAAAACTTAATGAAACCTCAACATGAAGTACCCATATTCACTGCTTAAGACTGACTGGTGTGGCAAGTTGAAACCCAGACAGAGTGAAAAATGCTCTCCTGGCTTGAGCGCATGGGTTTAATGCCAAGGTGATGAAGTTTCCACATAGTTCTTCCTGTCTGTTTCTTCATCTCTGTCCTTCTTCTTACCTTGAATTTTTTCTCGCATCAGGGACGCGTGTATCTGTGAGTAGCAGGAGAGCCTAACCGTGAACTCATGTACATTTAAGATAACTGTGTTTACATCTTACTTTATGTGAGGTTGTTGTCTGTATAAAAACTCCCTGTTTTGTGTGACCCTGTATACCCCTGTGGTGGTGTTTGTGTGTAAATGCATGTGCGCAGTCTGGGACACTTATTATACCCTTCAAATATTTATGAGAGGCTGTTCTCTCAAATTTATAGTCTAGAGGCCGAAAGAAATGCAGGCATTTTCTCGTGAACCTGGTTAATTCTGCCAAGGTGAAAGGCGCCGTTTAAAAGAAGAGAGGCAAAATGAAGAGATTATGGAAAGCAAGGCAGACAGGCATGAAAGAAGTCAGACAGAAAGACTGGAAAGAAATATGCTACACTTTTGACTGCCAAAAAGTCTAAAATGGCAAAATATTTAAAGCAGAAGAGCTCAAAGAAAGTAAATCATTCCTAAAAGCCCATATTCTGCGTCATGATGAGCTTAGACAGCATTTTCATAAATCCCTTATTGTTTTCTGTGATGGATCTGGCTCCAGGTCTACAACAAGACTATCAACTTGAAAATCTCCCTGAAGGAACTTTTCATTCCTTTGTCAAGCTGAATCACGTTTAAACATTTACTCAGAGAACAAGGACAGACAAGTTACCAAAGTACAACAACGTTCTCTTTGCACAATCCATATTAGTCCATATGGTTTTGCAGTACATGATTTAGATCCAATTTTAATGCTCAGTACAGAAGTGAGATTTAATGCCTCCTCAGTGTGGCAGACCTAGAAACAAATGTTGTGACAGGTGTGGAGGTGGAAAGGAATATATTGTAGCAAAAAGACTATAGTGTGAAAAAAGTCCCTTTGCTAAATCCTTTTGTAAAACAGTCCTCTTACAGGTACATTTATGTCTCACTAAGCAATACCAAATGTCTTAAACAAGACATTTTAAAGGTGGGACAATGTATTCTCAAAGAGAAAACACTATAAAGTGTCATGGCCTGAGTTATTTTTATGAAAAACAGTAATTTTTCAGGAAATTATTTACTCAGGATAGCAGAAGAGACTTTAAAAGCATGGAGTTGCTGTTGCAGCAGCTGTGATCAGACTTTCGCCTTTATGTGTTCGGTGTGTGATGTAACCACTCAGCTAGAAAGGTGTCTCATGAAGCGAGTACATTCTGACCAAATCCCCAGGCTGTATTTTTTTATTCCTTTATTTCTGTTCTTCAACCCCCATGGCTGTAGTGCATTTTCCATGAGAAGTTACTGTAGCTTCTTTCAAATTTGCACTCTTGTCATTTCTACGAAATTCTCAGATGCTTGAAGACCCACTCTGATGAAATTCATGTGTTTCTTGTTGTCTACATGTTCATATGGCATTTTTCTGATGCGACGGGACGTATCATGAGAAAACTAAGTGCAAAATTGCATATCTGAGAATTTCTGCATTTAAATCGCTGTAATTTCTGGCAGACCCAAACGGCAGGTTCAGATACAGTGAGATTTCCTACATAGTAAATCCAAACTCTGCCCCCGGAGCCCAGCTATGCAGGCCACACTTGGAGAAATAGAAATGACAATCGCAAAACAAGTGCGTGCGTGAGCAGCTTGCAATGCCCGTAAGAAAGCTAAATATGATCTTAACTTTAATCATGGCCCTGAAGATATTAGAAGAGGTTAGATATAACTTTACTTTTGAACTGGATGGATCAAATCAAATACAGGGTAAAAATTTAAGATGTATGCATTCACACATGAATTCTACCTAAAAAATGTCGGGAAGATTTTGTGCATGTGTGATCTCAGCTTGTGAATTCTGCTTTATGTGAACATCATCGTAAAACAGCCTAAACAAAAAAAAGCAAGTCTTTCATAGGCAAGTGTCCAACAGGTCATTTGTTCCCAACCTGGGCTTGGGAGTCCCCTAAGGTGCATTGGGGTGGATACAAGGCTGTGTCTCCTCTGAAGTTTTCCAAATTAAAGTTGCGCTTATTGACTTCAAATCGACACTCAGATAGTTCTAGTCCTGATAGGAAACTGTGCAAGAAATAAATTTTCCCCATACTTCTTTTTGGAAGAACATTGCACTGCATTGAACCACTTCATTAGATGATGACCAGTAGAAATGTGTATTTTAAAGCAAGCTGTATTGACTTTTTAGAAATGCCGTCTTGTGACATGATTTAAGGTTGTCCAATACTCAACACTTTTTGGGTCGTGTGCTGAAATAGTCATAAGAAACATTCAAACAGGAGTTTCATATGCTCATGTTGCATCATTCAAATCACTTTTATTTTGTAAGGGGGAAAAAAGAGGCATTGTTTCCAGGACTAGGGTCTCCATTTGGCATTCGGCAGTGTGATTCTCAGGAATGCTTGGCTTTGGTGTGAGTTACATGATAAAACAAGGGGGCCACTGTGAGGGATTTAACACTATGATGGACCAACGGTCCCCTCTAAGGAATACGCAGCTAGAGGTTCAGATGATATCAATCAGCACAACATCTGCACACTAATCTGCTGTGGCGCCCTGCTCTGAGAAAAGCTGCCATTAGCACACTTCCCAGTTAACATGAAGAGACACATATACATACATACACACATTAATGCACCCACACTGGTAATCTGCGTTCGCACGAATTGAAGTAATGTGATCGTTTGCTGCTTTTGGCAGTAACTCTAATCTCTGAAACAGCATTTGAATGAAAGAGCTGTGTCACTTTATCAGGTTGAATGATTAAGAAATCCCAGATAACAAGGTAGATTTTCTGATGGAGGAACATGATTACTCGGAGATGCATGAGCTCAACTAGGACGGTGTAAATGCGTTTGTATCAAGGCCAAATAATCTGAACCAATCTTGACTACAAGAGCAGCAAAACTATTGTACACCGAATAACAGATTTTTCCTCTTGAAGAGTTACATGCAAACTGAGATCAATTAACAACACCAAGAGTGACTAGTTATGATTTAAATAATCACTGAATTAAAACAAATAAGTCCATTGATGTCTTTTCTTGGTATTTTAGCCCATTGAGCGTAGAGAGTACCTTTTCTTTTCATATCTGACTGCTCCTGTGAACTCTGGTGACCTCCAATATTGTTTTCTCATCCAGATTCCCAGGTAAATGTTCGGAAGCTTCTAAGAACTGCCTCATGCTGAAACCACTCAGGCACTCAGAGTTTTATTTCTGTAAACAAATACTCCCCGATACTTCTGCCAGAGCCGGCACTTGGTACCTTGTAGCTTCAAACATGCTCTTAATATTATGTAACTGATTGAGGATAGTGAAGCTAGTGTGGGCACATAAAAGCATGTTTTTGTTGAATATCGCTCAGTTGTGTTGAATACATCCAGACCAGCTGATGATGGCATTCCTTGGTATGGTATTTCCCTTTAATATTATCTCGAGTGCACTGCTTCTTGAAGTGCTGTCCTGATCTCAGGCTCTGGGGAGTAGAACTGTAATCATATCAATCTGTGGAAAAGAAGCCTGATAAACTAGAAGTTGGCCCATTTACTGTGACAGAAAGAAATAAGAGTGGAGGAAAGATAAGGAGGACTTTAATACACAAAATGGGTGAGTGAGCTAACACAGGAATAGACAGAAACAGACAACAGCAAAGGACATAATTGTATTTAAAGACTTGGAAAGTGCAAGAAAATGCAGAGAGACTTGGATAATGTTGAGTCAGATTAAACCCTATTAGTGACCCTATCAGGTGTTATAATTTCCTATTAAAAATGTCAGGTTAAATATGGGTTATTGCAGGTGAGCGACCTGATTTTACTGTTGCCATGGAAGCAGTTTGAACTTTAGGGTCTGAGGGATTATTTCTTGAGCAAAAAGGGATGTAATTTTTAACTAATTTGTGAAATGTGTCATGAAATAGAAAGTTTTTGTGAGCTGTGTATAAAGATGCCATTGGGTTGCCAAGCACAGTTCAAGATGGGACTGCATCCATCTCCAGTCAGTTGTCCTGCTGAGACCTGAAGAAATGTCTCTGTGATGAACTTTGAAGACAAATGGAGGGATGGGCCCAGGGTTGTACAAAGGCTGTAGACAGCCCCTTTGGATATTGTGTATGTGGGTCAGAGATATATCTGCACAGCCCTGCGCCAGATTTAGCAGATTCCTCCTATTGTTTGTGTCAACACAGGAGGACACAAAGCAAACAAATGAAGCTTGTTAGAAAGTGGGGCCCTATGTGAGACTTTAGCGAAGTCTTTTGAAAGTCACAGAAGAGAGTCTCTATAGCAGGAAATGATGGTGCGCTCCATTGTTCAAAGACAAGGGAGGCTCACCACTCCACAGCCATTGTCTGGAAATATTTCTATAAGCTTTTTGCAAGGACAACATTAATGCAGTTTGACTACCATGTCTAATTATTGTCCCAGCAGCTCTTGCTAGCAAGCTAATGAGACTTTATGAACATAAAGCTCATTTATTGAATACAATGGGTGGGGGGTACAGTTGGCACTGAAAAAACAACCTCCAGCTAGGTCATAATGAGTTTGTCTAATCACTAATGATAACATTTCAGTAGAAATGGGGCCCTTTATTTTCACAGATAATTAGAGAGGTCACACAGCTATCCTTGAAAAACATTACCAGGAAGAGACACAATTTTCTGTGCAATAATGAGGCACCTTTGCATCCACACTCTATGCTACAACACACACTCAGACACAAATGTTCATTAAAACCCATACAAATTTCTATCATAGCTGTGACCTTGCTGGTTCCATTGTCCCTGACTCCTAGTTGTAATTGCCATTTATGTGTTGCATAATCATAACAGGTCATATGATAAAAATGGCAACAGGCAATTAAAGAAACAAAAAGACCCTGAAGTTTGATGAACGTTCAAAAACAGACGCAACAGGAATAGCACGGCCCGTACTTGTCCATTCCTTTCTGCTATCTCAAACAATCTGTCTTTGGACAGAAATCATAACAGCATCAAGATTTTTGGCTGCAGTCATAGTGAGAGAAAACAAAACTTCATCAAGCCCTTGATAATCTCTCCCTACATGATCCAAAAAAGGAGGAATTTATGAAAAAAATTCGTTTTTTTTTTCATGATGGTACATTTCCCAACCTGTTGTATCATACTAAAAAACTCCTCTGTTATTGTACGAAACCGGTTTGGATCAACTCCCTGTCATATATGACAGCCTTGTCACCACTCCCTTGTATTTTCTTAGAAAATTACCCACAAGTGGAGGCATTTCAAGGATTTTCACTCCTTGGCAGGTCCATCCACTATTGACTGCAAACTCAAAACATATGGGTTATAAAAATACACAGTTCATGTCAAAGAATTTGCGTTTGGATGACCGACTCTTTGCAGACATGATCATTTGGAATTAAGCCCAAACATGACCAAATACTGATTCTGTAAATCCCAAAAGTTAGAAAAGCAGTTAAGTTTGTTCCTCAGAGATCTATATGGTTTCACTTTATAATACCAGTTTGAGATTTGTGGAGATTTAACATAATTTCACTTCCTGACACCTTTTTACTTAAAAAAAAGCAACTAAAATGCTAGAATGTTTGATATTGTGTTCGGAGACTGAACAAAGGCAATGCCTTAATTGCGTAAATATGCTTATTTGCTTTCCTGCCAAGGGTAAGCTGCATATTTAAATGCTATTCACATGATGCTGCTGTAAAACAAAGGGAAGCTGTCACATGCTCATGAAACAATGCCATTCTCTGATGATTGGACAAACAACAATTTGACTTTGGAGGCCCTAAAAAGCAGAGTTTACCATTTGACAGAGCCAGGCCAGCTGCTAATGCTGTTACCAGTCCCAGCAAGGTCGGTGACTGCTGACAATGAGCTCTTTCATAAAAGACTTTTTTGACCTTCTTCCATCCCAGTCACCTCAGATGTTCACCCTTCATCACAGCTCATGTATTTTCTTTACCACAGCCAGTGTCTCGGCTCAGTTGGTGGGTGATCTCTTCAGTACTTTTGAGACGTTGAAGACCGCTAAACAAGGTCTAATTGCTTATGACGTTGCACATTTAGGAACATTTTTTCTAAATCAGGTGAAATAAATCAAAGTTAGCTCAAAATCATGCCTTAGCTGATTGAAATAGTAGTTTTACAAAAGTTCAAAATCACCACCTAAAGTGGCAAACACAGGGTAGATGACGGTGGAGATTTATCACGACCTGTTACTTAGATCATTGTACCCTATGCTTTCTCCAGGAATCAAACATACAATGTGTGTTTTCCCTTTTTAATTTGCAATGCTGTATTAAGATCGCCTGTTATTGGCGCTGTAACATCCTCTGGGTGGTGTAAAAACAAATGTGTATTTTCAATCTAACAAACAAAACTTTCCAAATAAAATTCATTCATTCATTTAAATATGATCATGAAGCCTGGTGTAACCCATTGACTATACTCTGGAGTGTCAGTTCATAGACACGCATTGAGTTACAGTCCCTGACCCTTGCATAAAAAGTGATCCGCTACAGAGGTAGGAGTTGTTCAGTTGGGGGACTATTGTGATAAACTGAGACCTTGTGTCTGAATTGCCATGTATGACTACAACAACTTATCCTACAAGTGGCTCCATCCTAGTGTTAGGGTCTGCTAGCACTTGGTGCTGCCAGTGAGCTCAACACTTTGCCAACTGAGGTGACACATAGCGAGTAATTATCTTCAGCTGAGAGGAAGGATTATGCAACCATAACAGAGGAAAGACTCATACAGCCTAATGAAACAGTTTTACAATCAATTCTACTCCTGTAGCCTAATGTTTGATTTTTGTTGATCTGTTGTAGGTCAGACCTAGCACTTGTCATTTTCAAGATATTTTGAGGTGTTGTTGAACTGCTTTAGATATTTTTAATGCTACTTTTTTTGACAACCTATTAAATCAATTAGGGAAGACTACATAACGGAGACACCTTGGCGGACTTGGTGTCTCCAAGAATAACAAACCATGCCCTGTTAATGCACCTGCTTCACAATTGTTTGTGTGACTGTGCTCTGAGACTGCTGGCTGAATTGTTAGGCAATGGAAAGTTTGTATGAAAATGAGCTAAAAGTTAACTCTTACAGGCTTAAAAGCTTCAATTATGGTTTTCTTACAGTCCGCATGGAAATTTTTAGGCCAAGAGTGTTGAACTCTTTAGTGTAATCAATCACAATCATATGGGTGATACAGCATGAAGCCTTCAAGTGACAAAGTAGAAACCTACATACTTTACAACATATGTGGAATATTAAAGAACGAAATATGAATGATTTTCTCATGTGATGTTTTTACAGCTGCAGCCACAGAGGATTTTTCCCCGTGAGGACACCTGTCCCTTCTCTTAACTGTAATCATCAATTATTACTGAGTTTGGAAAAGTTTTACTTTGTTTCTAGATATAACAAGTAAAGTTTCATCATCTTTTTTTCATTATTATGGGAATGTAATGTGAAAGTCATCACCTGGACAAACAAGCCTCACATTGCGGTTTGTGTCTGTCTAACAATTGTCTCTCTTCGTACCTTCTCCCATGCTTTCAGTCTTCAAAGAGCTTGTGTACGAGTGAACCAACTCGTACTGTTCATTGTGAAACATAACTTGAAAAATTCTTGTCCTGAAAAGGCCGTGCAAGAGTATGTTATACAATAATCCCTGTTATGTTATACGAGTGTGAAAGGACAACAACATTTTGCACATCATGTATCTGTTGATACATGTCTCTGCCAGATAGTCTTTGCCTTGTCCTTCAGAATAGCATGCTAAATCTTTTGTTGGATATAAGTTTAAGTGTTTCTGGCAACTTAGAGCTGCTGTAGTCGGGTAATCTTATTTAAAGTTCTGTAACAGGGCTTAATACCTGCTGTGAGATTGGCGGGGTCAATTGCTGTTGGTTTCACAAGCATCAACATACTTTCTCATATTAATGCTGGAATGTTTGGACAAAAAAATGCTTTGTTTCACAACTTCATGAAAATGTAGTGAAGCAGAGCTAGCTGGTTGAACCTCCAAGGACGTGTGAAAGGCTGCAAGTGTAGTGTTATTCTAACCTCTCTCATGGGAGACTTTTGCAGCATCTGGTTACGTAGTGTAAATCCATTCATCATGATGGGTCCCCTCAATCACCCAGATACATTCATCCACATTGTCAGTTAGTGAGTGTCGTCGCCATAATGTCTTCTCATAATCTGCCACTCCCATTGTCCCTTTCTCTAACAGTGCAAGTTTGACTAAATCACCCTCCTGCCTCTAATTCCCTCAGATTAGATCCATCCTAAAATAAATACCTGTCTATACCCTCACCAGGTTAAGCTTTTCAACATGCATTAGCTGATTCCTTATCCTGCCTGTCTGAAGCTCTGTCTGATTACTCAGACTCTGACTGTGTTCCCGATCCCTGTCAGTGAAGTTTACCTCCTTGTGACTGATTGTTTAGCGGGATAAGCCTTTGTGATTGAGTATTTAGCCGTATTGTTAGACAGTCTTGCTTGTGAGACCTTGCTTGCTCTTTGTCAAGGAGCATAGCAGAATTCTTGCACCTGCTGTGTGTTATATTAGATAAAAGCACCTGCATTATTATGTAATGGCACTCAGCTGACTTTACAAAACAGACTTTTTTCCCTCAATGTCAACCCTGAATTAGCTTAGAAAGTGGCATATAGTTAACCTTGGACAGAATACGTTTTGATATAATGTTTGCTGTGGTCAAGTGCTCAACAGGACTTTTAAATCATTTGGTGTAATAATTAAAAAAAAAAAAAAGAAATGCATCTTCTTTCAGTATCCACCTATGCCATTATTGTATGCCAAAATGTGCAACACCAAGACCCCCAAACGAAAGCAGCCAAATTACCAGCATTTCTCTTGTTACCACTTCTCAACCTTTCCTCATTTTCAACTTGTGGCATGATGTCCCTCCCTGTGGTTAATCTCTTTTGACATGAAAATGTTAAGTTATATTTAGGATGGTCCAAAGTTGCTTTCTCCAATTACCCATTAATGATTTACTCCCTCATGACCCACAGTAGAGGAATGCAGTTATACAGGGCAGCTCCTCAAAGCCCATGAGTCACATTTGTCTTTATTACTAACATAATTGATTGTCAAACCTTCCCTCCATTGACAATACAGAAATAGGTCCAATTGTTCACAGCATTTGTTTTGACAACAGAGTCAGATCCCAAAGATACCAGGGTGCCTGGAGCATAATGGGGTAGTCACCCAGCTGATAAGGGAAGCCAGAGAAAACAAGGGCGACCTAGTTGTGCTGTGGCTGGACCTCACAAATGCATATGGGTCCATACCCCACAAGCTGGTCAAAGAAGCTCTACACCGGCACCATGTCCCAGCCAAGTTCAGAGACCTCATATTGGACTATTACAGCAGGTTCAGTCTGAGAGTCTCAGCAGGGTCCACAACATCGGACTGGCATAAGCTGGAGAAAGGGATCATAACAGGATGTACTATTTCTGTGATCCTCTTCGCTCTAGCCATGAATATGCTAGTGAAGTCTGCAGAGGTCCAGTGCAGAGGGCCCCAAACCAAGTCCGGTGTCAGGCAGCCACCCATCAGGGCCTTCATGGACGACCTGACTGTGACAACACCAAACGTCCCAGGGGGCAGGTGGATTTTGAAAGGCCTGGAGGAGCTAACCACCTGGGCCCGTATGACCTTCAAGCCCGCAAAATCCAGAGCTCTCGTGCTGAAGAAAGGAAAGGTCACCAACAAGTTTCACTTCACACTCGACAGCACCCAAATACCATCCATCACTGAAAAGCCGGTGAAGAGCCTGGGGAAAATGTTCAGCTGTAGCCTAAAAGACACAGCAGCCATCCAGTCAACCAACCAAGAGCTGGAGGCATGGCTAGTCACAGTGGACAAATCTGGCTTACCGGGCAAATTCAAGGCCTGGGTGTACCAACATGGCATCCTCCCAAGGATTCTCTGGCCCCTCCTGGTGTATGAGATCCCAATCTCTACAATTGAGAGCTTCGAGAGGAGAGTCAGCAAGTTCCTAAGGAAGTGGCTGGGACTGCCTCGAAGCCTCAGCAGCATCGCACTATACGGGAAAAACAACATGCTGAAGCTACCGATCAGCAGCCTGAATGAAGAGTTCAAGGTGAGCCGTACTAGAGAGGTGCTGCAGTACAGAGAGTCAAGCGACCCAAAAGTCTCTCAAGCCGGGATCGAAGTCAGGACGGGGCGGAAGTGGAGGGCAGCAGAGGCCGTGGATGCTGCAGAGTCACGGCTGCGGCACAGGGTGTTGGTGGGGACGGCGGCCCGGGGAAGAGCAGGCCTAGGTAGCGGTGCAACACCTCGCTACGACAAGGCTAAGGGGAAGGACAGGAGGGCACTGCTCCAGGGAGAGGTGCGAGCAGCAGTGGAGGAAGAGAGAACCAGCAGGATGGTTGGAATGCGGCAGCAGGGAGCCTGGATGCGTTGGGAGCAGGCGGCAGAGCGCAAAGTCACTTGGACTGAGCTTTGGAAAGCTGAGCCCCAGCGCATTAAATTCCTCATCCAGGCCGTCTACGACGTACTGCCGAGCCCGTCTAATTTATTCTGCTGGGGAAAGGTTGAGTCGCCTGCCTGTGCACTGTGTCAGAAGAGAGGGACCCTGGAGCACATCCTGAGCTGCTGTCCAAAAGGCCTGAGTGAGGGGCGCTACCGCTGGCGCCACGACCAGGTTTTGAAGGCCATAGCAAACACCATCTGCAATGGAATTGCCCACTGCAAGCACCTGCGCCCAACAAGGAAGTCCATCTCCTTCATCAGAGCCGGGGAGAAACCACCAGCTGCTGTCAGGACCACCTCCTCTGGCCTGCTAGCAACGGCTCAAGACTGGGAGCTGAAAGTTGACCTCGGGGAACAACTGGTATTCCCAAAGAATGTGGCCACAACATCGCTGAGGCCAGACGTGGTACTGATCTCAACATCCTCCAAGCAGGTCGTGCTGCTGGAGCTCACAGTACCATGGGAAGACCGAATCGAGGAGGCCAACGAGAGGAAGAGGGCCAAATACCAGGGTCTGGTGGAGGAATGTAGGCTCAATGGGTGGCGGGCAAGATGTGAGCCCATCGAGGTGGGATGCAGAGGGTTCGCAGGCCAGTCCCTCTGCAGAGTCTATAGCATGCTGGGCATCACAGGACCTAGAAAGCAAAGGGCCATCAAGGAGGCCACGGAGGCAGCAGAGGTTGCCTCACGGTGGCTGTGGATCAGGAGAGGAGACCCGTGGGTAGGGTAGCATTAACTGGACACAAGCTGGGGATTGATCACCCCCGGCTGGGTCGCCTGGAGGAGAGTGTATGATGCTTGAAAGACCCGAAACACTCGATGATCCCAGGTAACATCACTGATGATGTGTCCAGGTTGCATCACTAGGTGATGTATGTCACAAGGTCCAATTGTTCACAGCATTTGTTTTGACAACAGAGTCAGTTCAGATACGCTAACGTCATGATTGCAATATTAAATTGAATAAGTCAGGGACTGTCTGCTGAATTAAATCTTATACACTCACTCAAGATGGATTCAATTCACAGTTTAGAGGTAGAGCTTAACTCCCTAAAGGGGGAATGTGATATAAACATTTGGAAAATGAGCATCTTTATAGGACCTGTCATCAAAGGCCTGATTGTATTATCATAGGTTATAATTAAAAGGGTGACTCTGCAATTAAACTTGAACTCTTATACAATCAGCTGCCGCGGTCTTTGCATCAATGTAGTTATGAAATCTGACCTGGATATTTTACTGCTATATTGTCAATCATATTGTCAGTCACTACTGATAAAGGGACTAAATTGTTAAATAAGAGGCTCATCACTTAATTATATGTGTTATTGTTGCTGCATATAGATGGAAAGTTAGGTAATGGAAATGGCAGAGAAACAAAATCATCAATCAGGTTTGTCCTTGGTTAGTAATGCACACTGGTGAGAAATCGTTTACCTGTTCTAGTCCATCTAGTCCAAAATCTTAATATAGAAGTAAATTATATTGGTAATTTTTTAGACATTGAGAAATTTCATTAAAAAGGATTAAAAGAAATATGATGACAGGTAACATCTGCTTTACTCAATTTAATCCAACATTTACAATTTAGCTGCAGTTCAATGGAAACTGAATGACAGCAAAACAGCAACCACAGGGGCCAAAGTCACTGTAAATACTGCCATACTTCTAATTATGCATTGAATTTCCCTTCAGTGATAAATGAAGTTCTTCTTATCTTATCTTAATTAAGTTTAGTGTCTCAGGAATATTTTACCATTTTAATCCCTACTGTCCACCTGTTTGTAGTGTTCAAAGGTTTGTTAAACAAAAAAATCACAGTTTTCATACATTTCAAGTTTCAAATGTTCCAGAGAAGGCATTGGTGTAGTAGGAGGAAGAAAAGTAGAACCAGAGCGAGGTGGTCATGGTAATAAGGTTGTGGGCACTGCTGTCTCACAGCAAGTTGGTGCGTACAGCTTTCCCATCTCAATGCTGGACCTTTCTGCCCTCCTCTGACCGGGTTGTTGATCAGGGTTTTGACCTGCCATAAAGTACTGGTAGTAAATAAACTCAGAACAAACTTGACCAAGTAAGTACTGGATGGCAGCACTGTGTGTGGTGGTTAGGTCTGCTGCATTACGGTTGCTCAGGTCTGTTTTGATCTGCTGCCTTTAGTGGTAAAGTTACCAGCTGGTATTAGTCTGTTTAGCTGCACCTGTATATTTAACTCAAACTCACAGTATTTTGATGGTATTTCAATTTTGTTCTGGTCTTAGTAAACATTTGTCTCAACTTGTCAGGTGATCCCCCCTGAGATTTTAAAGTGAGTGCCATGCTGTGATGGCATGTTGACGGCGGTGAACAGTGCACCGCCAATAGATCAGCTCCCTGATGATGTCACCTTTTCCTGTGTGAAGCTTTATCAGTGAGGTCAGACCCCAATATTATGCAAGTCATTTTCCCTGCCAGCTGTCTTTTTCTCAAAGTGACTTTCCCTAACGCTTGTTGTCCGTGTCCTTACTGCACCCACTTTTCTCTCATAAGTGCACAAATGACAGCTAATGTGACTCCAGATTTCAAAATGTGTTGTATTTTCAATATGTGTGGTGAGACTATTCCTTTATCTTCTTTTTAAAGTATCCCAGTGTCAGTAAGGGATATGTGCAGTCAAATGAATAGTTCCCTAATATACTGATTTAATAGACCTCATTCAGTCCTTGAAGTAAATGTTGATTATTTGCCTCCCATTGACGTATTTGGTCGTTTGTTTCTTACTTGCTTCTCTAGACCCATTCTTCTAGCACTCCAAAAGTTTTATATCAAACCTTTTCTGGTAGAAATAGTACACATGTAAAAGGCTTATCTTTACAAACTGTGTGAAGGAGAATCTTGTTGACCCTTTTTGCAGAGATTTTTGGTCTCATATACTCATTTTTAGAGTTGCATCAAAGTTTGTTGACTAAAAAATGTTGGCGAAAGCAATAAAGATGACGAAAAGCAGGATAAGGTTTTTGGTGAGTAAGTACCACTACAAAATAAAAATCAAACACTTCAGCTTGTTCCAATAAACCTTGTTTTCAAAAAACCTTCTACCCCCTAAAACATCCGAACGTCACATACACCGTATACACTGGGATGCCAAATATAACTTATTACAACAGAACTATATTTCCTGCAGCTGAATTGCGCATGACCTACTGGTTGGCAAAAGCACTTTTGCTTAAAATGTCCTGCAGCTCTATCAATGGACCACATGGAAGCTTCTTAGCCCCCTGCACAGGGACTCCTCAACCTATCTACTTAAGTCCTTTCCACTTTAATAGGGTTCATTCTGCAGTTGTAGCTCTCTGAAGTGGATGGACAGGTAGCCTGGCTCTGACTGATTGAACTTCTAAATCCCCGCAGGGAAAGTTCACTTACATGTTTTCATCTCCCCGAAGGGGCCAAGAGATTTTAGAAGCCATACGGTAACGAGTACTTTTACTAATAAGGGACTTGATCAAAGAGCGAAGTGGTCATGTTTTTCACTCTCAAATTTGGACACAAGAGGACTTTAAAAAGTTCAAAAACTTTGAAGTGTTATCTTCAGTGCATGAAGATATCCTGCGTTAAAGAAATGCCAGTGGATGATCTAACCTCAACAAACTTAAGCAAGAATACTCGTGTAACTTTTTTCAAAAGAATTTAATGGATTGTGGCAGAAGAGTTGGTAAAATAATGAAAAAGATAGAATTGGATGAGGGACTCCCGGTCTACACGTGTGGCCTGAATAAGGAGGGTATGCCTCGAGGTGTTGGCCCAGGTTCACTCCCTGTCTCTCCCTGTTTTAGACTGTGTCGACTGTCCTGTCCCCTCGAGATAGAAGCAAGACCTCTCCAAATTGTTTTGGTGAATGTGGCTAACTTGAGCAAAACTAACTTTCGATCTTCCTTGCGAGTTAATATCTATGTGTTGGTTTCGCGATGGAGGCTGTTATTTCTTTATTTTTATGACGTGCGACAACCAGCATTAAGAACCACATTAATGGCATCACAGAATTACCATATGCTAAGTTATGATAGGTTAAAGTGCAATGCCTAAATTCCATCTAAAAATATACAGAATCTAGACGGTTGAAATTAGATCTAAAAAAAACTAGATGTCTAATAGCCGTCTGTTGCTCAGTGGGATTAATTGTAAGTACCAGTACATTGCAACAGCCCTGGTACATCCTTAGTATGTGATGCAGCCACATAGTATAATGAAACACACAGTTTGGTCTTCCTCTTTTCCCTGCTTTAAATGTTATCAATCAGTACAGCGAACATACCTTTTCTAAAGATCATGCATGACTATCTGACCTGACCTGACTGGTGATCTGTATGGCACATTACCGAATGTATGATGCTTAAGCTGCTGCCCCTCTAATCTGCTTTCAACCTATATTTTCCACAGCTGTCTCGTTTCCTCTCACCCTTTCATGTACACCATTAGCAGAATACCTGCCACGTGAAAATGCCATCAGCTGCAGTGAGTGAGAAAACTCCTGGGAAATGTGCTAGCTACAAAGGTCTGCCAAAGCTGCTTCCTATAATGATGGGACACTCTGTCACCACATAATATACGATGAGGATGTCAAGGGTGGAGACTGAATGGCTCTTTATTACAGGAATCGATTGAGAAAGTGTGTTTAAGTCATTGATGAAAAACATCTCTCAAGGCACGTGAGGCAGCAGACTGATCCTTCACTGCGGGGAGGTCTATTTATAGCTCTTTGCACAGTAATTAGGATATGAAGTGCAGTGTTAGCATGGCCTCGTTCTGCCTTCTGTTCATTAGTGTGAACATATTTAGCCTTAGTGATTAAGATGATGAATATTTACATTTCTACACATTCTATCAGCTGCATTAATAACAACAGAAGGTACAATGTAAACACTCAGTCCCCCTTGTATAGACTGTATTTATTTATGTTCACAAGTATGTGTGTGTGAACACCCAGTCTGTTCATAACCACAGACGGTCCTTGATAAAAAAAAAAAAGGAGGTCTAAATCTGCCAGAGGCCAAACACTGAGACGATAGATGTTGCAGAGGGAGGAAACTGGCTCTGGCCTCTTAAATGATGGCTGTTTTTCTCATTTATGAGCAAGGTGACCTCGCCCGATCATGAAATCCTGCAGGACCTGATCACCACCGCCATCTAGATCACTCTGCCTGGTCAGTATGGGGCTGTTGAGAACTGGCATATTGATCCAGAATAAAGCTTTTCCAATTAAGCTTGAAACCTAGGCCAAGGATGACAGAGTATCAAGCAAATCTCTAAATTGCGGCATCTTGCTTTCAAGGTAAGGATGACTAGAATAGAAAAAGCTAGTGTTTCTTTATGTTAAACTACAAAGTGGCTTTTGCTTTGATTAAGACATGGCTTCAGGTAAAGGATATTCATAAGTCAAAGCAGAGCTTAATCAAGAAGTACATTTTTAAAGGGATATTCCGGCGTAATATTAATTTAGGGTCAAACACACCGTAACACTGAGTTAGACGCCCCCTCGAGAGATGAATGTTGCTGACAGCTTGCTTCTCTACTTGTATCAATTAGTACAGACCGCATGATAGCAATACGCAGCTGTCGGCAACGTTCATCTCTCGATGGGGTGTCTAACTTGGTGTTACGACGTGTGACCCTAACTTAATTTCACACGGAATACCCCTTTAAGTGTTAAGACAAGCAGACAAGTTTATCTATTGCCTCATTCTCATTTGGGCCTGTTTGCCAAGCAACTTGGTATTATTTATTATGTGCTTGAATGTGGATGAATTTATCAAATAGTTTAATGATTAAGATACAAATAATGAGGGTACACACAATAGGGGAGCAGTGGAGCTCAATGCCCTATTAGCAGGCCAGTAAGATTAAAATGTCCTAAGATTAAACAACACCTTGTTGACCCTCAAAAATGATCACCTCCTGGAATCAAAGTGACTCTTTCACTCAGAGAGACTGTCAGGTAGAATACTCTTATTGATTCAGTATGAACTCCTTTGTTTGTCATTCATAGAACTATCCTACTTGTTCTCCTTTTGTTAATGAGCAGATGTATTGATGGTGAGGGAAAAAGAAAACATTAGCAAGTGAAGGACAGACATCTTTTCTTCACGGTAACTGCAGAGAAAGAACACCCAGGTGTGACAGGTGTGACGCCGCACTCACGTGTGTCACTTTTTCTATGAATGGGGAAGGTATGTAGGACACAGGAGGGAGGGATTGAGGGCTTGTGCGAACAGAGAGGACAAGGCATTGAATGTTCTTCTCTATAAACACAAGTACACTTCCTTCAGCTTCAATTGTCATTGCTTAAACTGTACACAGACAAACACTCGCAGATGTTCAAATTAGAAGGTAATGACTTTCCCCCGCTCCTTTTTCCTGTGCTGTCTGATGTTTTCATTTGAAGGGTTATCCTGGTAAATACAAAGATGCGTTTACCTGTAATTTCTCATATTTCTAAAATAGACCACAGTCAGTGTTTTAAATTCTACCCTAAATTCATATCCTGAGTTTCAGTCCAGTTGCTATTTCAAGCTGAAGGATACATAACACTAAAAGATGAATGTTGCTGGATTTCTGGATGGTTGCTATAGAAGGTGTTGACCAGTACATCCATTTTCCACACTGACCTACATCTCGGATTACTCCTCTGACACCCATCATCCTGATAGAAAAATGGCGGGCAAAAAATATGTGTCACTGTCATTATTTATCCTCCTAAATCCCCCTGTGTGGCTGTAATGGCAGACACCTGGTAACATACTTACTCTTCGTCATCGACCTATAACGGGAGACAGTGAACGTCAAAAGTGTCACGAGAAAGGACCAGACACCAACACTGCATCTTTTGGTTCAGGCAAAAGTAAAGGGAGTTGGAAAAGGCTTCCTGATGAAGTCAGTTATATCATCTGTAAATACTGCTGCATGTAAGTCAGAAAGTTACGCTTGATCTGTTTGTGACACAGCATGGGCCACTACAAGGTTTGGTGTATGTTTTTGAGGGTTTACTTTTCGCGAGAATTACTCGGTTTTGTTTCGATTTTCTTTGTTTTGGTGAGATAAATAACGAGCTGTGATTCAAGGGTGGGGTAGGCAGGATTTCGTTAGAGAAGCATCTTTTTTTGTGGTGTGTATACAAAAAAGCTTTTAACATCAGTCAGTAGATATTAGTCATTAATGATATTTGGGAATATAACGATATCGCTGTGTTCTGACTGTAAACAAAGCTGTTCGCTGTCTCCCTCAACCTGATTGGTTGTGAGGCGTACACTGCTCCTTAGTGCTGATTGGTTGTGAGGCACACGCTGCACGCTCCATGCCCTGGAATACCGTTCACGAGTCCAAACTAAGTTAGCGTGCTACAATACCGGACAGTAGAAACCAACCAGAAAGTACGGAAAATTGTCTGAATCCTCCTTTGGCCACTACTGCCAACACAATAATAGAGACTTGGGCGGAATAAGGGGCGCTTAAAAAGGAGGTCAACCGGACAAGAGCAAAAAAGCCAGGTCAACATAAAATGATAGGGGACACTTCTGGATCTTACGGACCCTGTAACCCTTCTGCTGGACAGGTAAACTGCTTTATCAAAGTAAGCCAAGTGTCTGAAGTGTTTCTTGTCAAACGGGACCTGCTACATGTTGTAGCGCTGCTAAACTGTTTACCCCGGGTCCTGGAGTATGTCACTTATGCTAGTTGTAGAAGTCCTGCAAACATTGTGTTTGCTGGTAGTCTGTTGGCATCAACAGTCACACCTATGCTTTTTACTTTCACGTTGACTGTTGACTATCTGAATTTAATTGGAATGATACGAGCGAGCAGGAGCGTCTGTTTGTGGGCGGGGCTTGCTGGAGCAGAGAGGGAGGCGAGAGGAGGAGCTGAGGAGAAAACTGGTCGGGGGTGGGGGGGTAGTGTTTACATTCAAGATTTCTCCCAAAAAGTGGCACTGTCTCAGATCCTGCCTACCCCACCTTTAAGAAATTTTGCACCTGGAAAAGAAAAAAAAAAACTGTTAATGCAAAGAAACACTCTGAAATGTTGCATATACAGGGTCTTGAAGTAGTTTTTTTAAAGGTATAATCTTCATGGGTTCATCACTATTAAATAAGGGGGAAAAAAAAAAGATTTTATGAGTCATCCTCCATTTGCGGAAATACCACCATGTGCCGCTGACCCTCTCTACAGATGTTTCCTCTCTGTTGTTGATGTTGTTCTCCCTAAGCACCATGGGTCCCTCCTGCTCAGCTTGTGGCCAGCTAGTATAAACAGTGTCTCTTTTTAAAGGACACACAGGTGGCTCTGACAAATGTATATTTTAATGTTTCCCAGATCTTTATACCACAACATGGCCATCCCTTTCTTACTGGTACAGGAAATTGCTTTCCCAACACTTGCTGATGAAACAGCTGTGGCTTCCTGAAACTAAGTACAACTTTTACTGTTTCCTCATGCAGGAAATGATATTCCAGCACCAGAACTGAGGTGGGCTGTTCACCTAGTAGAGCATATGATCCTACTGCCTTAGAAAGGATTTTATTTGGTTAGTTATAAACAGGACAATTACGCATGTAATACTGGTGATTCAGGGAAAACTAAATTATTTTGAGATTCACACCGCATTTTCTTTGCAGCAGGTAATGAGTAAGGATTCAGCTGTAGAGAAGTATTTCTCCACTAAAGGTGAACCTTTCAGGGCATTATATATAAAGTTAACTCTTCTGTGTTTATTCCTTTAGAAGACGATACTGGTGGGCGCTCGATCGAGTTACCTCAGCTGGAATCATACGAACTACATATCTCATTAAAGGGAGGGCCCCACTCAGGTCAAATCTTTACATTTCATTACTTAAAGGGCAACTGAGAGTGTCATCGAGTTTTCCTCAGCAAGAACTTGACAGGGCTTTGAATACACTGTACTTTGAAAATAACTCGCCACGCACAGCTCCCTTTGTCACGTTTTTCTCCACGTTTCCTTACACATTTAGTCACATTTGAATAAAACATGTTATTGTGTGTAATGGCTGAAGTCAGACAGATCTGTAGACACTTATCGTGTGATGCGTGTTCTCCTTGTTGCACATGTACAGAATATGATGATGTGTGAATGTTCCCGTGGAAAGGACATGTTGCCCTTTTCGTGCCTCACCTCTCTCTCATTCTTAAATATCACGTGCGTGGAGCACACAGAGGGAGGGTGGTCTCGTGACAAACTTGGCTTTGATTACAGGTATCTGAATTCGAACCACAAACCAACACCTGTCTCTGTGAAGGTAAATATAACCCAGCTTCATGTATTTTAAGGACTAATGGATGATTTTCTCTACAGCACTCGGAGCGTGTGTGTGCACGCCAGGGTACACTAGCTACATGTTACTAATAAGGTACTCTGATTTTTCTCCAGAATAGAAACGGGGACACAATAAGTGAATCCATCACTGTTCAAACTCTGCAATTCATGAGCGGAGAAAGGGCAGCAGCACATCTATGTTTGAAAGATCTTTGTGTTTTACATCAACGCATACTTGAGGTTGGGTTTTTACACATCGATTTGCGCACTGCTGTTTGAATTCCTGAAGTAGAGCACACTATGATCTGTTTATTGACTAAAACATCCTGTTTATCATATTTATAAAACTGGGTTTTGTTGCAGTTTCATCTATGCAATAATAAATGATTTGTACGGTTAAGGTGGAAGAGTGATATTCAGTAGAAAGTGCATTAGAAAGGGGATTGTTGTTTCTTTTTGGGAACATGACACACCTACATTTTGGTCTGTGCTCTTTCCTCTAATAACAACTTTAGCATGTACCATCACAGGGTAATACACCTGTTCTTATTTTTTTTTATCTCTTGCAAATGTTTGTTAAAACAAGATTAAACGCTTCTTGTTACAGAGAGTAGACCAATGGGATGGTTTTAATTTTGCTTTTCTGTATCTTGTTTATGACATAGTATTTGAGTGGGCACAGATGAAGTTTCTTGGTCATGTTTTGGCTCCAGCAGAAAGTGAGAACAGCATTAGAAGCTCATCAGGAGGTCTCTATAAGCTGTCTGACACGTGCATAAATACATCCCTTTAGACTGGAGCATTTCTGGAGACCTCTCAAGGATATAGTATCCTTGTCTCAGTAAATAAATCATATTTGTTGATACTGTACAGAAGATAATCTCAACTTAAATTAGGTTAAAATAATAGTTTTAATTAAAAAAATACATATTTTTTTGCTGACCGTTTTTGTGAGATAAAAGATGAGACAAAAGAGGATACAGAGGATTTCAGTCATTTCTGCTGCTTATAAAAACTGTCAGTCTGTGTCTGGATGTGTGATGTTTATTTCTGTGCAAAATAACAGCTTCAGCTTGAGGCAGCAGGAGCTAAAAGTGATGAAAACTTTATGGATTGTGCCTCCATTCGTCTGATAGTTTATGCTGTGTGCGACAGCAGATAGAAACCAGACGCTCAAACAGGCTGCAGTTCTCTTATTATTTCTCTCTTTTTTTCAGAATTGGGAACATTTTATGTAATGTTGAGCATGTTTTAAAAAATGAGGAGACAGACTTCAATAAACTTTAACCTTATTTGTTTTTTTTTTTTAAGAGTGAATATTTATTTTAAATGAAGTTAAAGCAGCATGTTGAATACACCCCTATTCCTTCAACCCAACACTGGAATTATTTGATGTTACCTGAAGCAGTGCCACTGCTTTTGGGATGTAAAAGAATCTATACATACCTTTCAGATGAAGAACTCCAGTTTACTTGGAGAACCAAGCCTTCCCAGTGGCTGCTTGGTAGGGTAAAAGAAAATAAAGTGGGTAGTCAGTATTGGCCTTAACTATTGTATAGTTAAACATCTGTTCTGTCGACATTTATTCTTCAGAAACACTTGGTGCCTCCACGTCGAAAAGTAAGTTGTCTATCACTAGTGTTAGCCCAGGAGAGGACAGTCAAGTGTTCTTAGTTGGAAACAAAGTTAGATCAGAGTTGCTGAGTTGTGGTGGCACAGACAGTTAAATGCATGTTTTATTCATGATTTATCACAGGACCAGCATGTTATATAAAGTGTAAATTACTGTGTAAGAAATAATTATAGTCTATGTAGCATGGGCACAAATCCTGTGTGTGTGTGTGTGTGTGTGCATGCATTCATATACAGTGTTTACATAACCATCATTTGACAGAACATGGCCTCAGGACACATTGCAACAACCCTGATGAAGACAAAGTGAAACTAACCAGCTCTCTGTGCTGCCCTCCATGCTCTCCCTGTGGACATTTATGACAGTTCATATCAGACAGAGAAGCTCAGACAGACGGAGACAAATCTAAAACCCAAGCTGATGAAACTGAAAGTTAAGACTGGCCTGTTTGGACCTGTCTTCACAGGGGTCTTGTTTGCAGGGTACCCTTAACTTTGCACACTTTTCCCTCATAAAAAAAGAGAAACATTTGGAAATATAAAAAATGCATTGAAGCATCTATACATGCAGGTTTCATAGATTTTTGAGGCAAACCAAAACAGGAACATTCCCCAAACATCACAGGACTTTGACCAAAGACACTTGGGTTTCAGTCAAATTTGAAACAAAATACATTTTTAGTTGTTTTATCAACCCAAACTATGATGTGTTCCCAAAAGACTGGCACCATTTCAATCTTGCTGTTTGTACAGCGTATGTTGATACTAAGTCTGAGATATTGACATGTTTATAGCAGAGAGCTTTCACTCATCGTCACAGTAAGATCTGAGGGTGAGATCATGTGTAATGTTGCAGTGCGGAGTTTGAAAATCAATCAAACAATAGTGAGACCTTGACAGTTCACGAGCCATTCAATACTAACATTTCTTGTTTGGCTCTAAGATCTAGACTTTGTTCATTAACAAGGTAGTGAATCTAATTTACACCATGACAAAAACATACCCCTTAATCTTTGTGTTTTGCTGAACTTTGAACAGTGTGAGAACTGGCAAGCCATAGGACTTCCTGCAGTGTCTCAGCTATTTTTTCCACTCTGTTTCCACTGTTTATCCCCTGATTTAATTTCATACAGCTGTGTGTTTGGATTTAGGGCCACCACACAGCTGAACTCAGAGCAGAGAGGTGACCACACTCATAATAGCCGGACACACTTGAACACCATCAGGGGACTTGTGTGTGTGGTTAAAGTACTCACCAGATGTTTTTATAGGAGATCATGTCCCGAGCTTAATTTATCCTCAAAGAGGATAGGGTTTTGACCTTTCTCCTTCTGTACTCAAACTTAAACAAAGCTTTGCTGCATCCCAGAAAACCATTTATGTAACATCAGGTAATTGCATTGTTTCTCATGTGTCATACCGAAATAAAACAAGGCCTGTAAGCAGTTTTTGCCATTAGATGAAACCTTTGCTACATCAGATACTCTTAGTGTTTTATCTACACTGATCAGATAGTTGATAAATCTTGAGACATATTTTCATCCTTATATCATATATACCTGCCTTGAGTTTGTTTTCATCAGGCTTTTATACCAATGTAAGATATATAAATACAGCATATAAGGTAGAAAAAACTTCTCATTTCTTTATCTGACTCTTCAACTGTGTATTCCATCAACATCAAACCTAGATCATTGAAACTGTATTTGTTCCACCATTTGGTATCTTGTTCTGTTTGTGCTACGGACCAAGTGTGAAATGAATGGATTTCCACTGATTGCATCAGAGACAGCCAGCATATGTGTGGGTCAATTTGTATGTGTGGTGTGTTGTGTGAACAGCAGGTACGGCTCCGATAGCTTTTCAAGGTCTAGTGGAGTGACAACAGTGAAACATTATAAGACAGTCAGACGTGGATGCTTAAGATTTATATACCTTAGGGGATGTGAAAATATCTGTACTGCTTTATTCAACACCTCATTGTCTACTTGTGTTCAGTCAATAAAGGATCCAGTGTACTCCAGTGGTTTGCTTTGAACAAACAGAAAATCTTAATTGTCAGCTCTGGCACTGATTGTCCAGAGGGTTTTCGAATGAGGAAATTAAACACGGGATACAAATACTGAGGAAATGTAAATCTATTTTATTTACAAGGAGCGTGTATAATGAGTAATTCAGGGCAGCGTTGTTGGGTTATTTTATTGGCTACATTATTTACACTTCAAAAACTTTAACCTATGCCAGTGATTTTTTTCTATTTCACTTCTGTTAGAAATATCTCATTAGACTTTAAATCAACCACATTTAGATGGTAGGCACAAGATGGTAGACAGCAGGTGCAAGAAACGGTCTTCTGTAATTTTTTGTGGCATACTCTCCAGTAAGGAACATTTTACAGTTAGAAGACAACAGGGTGAGGTTTTTGTATGAAAACATGATCTTCGTGTGTACAGGACAAGAGATGAGACGCATCACTTTGTCCACAAGGGGCGCCAGAATCAACACAAACCAAAAGTTCATCACAGAAGCTTTAGTGAGAATAAAATAATCTGTAAATTGGGTGGGCAAAATGTACTTGTAAAATTTTTAGGAATCTTTTTTATAATGATAACAAGTAAACTTTGTTTACTCCACTGACAGATTTTCTTACCCATTTTAGGCGATGCAGGTGTTAACTATAGGGAAAGAGCTTGCAATGCAAATCCGCCCTAATCATGCCCCCCAATCACACAATTCACTGTCAATAAAGGATTTACCTGGAGTGAATGGAGCTATAGAGACCAAAACTGTATTTCAGTTCAAAACTATAATACATTTTTTTCTGCAGTAGTAATAAGCAGTGCAACTATGGTGGAGTCTCTATGACTTTTGAAGTCAGCCCCAAGTGGCGAGTCAAGGAACTGCATTTTTTGCACTTCTGCAATGACTAATTGACACTGTTTATAAAGTGAAATACATGAAAAGTGAGTAAAATAACAAGAATCTAAGAAAAAGCTATGCCCAGAATCCAGGATATTTGAACAGAAAAAAACAGACCTTACGAACAAAATTCAAAATAGCTGGAAGCCAAGCCCATCAATGATAAGCGTGGCTTTAGTTACTTTGGGGGATTTATGTCACAAAAAAAACGAGTTTTAAATATGGCTCCACCATTTAGTTGAATTGTACCCAATTCAACTAAATGGTGAATTGGGTACACCATTGGGTAATGTCCTTATAATCAACAAGAGCGCTGGGTTGATGGGATAAACAGTGCTACAACATGCAAGGATAAACTTCAAACATAACTGTTTTAATGGTTCAGGGTGAACAGTTTCTGAGGATGTATACTACATAATTGCTGAGGGTGAAGGTCAGGCAGTAGAGAGAACATATCAGTAGCGACGTGTCTTGTCCTCAACATAAAGCTTGAGCTACAACAAAACCTTTCACTGTCTGCTTCTACTTTCTTTTAGTTCTTCATCACTTGTTGTGATAACCCTTACAATTTATTCTCCATGTATTTTTAGCTGCAGGCTAGACGGTTATGTTGTGCAGAGAGAAAAGTGCCTGTCTGCTTGGTGTGTGTATTTTGTTCACTTAGTTTCTGTGTGTTACCTAAGTCTGTCTCCAGCTTCAACATAAGCAGTGCGAAAAAGAGGTGAAATGCCCCCCACCACCCTTTTTTTTGTGTGAAAGCCACTGATTTTTTAATCTTCTCGAGTTGATGTTTTGGCTATCTCATGAATGTCTTTTAATCAAGTAAGCTTACTATTCTGGCTGCAAATGGATTCCTGTTAATAAAATATATGAACATAGAGGGGGTAGAACTTGTGTGGGCAGAGGTAAACAAAACTTTGAGGAGACAGCAGACTGTTCTGCACCATTACTGACTTGGAATACTTTCAGAGCTTCACTTGCTGACTCGTGTTGTGCAAATAGGGCAAAACTGAATATATGCAGTGCATTGATTTTCTAATTAAATGCACAAGTCACTAATATATTGGGAGATTTGATAATTTTGTAACCTAGTCTGGTTTCATTTTTAGAACCAAATGCATAAAGTTACCTGGGGGATACATTAATTGCTGTAGAGTTTGTTATTTCGGCCCAGTCTTCACCTTCAACAGAGATCCCTGCCTACTGTGGAGACCATGGGTTTTGTTATCATGCAATTTAAAAAAAATATATAAGAGCCAATCACTTGTTTACAAAACACACTATAATGCAGCTTTACTTGTTTTCTTATTTGACCCAACAATACTCAAGATAGTCAACTTTGGGTGGTGAATGATGCAGGCTGCAGCTGAGCCTGGTATGTTCTAACTCCCAAACATCAAGATGTATTTTTTCTTGATAAGCCTCGCTGCAGTCAGCATGTAGTTTTTCCTTTCCTGGGCATTAGATTGCAGTTTGCACACCTGCATCAATCAGGTAACTTGGAATCTCCATTTGGTCCATTGAATCATGCAGTAAAATTCCAGTTCAGGCAGATGTCCACATTAAATGGCATGTCATCAGCACTGTTGGGTTCACTCATTACTTAGTTCAGTCATGTGTTTGTCTCTTTAAAGCTCACAGACCCAAACAGCCAATAGGCCTGCTGCAGGTGGAAAAGCATGTGTATCACGTCCACAAGCAGAACTCGGCTGGTTTCTTGACAAAGGAGCCAAGCCGAACTGCATCCCTTATGGTTTATACCCTACTATCGACAGGTTTCTTATACAACCCCACATAAAAAAGGAACTATCACTTTAGGTGTGTTAATACTGTCATAGTTGTGTTTCAGTATTTTAATTGGGCGCTCACACCAAGTGCGAGTAAAATCATTTACTCGCTTAATTCGCACGAATCTAGAAACGAGAATGAATTGTATTTACTTGCTTCATTCACATGTCAACTGGGAATTTCAATGGTAATCCCTGCCAATTCAACCAGCAGGATCAAGTGATAGAGTTTTTTTTACAATATACCAGGTAATCCAACCTCCTCACTCCAGACGAGCTCCTTTTTATTCTGGTTTCGTATAATTCGGAGCACCCACACACTGACATGCTCAGTTTGTCCTCCATTTTAGATACCAGTGAACAATCATACGTTTTCATGCATCACCCGGCAACCTTTGTGCTGATTAGTTATAGCGATGCGAATATCCGCCCATGTTGAGACATATTCAGCTTCCGCCCAATTCGCGTCATTCGCGCTACCATAGTAGTAGGAGCTTCAAATCGCGTCTCTTCCTTGACTTAACATGTAATTCATTCGCGCCAATGGTCTTACTCGTGCTTGGTGTGTGGAGACAGTAAGACTCCAAAAATAGCAAGACACTGGCTGGATATCCTCACTTTTCTCTTTAAACTTGGTTAAATATCACTGGGTTAATGGAGCTTTTGCTGTTAGATAATTTCCTCGTTTTGTACCCATGATCAAGTTGAAATCAATCAAAATCTAAATTACATGTTATGACTTAAGGTCAGATGTGGTCTTAGCCTCAGTGTGCAAATTAAAGCCACATTCTGGTAAAAAAAAAATGACAACTCAATTATTGAAAGGTCTTTCCCTCCAAAGAGACATCCCCTGTTGTTATGCAAGTCTCATTATTTGGCTCATCTTCACCTGAAAGTGGCACCGGTTCTGTGCAGAGCCTGAGGATAAAAAGTGAAGCACCATTAAATCCCCCCTCAGACAATTACTGCAAGGGGCCTTCTTTAAAAGCTCAGTGGAAGAAGCCAGCTGTGTTGTTTTGACCTGCCGTTATGTAAGCCTTGGTAACAAATGTTAGAACTGTATTGACACTGGCAGTGAGGACAGTTAATGCCTTGTTTTGCTGATTTTTCCATCAGACATGGTCTCCTATAATCCAAGACACATTTTCAGAGGTGGGCTAGCTCATACTGCAGAAAAATAGGGGTGGCATATCATCTCATCAAGGAAATGTGTCGGTATCTAAGATGATTAAAGATTCAAGCTTTTTAATGTCAGTTTCTGCCGTATTGTGAGTACATACACAGGAACTGAGAAAGATGTTTCTCTCCAGCCCATGGGGCAAAAATACACCGAATATATTAAGAATACAGAAAAATAAAAAAAGAGAAAGGGTAATACAGAAGGAGAGTGGTATAAATACTCCCCTGTTACAATGTTAACTTTCTAAAAGTATCTGTTGCCAATAATCAAAGATACAAGCATGCTTGTATAACCAGGCAGAGACATGTTTCAGTCAGCAGCACAAACAGAGGACTGAGACACCCTCTGACCAATCGGATCCGGTCTGGAAAACCATTGTGTCAATTCCTGTTTTTTTCTCTTGCTAAGAAAACAGCTCAGTCAAGTTTTTACGAGAAACTGACTTATCATTCAGCTGATGCTGTGGCTCATTTAGAAACATAAATTAAATGCTGAGACAACCTTGAGTGCAGTGAAATGCCCAGACTTGTCAGATGTCACAACATGGGCAACATTCTTATTTCCAAAAAGCAGCAAACCATATTTGGAAAATGTTAATCTCACTGCAGTATGGTCAATAACAAATATCCATGTATAAATTTTCAATTAAATAACATCAGATCATGAGTTTACAGTTTTAACCGTGTGTTTTTGAATGTTGTCATTTAGATTTTCTTCTCTTGTTAGATTTTGACATACACTTTAAAGTCTATTACTAATCCTGTAAAAATAGACCCAGTCTCCTTCCTGAAGATTTATAAATGTTCAAAGTTGTTAAAAAAGGGAACAAGAAGTCAAGCAGAGGTTACAGTGAGGGCAAATGGGTGGAGCTTTGATTGAAGGGAACCCGAGGTTGTGAGAACAAGCAGTAAGTGGATCAAAGGTTACAGAGAGCCCACTGTACCATGCTCTAAAGCTCAAAACTGACCTGAGTGCCCTTTGTTATTTTCTGGTTAGTGGGACCTTTTCTCATTTAGATTTAGATTAAACAAAATAACTGTGGTGTGTTGAAATACTGTCCCAGTGGCACTGCTGTAAAGCCATGTATAGACATGTTGTTTCAAAGCAGACATTACTCATTACTTTCACATGAAAATCCTCGCGTGTCTTTTAGAAAGCTAACTGGAATTCCTGTACATATCATCAGCATCAGCATTTGACTGTGACTCATGCATGTTCAGGGAAATGAGAATTTGGCATCAATGTTTATGCAATCAAACACCTTCCCGGATTTTCTTCTCCAGAACTGCTGTAATAAATGTTGTCAGGGAAGATGATGCATTGTCTGCTATGCTGTCCTTAGAAGGAAACATGCAGCACCCATGGAGTTAGCCGGCACAGAATTGAGAGGTCATAATAACCCCAAAGATTTGCTTACAGCAGCAGAAAATTCTGATAGCTTGGACTATAAGAGCTTGGACTTTTTTAAAATGTTTTTAGCTCATACTAATGGATTAACTGGTTGACAAGCATAGGCAAGTCCAGCTTCAGTGAATCATGAGCAGCGTGGTGTGACATGTGTCTCTAAGTCACAAGTTACTGTAACTCTACACTGTTTGTAGTAACTGATGGCGTAACTTTCAATTTATTACTTTCTGTAAAGGAGAAGAGGGGTGAGTTGTCTTCAAAGCGCTGGAGGGAAAGCTTTGTCTACAGCCAGTTGTGATTTCACAAAGCACCTGACCAAACGAGTTGCCAGAGGCTCGCACTCTGGCAACTCACTGGTGATACACGTGAAGCTCGAACCATGGTTTGGTTTTAAAATAAGCCAGCCCACTCTCTGTGACTCTGGAAGGACTAAACAGGCTGATGACAATGTGCTTCACATATCAGCTGATGAGCCTAATGCTTTGAGAGAACTATTTCCCAAACTATAGGTGTAAATCTTAAGTTACACAGTTTTAAAAAATCTTGTATGCATTGTGAGGCAGCTAAGTACGGCTAGTGATCTCCTGTCACAAAATGAAAACTTTCGGCAATCTAGGAGTCCATTTATTTGTTGTTTTTTGTTTTGGCTGTTATGCCTGAAGCCACACAAGAGTAATATCAGCCCCAGCAGCACTCTCACCTCATTAATTTCAAACCTAAACCTTTAGTTTCCCAACACCTGTTTGCAGCTAATCGCCCATTTAACACACTAAATAAGATTTAGTACCAACCAAATTTTTTGCAATTACTCTTTCATTACTTAAATGAAGTACACACATTTTTACACTATAAGAATATATACATTGTTGTGGGATACTTATCATTCAGTCAATTTAAATGATGTCTAAAAAAATCCATTAAAATGCCTGAGGCTGACATGCTGGCATTTCGAGTGAGAACATGTCACTGTAATATTTGCATTATCGCACTTTATGCCCGAGAGCCATTTATGTGCCCTTGAGACTCTTAGTTTCTGAATGTGCAGGAATGTCAATTTGTGAAATATTTATTGACTTTATGGGGATCAGGAAAGTTAAAGGAATTCATATTCACTTTATGATACTGGCAACAAAAGGTAATTTACATTAAAGGCCACATTTTTGCTGCATAGTTTTCTTAGGAAGTAGATAGTATAAGATAAACTCCCCCCCAACCACAATCTGCTTGCTCTCCAGGCGTCACTTGACGTCAGCATCAGTTACAGTCCATATGCTTGTGAAATCACAGCCTCTCAAATCTCACATTTCCAAACATCAGAAGACATCCAAGCAAAACTAGATGGTAAAATTAATCCAAAGTGAGGGTTTACTCAGGTTCAAATTAGGTCTCAGTCGTCTGGAGCTTGCCTACTTACACCTCATAAGGTTTATTCCTGGAGTTGCGGTTAAGTCCAAGTGAAGTCAGTACCCTTGTGATTATCCTGCGGGTAAAAATACCATATGGGAACTCCATGCACGCCACCTAAAGACATGCCACCCACCCTCACGATCAGGCATTTTTCTTAAGAATAAGTTAGGATTGTTGTTCAATTGATGCTTTCTGAAGGTTTCACCCCTGATGACAGCAGCAGAAAGATATTTGTGTGGCACAGACATGATGTAATATGCCAGCTGCAGAGAGAGGTGAGGGGAGGACTGGACTGTAGCCAGTTTCATTTTAACATAAAAAATAGATGAAGACTGTGAGGAAGAATCATGTCTCTACCAGAAAAAACACCTGCTGCTGAGGTGACCTTGTACTTTATGCGAGTATGTTTGGGAATGTGAAATCAAAAAGTAATCCAGAGTCAGAATTATATTTTATAAAGCTATGGGGATTAAAATTAGCCTATCAAGGGGCCAGACAGAAGTCACTTTTTTCATCAGTCAGCCGTACTCTGAGTCCAGTACTAAACATTTTGAAACTTCAATGGCCCTTTGTGTTGAATTTAATCAAAAAGAGCCATCCTTTACTGTTCACTTTTAAACAAAGCTCTAGAGTTCATGACCAGATTGTTGTCTCCAGAGGCTGCGTTGATTTAAACACCTCTGGAGGACTTTTTCCGGACCCCAAGAGGACACAAGCCAGAGCTGAGGAATAGATAGGAGTCAGGACCCTCTGCTTTCTTTCTTCTTGCTCGTTGCTGCATCCGGAGAGCAGGCGGCGGCTGGAAATAGCCCAGACATGCAGGCCAAGTCCGAGTAGAGCGCCACTGGTGTTGTCTCCTGTTAGACTTCCTTGGTTGGCCACTAATCAGCAGAGACAGATGAGGATGCAGGACAGGAGCCAGACCAGATCAGTTTCTACTGGGCAGGGCATGGAACACAGGGAGGAGTGTGCGTGTGTGGAAGTATGTAGGTGTAATTCTGGGTGTGTGCATGATTGACACTTTGAAAATATACATGAGTAACTTGTGTGAGTAAGTTGAGTAACTTGTATGATCATGTAGACGGGTGACAGGAAAGTGGGACAGTGTCATCTGTCACACACCTTCGCCCACCACAGTGTAAAGGAGCACATTTGCACAAGTAACTGGCCTTAAAATTAGTTTTTAGTTTTAGACTTTTTTTAGACTTTCACTTCACTAAAGTCACTCTGCTTTGACAACCTGTTATGTCACGATTACCCTTTTAACACGACTGTAAACCCTAACCCCTGACCCCAACCTGAGACTCATACCACCCACTTCTGCTAGTCACTTAAATTGAGGAGTCTTTCTAATCAACACAGAACTTCATAATATGACAGAGTATTTAGGCCACATTAAGACAAAGTATTATCAAAAATTTAGATTTATTTTATTGAAAGTCAACAACTTGTCTCAGACTCAGACAGTGACAAACTGAAAAGTCAACCAGGTGTGGCTCTGATTCATGCCAGTCTTGTTAACCTTGATGTACTCGACTACAATTATTTTCTCATGACAATAAAATTCTAAGGAAATCAAGCCGTTATGTAACGCGTAGAAGTCATATAACTACATAAATAATGATTATAATGATTAAGAATTAAGTAATGTAAAGTCATAGTTTTAGGTTGATGTTGAGCAGTCAGCTGTCTGTACCAAAATGTGATCTGAATTATACTAAGGGTTTTAGCACCTGAGCACCACATTATTTTAAGTATCAGGACTATGATTTCATAACAACTTTATCCTCAAGAATAAATGATGTTCTCATGACCATATCTTCAAATTTAAAAAAGTAAATCTATGAATTTCTTTATGTTTAATGTGGCCCCAATACTCAAGTCATAGAAAAATTATTTACTTGATAGTGTATTACTATTCTCTCCAAATGGATGATTTTAGTATAACAAGGGCATAAAGGTATTAAAAAGTCAGACCGCCTCAAGCTGGGCAGCCCCCAGCTAATTTGGTGCTGTCCCGCCACAGCCTGAGTAAAATACCATGACACAGTAAAACACCTCCCTCTGCTTTAATGCTGATATGTTGGTGGCACTGTTGTAAAGGATGGAGCCACTTTTTGATGACCAAATATGGTTTTAATAGAGCATCTTATACACTGAATTTTATTGGGGGGGTTTCTTGGTTAAAATGGAAACTACACTCACAGTTTTGTCAAAGTAACAGTGAGCTCTGCAGGTGTCATAAAATGATCAGTGTTAAAACTCACGTTTGACTGAATATAGACCGCAAGACTGCATGAATCATAGCCACACCTCATTGAGTTTGTCTGTCAGACTGTGGAGCAAGTTCTTTTCTATTTATGAAATCCCAGTGTTCTTTCAATGTTCCCTCCAACTTCAATCCTGACAGTAATGTAATATCATCATAGCTATTGTGGCTGAACACTGTTGAATGGATTCAATTAACAACCCAAAAGCATTTCTGAAACCTGTTCTCTTGCACTGATACTGATTACTTGGATAACATGTACCAATTAGACTTGATTGCTGGTTTCTCCACCCTTGTGTACACAACAAACCCCGCCCTTAGCCAATAAGACTCATTAGGTAAGAGAATTAAAAGGTCAGGGAGTGAGACGTATTTCACACTCGTTCTTCTCCTATATTTAATTCACTTTGCCTTTTTAAATCTGCCTTTGTTGCCTACATTAATTGAAAACTTTCATCACACCATCTTCTCACAGCCAATTAGAGTAGTGGAGCTGACAGTCGGTGCATGTTGTGCGAGTTTATTTATGTGATCTCCTTCCTCTGACTCAGACAGAAATCTGAAGTTACTGAACACATCTCAAGCCTTAAAGTAAAACTATTTTTAGACACTCCCTGTGACTAGATGGCAGTGCTGTTGCACTTATGTTTTAACTAGTAGCTTCGCCTCCAGATAAATCCTTGCAGCTGTATCGAGTTCCCATACTCTGACATTTCCTGAGGACATCACACTATATTTGTCTTAGTTCTCTGGTTGCTGATTTCAGAGATTTCTGCTTGTTAAGGATTTTGTGGCAGGTAGACTGTGAAATAAGGGAAACTTTTGACTTTTTATGGACTGCTCTCCTGAACACTTTTTATTTAACTTTTAATTTTAGATTACAATACTGCATTCAACTGAAAAAAAATTCACTGCAAACACTACGGTATAGTAATGCATTTGCAATCAGATACAGTTTTTTATCATTAAGCACAGAAGTCCTCCAAGAAGACCCTAATAAGATCATTTTTGTGCAGTTTTCTATTAAATAAATAAATTAAAACTATTAAATACTATCTCCATTCTGCCTCACAGAAACCTCGAAGGTTCCCTGTGAACTTTCCGACCTCTAGTTATGCTATTGAGCGTTTTTTTTTTTTTAGAGTGTGTTCCTGTTTGTCTCACTGCCTACATTGTTTTCCTACAATGGCATGTTTTACAGACAAGACAGAGGTTTATTTTTCTACCTCTTATGAGACGCTCAAGTTAAGTCAGTTCATATATAGAGCAACAAACACTGAGTGACCAAAGTGTTTCAAAGAAACAAACACAGATCCAGTTGACATCTATAAACACTGAATAACGTTGAGGAATTTACTGTATCTGAAGCAGTCTCCTTTAAAGTGTAATCATGAGCACAGTAACAGAAACACAAAATACGATTAGAAGCCTGTATGTGAAAGAAAGTCAGTGTGTCCAAAAACAGAACTCTGTTAGTCCACAGTGATAACAGAAACAGTGATAGTGCAAAAGCAGTTCATGTTTGTTGACCCTACAGCGTTAGGGCTTCATCTCTGTAAGGTCTAATCTGATTTTTCAAGTATTTTGGTCAAACGCTGTTACCTTATCTCATGCTTGTCTTGATAAACACCCTGTCTTCCTCGAATCACCATGCAGTGAATCAGTAACTATGTTTGTGTTTGTTTATTTCATATCTTAGAAACCCTTTGGTTTAAGCTAAAAGTGATTGATTGCGGCATTTGTTACTTATTGTATTTGTGTATTAGCGGCTGGCCATTTGTTTGTCTGCATGTCAGATATGATAACAGAGTTGGTGCATACTCCACAGTAACACTCTGTATATCACTGTGGATTAGAGTGTCACCCCAGTGGTTCAAAGTAAACAGAGGACAGTGTTCTCTGTTTGGCTGCTTTCCAGGATCCCCAGATTTATTTTTGTGTTTGTGCAAATATTTTCTGTTGCGTTCCTTGTCATAACACCGGTGGGTAAAAGAGAAAAACTGTAAGTGGAAGTTTGCCTGTTCAATTTCCAAAGACTATGGCGCCACCTCCGGCTGACGCTGCAGTTCAGAGTGCATGTGAGGTCATTTAACACTGTTGGGCAGAGGAAGGTCAACACACAAATACACACACACACACTCAAACTCACACAAATTGCAATCGTGTTTCTTTAACTACGCCGAGGGAATGCAGCGAGTGTGCGAGGGATGATGAAGTAAGACAAAGTGACAAAGAGAGACAGTGGAGGCACATGACACACCAAGGGGGGGCATAAAAAAGCACACACACTTACTAAAACGCACATAGTGGAAACCTCTGTCTCGTTTCCTGTTTACAGCACTGTGATGGCTATTTTTGTTCTCTGGCTGCATGCAGCAAGGCCTTCAACTTAAACAATAGAGCTAAGTGTTTGGTCAAGACAACTACACACTTAAGAGGCAGAACACACACACACACACATTTCTTAACTATATCCTGTTTGTAAGCAAAAGTGAGTCTATTAAGATCGAATCAATCATTACATTCACTGTCTGGTCAAATCACTGCTACAATGACTTTTATTTATGATTTGATCAGAGTCCAAAATGAACCAATTGATTGTTTTCATTCACATGGTGTCATTTCCCCTTGTGGGACTAATAAGGAAATAACAATCAATAATTTCCCTTAAAGAAACCGCCCCACACTTTATTGATCCCCAAAGGGAAATTCAATATCAATTAATTATTAAATAAATGTAAATCTACATTCTGAAATAATCAGGAGGTGTGTTTTATGGCATTAATTCGATTTCTAAACAAGACACCAGTAAGTATTGTGCACATTATCTCAATTGAAAACGTATTTATTTATGCTGGCTTTTAATACCCAGTACCCTGGTGACACTTTATTTTATTGCATTGTATCTTATTCTTTTTTTATTGCTTTTCCTGTTTTTATACTATTGTTTACCTTTATTCATTTTTAAATACCACGTATTGTAAAGCACTTTGGTTCACTGAAAGGGTTGTTGTTAAGGGCTGTATAAATAAAGAACATTTACATTTACATTATAGGGACAAAAATACTGTTCTGAAATGAAAAGTAATGGAAAATGTTGTTGTTTATTTTGACTTTATAAAGAATAACAATGTTGATACTTTAAAAAATGTGCAAAATGTGCACTTATTTCAAGATATTTTAGATTACTCACTGATCATGAATGATCCCGAGTACTTCTCTTCTATCTTTAAAGTATTAAAGTCATATGTTGCAAGTTGCTAGGTGATGTACTTTTGCATGAAGATGACAACTTGCTATTTTTAACCTTTGACTTTTGTGCAAAACAACAAGGTGTCACATATAAGCAAGTTCAAATCACTGTTTCCACCTTAAGGAAAGCCACTTGGGTAGTTACCTTTCACAGTTTTTTTCATAGCTGCACTATTGCTTAAGCAAGACATGGAAATGATACGGGGCTTCTTTTCCATTTATTGGCAAATAAAAGTCATAATATGTTTTAAAATACAGTATCTTAAAACCCTGAAAGAGATCCATGCCAGTCATACAGATGTAAGCCCTGACTCTGTGGACGTTGTCCTTGAAAGCACAGCTGTTCACCGTATGTACTTGTCTTCATTCTTAAGTTTTTCTCTAAGCTGTGTCGCTCCCTATCATACTGGTATGTAGAGTAAAATATGACTGCAACTACTGAGCACATTTTTGAAAGGAATTTAAAAGCTACTGCGTGGTTGTGCGAGTTAGACTGAAGTTAATCGCTCTTTCTTTCTGCAAAATCCATAGAAAACAGAAGAAAGGAAAACGGGCTCCCTTTATTTTTGGAGGAGGGTCAAAGGTCACATGGGAGGTTGAATAGTGTAGGTCACTGAATCAAGGAAAACATTTCAGTGCAGCAGTCTGCTCTGGCCCCACTGCCTTCCGCCATGACGCCTGTTCATCTATCACACTTCCTGTGTGTGTGTGTGTGTGTGTGTGTGTGTGTGTGTGTGTGTGTGTGTGTGTGTGTGTGTGTGTGTGTGTGTGTGTGTGTGTGTGTGTGTGTGTGTGTGTGTGTGTGTGTGTGTGTGTGTGTGTGTGCATGTTTAACCGTTTTAATCCAAATCTTGATGTCTTTGTGAACACATTGCTTTGTCTCAGTTCCCTCTTCTGCATCTGTTTTTAACATCCCTGTTTGGTTTGGTTAGACAGCCAAAGAATTCATACACTACAGACACACAACACACAGACTAACAAACAGACAGGCACACACACAAAAACACAAACCAGTCCGACTGATAAATCACAGCTTTCTGAATTTGTCCCTCTTAACCCCAGAGGCAGCATGTGCAACATCTCCATTGAGCTAAAAGAGAAAAACTTAAGACAAAAAAAAGGGGCAAGAGACCCACCACCCCACCCCTCTGCACACGCACACATGCAGACACACTGGTTCTTAAAACACAACATGTAGGCACACAAACATAACGATGCATAGGCTTAAATACGCATACGCACTCACTCTTGCATATCTGTAATTCTTTGTAAGGACAAGTGTTTGTGCAGACTACTATTTCCACTGTTGCTAGAATGATGCAAAAATGAATCAGTTGTAAGTGTAGTGTGTTGTAATGTTACTTCAGAAAAATGAACATTAGTCTGGGCTCAAAAAGTTCATTTAAGTATTTTATTAGTCAGGATTTTGCAAAATATCCACACGAGCAAGAATGTCCTCAAAGAAAGGTTATCCAACAATGGTTTGGTCCTGGAAAATACAGTATACAGAAAATACAAACACAACACAAAGACACACATGTACATGTCTTTAGTACGTTTTGAGGACAATGTTCTGTAAGTTCTTTGAGAGGACCAGAGTTTTTTTTTTTTTTTTAGAGTAATGGTAGGTTACCCTAACCTTTCACTGTTGAGGCTGTTACAACCATAAAGCGTATTTTTTAACTGTCAAAACTTTGTTAAACATTATGCAGTTTGATTAGTTTTACTCTGCAACACTGTCTAGTTTAAGAAATCACACACAAACACAGTGTGTAAACACTGTGCTGAAACAACTATTTGCCTCGGTCACAAATAAAACATAATTGTGGATTTGATCGCACCCTACAGATAATTTTAATATACAAACCATGATATTTGCTGAGCCTGATCACGTTTTGACCTGACTCGACAGATTCGAACCAGTTCACGGCTGAAATCCTTGCAAACTGCCTCAGAAATATCAACAAAGTACATCCCCTCCTACGCGTACAAAACTTTTAATTATGGCAACAGACGAAGTTTCAAATTAGGGACGTTTGGGTCTCGCAGACCATACAATTAAGCCTTGTTACCTTTCCTATTTTTGAGTCAGTTTTCTATTTACTAAGATTTTTTTTTTAAGCTGTGGTCCCACCTGCTACCAACCAGGGCTGTAGCCCCAGTCACTGCACTGCGCAGATGACGGACGGCCACTTAGCATGGTGCAGTTTGGCAATATCAAGTTATATACATTTGTCTGGTTATATATCTGAGTAGACAGACATAGAACCATTTAACCAGAGCAATGCCAGAGGCCACTAGTGCTATCTCTGCTATCATACATGGACTCCAAGTGTTCTGAAGTAAGACACTCAACCTTCTTTTCTTCACATCATGTGAGGGGGTTTTAGTAGAGAAAAAGACCTGTGTCTGTGGTGCCCAGGTCAGTGGTTGTTTGTCACCCCTGTCAAACTGTGGTTCAAAGTGAAAGTGGAGACACAGACAGAAAGAAAAAACACAACAGCAACAAGGGGATCACCCTTACACCCACACAGTCTTTTTTTAAGCTCCTCCAACCACAACCTCCACCCCTCCTTTTCTGTTCCCACACAACAGCCAAAAAGGCAGAGGCTCAGCAACCGGCTGCTTCAGATACCCCAAGCTTGGTGTCTTTTTTTAACCTCATGCTTGAGTGGGTGATGTGTGTTTCTTAGTGCTGAGCTCTGGCTTTTGATACACAAATGATGTACACCCATGTTTCCAATCCAGGGTCATAGATAAGAGTGTTTCTGTTATTCTCTGCAGAACAACAATGAGGCCAGCCGAAGACCCACACAGCTCAGACACATGCAAAACAAACAGGCACATTCTCACACACATTCTTTGTCTCTGTGTAAACATGTATGTGTGTGTGTGCATGTGGATATTTTTTTCTCCCCCACACATGCGCAAACACATAAAAACAGATTAACACACCAAGCAATGTGCATGAAAGACTTTAGTTGTCTTTTTTAGCCAGAGGTAGACAAGATATATAATTTTAATCATTCTAAATAACAACTCCCCTACAGTGCACAAGCAAGGTACAAAGTGGGTTGTTTAGCATGGCCAGAACACCCACAAACACGTACACACATGCAGGAAAGACACACTTGCACACAATCAAACACTCCATCTTCTTGAAACCTCATTCCTTGGACCTCAAGTATTTATTAAAGCTGGCATATGTGACACCGAACCAGCGGCGGCAGAGAGAACCGTCACTCTCCAGGGAGGAAACCCTCACAGCTGAATTTCATCCCAGCTCTGTATTGTTGTTGCTGCCGCAGCTGTTTTTAATTGTTTTAATACATATTCAACACTTGGGCTTTTCTGACCCACTTTCAATCTCTGCGGTTTTTCATTCTATTCATCTTTGACACATTTCCCTGCCTCTCTCTCTCGCTCTCTCTTTAAGGTGAGATAAAGAAAGAAGGTGGAGACAACAGAAATAGAGGAATCTGGCAAGTGAGTCAAACAGTGAACAATGATTAAGGACATCCATTTAAATCCTAATAAAAGACACGCTGTGTGTTGTTGGGTACTGTTTCAGCAAAGTAAATCTCATGGGTGTTGACCTGATAGCTGTAACTCCTTTGAGCCGAACAGCTACAGATGTTCTTGTGTAAAAGAATCATGAGAACATGGCACTACTGTGAAAGTACCTGCATGAGTAATATCTGAAGACCAATCTGCTCACCTTAATTGTTTTGTGCACTTAAGATATTTTCAGCTGCTGTTTTGTTTATTTCTAATAAAACAGGTCAATGAATATCGGTTTCAACAACACACAACGCATTTTAAAAATAAACCAAGGATGTTTATTTACATCTGTGACTCCCAAAGTGCTTATTGAGTCCAATGAGACTCTAAAAAATACTTGTAACTTGTTTGTAATGTCAAGCCTCTCCTCTCTTAAACAGCAAAAATGATAAAACATAGACTTTTGGCAAAGATTGATTATATCAGCTCTGGCAGTAGGAGTAGCGTAGCTCTAAAATTTACCATTACAATAATGATAATGGTTATAAAGGTAAGACTAGTGTTAATAGTAGTAGCATTTTGATTAAGACAGGCCTATTTCTGCCTTCAGTCAGGCCTTGGCAGCAATGACCCAAGGGAACCTTCTTAAGAAGAGTGCTAAAAAAAAACTCACAAGTTATATGATCAGTAACTTAAATGATGCATGAAGTAAGTAAGTGATATGGAGTAATATGACATTGTCTGGGCTTGTGTGTATCATTTGTCCATGCGGTCTATGCCTGTAGTAGTGCAATTAAGAGCTGGGCCAAACCTGATCTGGCACTGACTATACGTTTTATCAAATAAGAAAAAAGGTTAGATTACCTTTGAGTGTAGAAAAAGCATCATCCACCCAAAGCCTGCTTGGTAGATATTCCAAAGGAGTCTGATAACTGAAGGCCCTCATTAGGTATTGCTAATATTCCTGTTTTTTTTTTTAGCTTTCTGAGAAAAAATGGTGCCTGACCATAATGAGATTTATGGTTGGGAATAAGGATTTTTAAATTCTGTTTGAGTTTTGTATGTAGCCAGTGTTGCAAAGCTAATATTTGGGAGTTGTACTCTTTCATTTTCTGGTTCTATTTAGTACACATACTGCAGAGTTTGGGACCTGGTCAAGAGTTCTTTAGACTGTTATTTAGGCAGGCTGCTTAATGGAAATTATAATAATTCCACCTAGAAGTAAAGTAAGTGCTGACTAGTTCTTCAAAATGATTTCAAGATTCGCTGTTTCACCACCATGTCTCAAATTGATCCCGCCGACTGAAATTATTCATCCACCACTTCTCCATCCTCAGTCTGCTCAGCTGGTGTTCATCTTCTTCTGTTAATATGCAACTGCAAGCAGATGGAGCACCAGCACAAGTGTTCAAAAATAGTACATCATAATTATCAGTCGCTTATCAGATCAAGACTACATTTTCTGCTCTTGTCTGGCACATTAATTTTGCAGCCACAGCAGGGATCGTGATCAGTTTCTGAGAGATCTGGTTATCGCTCCAAAAACTCGTATTATTAAGTTGTGGTGGCGTATTTCCATTTCACCAAACGGGCAAACAACTTGAGTTGGAAAACCAATAACTAATGCAGTTAAGTTAAAATTTCATAACTCATTATGATAAGTGGAAGTAGATGATAGAAACAAGTAATGATAGATTGTTAAGCTTATCACTTTTTACAGTTGAGTAATCAAAAGTACCAAACGCTTCAGTTTTTTATTGTCATCTTTTGGTTATGTTTCGTTGTGAATGGTGTAGGAATATCATAATATAAGAAAAACTAATCCATCAAAAGTTTACATATGCCTTGCACTGAGTATGTTTTGCTTGTTTCACAGAGAGGATGTTTTTCTGCCTGTTACCGAGCCAGAATTTGAAGATTTTTTTAATCTTTTGATTTCTGTTTTTCACAGTTTTATAGTTTATCATTCAGCCGAGGCCTATTGTTCCTATTTCTTCTGCTTTGACAAAAAACTCCAATGAGAATCACAGAAGTCATTCTCGCTTGTCATGCACATTGTCTCTTCTTTTTTCAAAACCCACATCTGTTCTCACATGCGAGTGCTTTTTTTCCAATTTCCTTGTTAATTATAATTATCAGCCACATATCCGAGAGTGTTTGAGACAAAATGAAAATTTCCCTTGGAATCCTCTTAGCTCTGCCACTTACAGATTATATATGCAGAGGATTAATCAAACCCATTTTATCCACTGGTTTGATTTAAAGGCTTTTGTCTACCAACTATCTGCTGTGTCTCTAACAAAGCAATGACTGTCTGCGCAGAGCTTTCAAACAAGCCACGTTAAACGGACTCACGTGTCCCTCGTTGTGAGAATCACACTTTGACTAAAGGGACATTGCAATCTCATTTCACCTGATCTGTTCAACAGAGAGGTCAGAGGTCACATCACATGTACAAAGCAGCAGCTACATCGTCTGAAAGGATGCATACAGAGATTTGTCAAAAGGCTTGTTACTAGGCAAGAATAGAGATGAGACAAAAATCAGCTGTGCTCTCATACGACTGCAAGAAGGAGCATTATACAGAAAATTACAGGCTCCTGTTGAAGCAGACTGACTGTAACTTTATTAAGATATCCTAAAACTACACAGACTGCAACACAGATATCCATGACAACTGCAGTTAATATCGTTCATGTTTAACAAATATGTTTCATTATTTGACCTGCACTCAATATACCAGAATGTAAGACTAGCCTCATTAATAACTCCAACCCCAAACACACAAACACTTTCAAATTATAAATTTATTCAATTTTTCAGCAACACACTCACACACACTCCTGGAGGACCACGGTGGGATTTTCCCTGACTGTTGGTATTTTTAAGACAGTAATTTTAGGTTTGCTTTAGGCAGATATTATTCTCTTTAACAGGAAATTTCGGGGCCGCATGACTTTTTTTTTTCAATAACTTCTGTATTGATAATTAAGATCTTAAAATCTGCATCACTCTGCCTCAGTTATTAAACTAACACTTTTTCCTGAACACTCACTGTGTCTCTCCGTATTTCATCCTCCTGGTACTGGAGCTGTGAGTGATGGTGTAGCGGCTCCAAAGACCAACCTTGTCGCTTGAGAGGAAAGTTGAGGGTCCAATATTTGTCGGACGCGCTATCGCTTTCTCCATAGACATGCAAGAGGCTTGTGATGCACCTTATGGGGTATTTAATGAAACATCTGCTAGTGGTCACACACACAGGACTCCTTTTGATACACACCAGGAACAAACAAAGGGCAAACCAAAGGCAATGCTATGCTACGTATACTATGATGCGATGTTAAGTGAAGCGAAGCGGTCAACAAAAATTATGGCTACCCCGCGGCTCCCCTCTCTCTCCACCTGGCTGCAGGTAAGCCACGTCTTTTCATAACTACCCAGCATTCACCCCATGCCCCACGCGACCCAAGCTCCCGTACGTTACCACAGCAACCACAAACACCACGTGACACATACTGACTTACTACCTTATGGCTCCTACAGATGGTTAGCTTCAGATAATGGCTCTTCCTCTGTTGTGATTACATAATATTTAGAAGACTAAACCACACATATAAGACAACCATTTTTTTAATATGTCAAGGGACATCTGATGTTTTGTCAATATCATCCTGAAAAAAACATTTTTTAAATTCTTGTTTGTTAGTTTTTTCCATTTTTGATCTTTAACCTTCGTCTTACGCTGCCATGCTGGTGTTAAGTATCCAGGGATCACATTAAGGCTAAGCAATTACTTCCAGGAACCAGTACATCATACTTGAAAGACTAGCCATCATGATAGGTTTCAGAGATCATTTTGCTTGGAGTACACCACAGCAGCTGATAAGGGTAAATGGCCTGTTACACAAGCAACTTCAGTGAGGCCTTGAGCCCATTCTTGACAAACAGCTCAGTTCAAACCACTCCAGATGCATCCCTGGGAATGTGCCACATTTCTATGTCATATTTACAACATGTTGAACTCAAGCACAATTCACATGCTCATGGACTTCTAAATCGGGTCAAACTCTCACTGCTTCAAGTGTTGTCATCATGCTTGAGGTAGCTTAAACAACCTTGCTGCTTTATTATTTGAGAATCTGAAGACTGTGCTACACCTCCTCTTCATAGTAACATATACAGTAACTCTGTATACTTGTATTGATCCTTGTAATAAGTGCGGGTGAAATTTACTTAGAAAATTAGCTGAATAGAGGCAACTCGAGAAAGCTTTGGCCCGCTCTTTCACAGTCTCCAAAAGTCTCTCCTTCCACAGCCAGTCTCGTCTCTATTCTCTCTCCTTTCTACCTTTGAACTTCTCTTTCATTTTTTCTCTTCTTTCATCGTCTCTTTTTTTTTTTTTTTTTTTTTGAAGATATTGGAGGAATGCCAAAGTCTTCAGACAGAGAAGTCAGATATGAGCAGCGCCGCATTCCAGCTTGCTCTACTGTGTCGGGTGGACAGGTTGGAAAGGCCAGTGGAGGCACGTGACTCTTCTGGTGACAGATGGGAACAGGGCCTGGAGGAATCCACCTCTGTCCCCATTACCCCCAACCCTAAACTCACCCCACCTGACTGGGAGATTTCAGATTCTCATGCTTTCACTTTCTTGTGCTGTTTTATGTCTTAGCTCCTGGTCAAAGTCAAGTTTAGGCATGTAAAAGCATAGCCAGAGCTGATATTTTAAATCTTTTGGGTTCTTTTTAAACAGGGATGATAAAAAATCAGGAAAATGATTCAGCAGAAAGGTGTGAGATGGTTGTGTATAATGTGGATATCATTCTCACAATAAAATCAATTCTCTTCTTTTAGGCTTTCTAAGGTTTTTTTTTCTTCTGTTACACTTGGTGTCTGATTTTTCTGTCTAGGAAGGCTTTTCACTTACATTCAGTATAAGCTCTCACAAAACGGTACTACATTTTCTTTATAATCCACTTCCCAAATCCAAATTTGTTGCACATGAACACAATTTCAAGGAACCAGGGTTTACATTATACCCGACATTGTTATTCTGTTGTATTGAATTTCTGTGTTTCAACACTCAGTTTCATAAAGCTGTTGTCCTTTCACCAGTATGCACACCACACACACACACATACACACAGTCAATGTACTGTACAATCCCATTTAATCACAAGAATCACGACTGGGAGCATTCCTGTCACACTAAGTTAGTACGATTTGCTTATTAGAGCAAACAATGGTATCTGTCAATTTCATTTTCATAAGCTGAGGGATTACAGAGTGATGTGCTGATCCTCTGTGTCCAGTCCAGCACACTGTGAATCCATGGCTTTCCCACGTCTGAACTTCATGTGATTTTGTAGAGCTGATTGTCACATGCAATCAAATCCTGCTCGAGTATCCTATCGGGCGATTCTCTTTTCCCTGCACATCAATGGAAATGGCTGCTGTGTGAAAGAAGGTACTGAGAGTTGAATTTTCCCTTACTCTAAATACTGCTTCACTCACACCTTTTTCATTTTCAGTATTTTTACGAGATATGGGATACCTGCAAAACCCAACAAAGCCGAAAAAAAAAAGTTTTTTTTGTGAAACTATTTTGTTATGACAAAACTATGACCAAAACCATCCACAAAAAAAACAAACCATGATAAACCATTATATTATATGTCTCTAATATCCCTTTTTATAATGTAATGGCAAGACCCATGCTGCATGTGATACGTTAACCATATCGAAAATCACTATTAACTGTTGAAGGGGGGGACTCAGTTAAAATAACAAACCCTACCACCGTGACTGTGCACACCAGATAAAAATTATATCAACATTAGAAGCAAAATCATCAAAATTCATTATATATTAGTGCAATGCAATAGCTAATAGACCTGATTAGCTGATCAGTGTGCTGCAGGTGGAGTAATGTGCTGCATTCACAAAACAGAGTTAAAGAAAGTGTCTTTCTGGAAGCAAAGTAAAGCTGTGAGACGGCCTCTTACATGGACATAACATGAACACTGGTATGAAACCACTGAGAAGGGTTTTTGTTTCTGCCACGTCATCATGGTACCATTATTCATATTACACAACACCCTCCTAGATATTATTGCTATTACAGAGAAGCCTCTGTTCAAAGCGGCTGACTCCTCTTTTAATAACCCGCTGCACCTGAAAGTCTGCATAGCTTAGTCCTTCATAGTGATATGCTGATTCAGTGTACTGAACCCAATGACTGTACCTGAGAAATGATTAAAGGCATGCAAACACACAAATATGGACAAACAGTTCTGCAGGATGAAAACATAAGTTGCTGTTCAAAATGCTGAGTCAGTTACTGTTAAGTATAGAAACATCACCAAGGTTGGCGTGTCCTAAAAAGCAAAAAACTTTACCAGATGTGCAGTTAATTTCCTCTCAAACCTTCAAGAAATACTACAACACACGCGTACACAAATGCAAGCACACTTCACGGGAATCATTGCATAAAAAAGCGTATACATGAATATGAATGACTGAATATGAGCTATGTTTATGAGCAGACATTAGCCGCAGGGTAAGATTACTCGGTGTCTTTGTTTTTATGAAAACCCTCTTGGTGCACCTGCACTGTGTTTGTTTGCTTTTGTGTTAAAAGTATGTGCATGCAAAGGAATTTGTGAGCTTGTTTGTGAGGAGATTATTTTGTGTGTGTGTGTGTGTGTGCGTGTGCATGTGTGTGTGTGTTTCCAGGTGGAGGAAAGAGGGGGCAGCGTGCAGCAAGAGACCAGAGAATGAAGTGAAGGAAACGGGAAGGAAATGACGAAGGATTGTTCTCTGAAACTGCAAAAACTGCCACTCTCCCCTTTGTTGTCCCGTGTGGAAACTTGGACACACATTCCCACACAAACACGCACACAACCTGTTGTTGTTGTGACTATGATGAAAACTGTGATACACAGGATCTGAGACACAGGATGGAAAACAGTGGACCTAGAGAACAGTGAGAGAGAAAGAGGACAAAGGCGGAGAAAGGAGAAGGATAAGAGGTAACTGTTTGGGGAACATTTTACAAGCTAAATGTTCATGACGAAAAACACTCATTTGCTGCTGTCACAAAAGTTGCACTTTCTAAACCAAGGCTCTGTTACAGTGAAGTCAAGCTAACGTCATTAAGTATTTTTACTCAGCACCGCTTTGGTCACGCTCAGCATCCTATATCCTCTTTTTCTGTGGTCCCTTCTTGAAATTAATCTCTAGCAAGTGACATTTTTAAGTAGGGAGAGAGTCCCTACTCAAAGGGAGGCAGTAAATCATGCACATTTGTCCTCTGATTGCTGGCCAAATACAGCATTTGTAAATGTCAACTTGAGAGCAACGCAGTGAAGGAAGCCAGTTCTTCCACAGTGATAACCCAGAGGGCAGCAGGCTGCATGGCGACACAAACATAGCTGTCGCCGACACCACAGCCCTGAATCAAACTAGACAGGAAGATGGAATCCAAAGTGTGTTTGGTTCCTGCAGCATGTAAATCTCAGTTGGTGATCTGGGTGTGTTTCTCTTTGAACTTAAAAACATGAGGATGGGCAGGATTCATCTGCAGACACAGACACAAAAACAACAAAAGGCTGTCAAAGGGAGGTCAAATGTCAGTGCAGGAATGTCACTGGAATGTTTCTTATCACATATTTTCACTCAAATATGCATAGCTCAGTGTATGTTTGTGCACACACACACATACACGTACACACTTTTGGTGTTCTGTGAAAAAATCCCATCTTGCAGCTCAACAATGTTGGTTTGGTTTCGTTTGCTTATGATATCAGAGAGACATTTCTTTAGTCCTGTAAGACCTGCCACACTCTGTGCACTTGTTTGACTGTTGTGTTGGAATGTAGACTCACACTGTACAAGTGAGGAGTTCACAACGCATCACCGAAGCTCACAAATCACTTTACTCTCACTATGGCTGAACATCTTTGGTGTTAGGCAGAGACAGTATGCTCTCAGAAACGAAACAACAGTATAATGAATTGATGATGTACAAGATTAACAACAACAATGAAGTGTAATATAAAAAAAAAACAATCCGCAGGGAGCAATTTCTATATATATATAAACAATGAAGAGTAAAATAACCTGTCACGATGCTTAATGGAAATAATATGAACTAGTACTGTGCATCTCTATAAATAAAGAGAGCTATGGCAGCAGTTACTGTATCTAAATGAGAGGTAAAGTTTTAGCCAGTGGGTCGTAGGGAAAACCTGTAATAATTAGCTCATCATTTGGGGCTAAAGCAAAACTTTATATAACTTGACAGGCAGATTCCCCCACAGTCACCTGGTTGCTGCTTCAGGTGAGTTGTAAGGTAAGTCATACTGTCTGTGCATGTTTTACAAATTGCATCTCGCTCGTAAAGATAATTGTCTCTCTTGTAAAACCTGCGTGTTCCTGAACTTTGATTTGAACCCCTGTGCTGTATTTGTGCCGCACAACTTCTGTGCTATTCTCCAGAATGATCACAGGTCGCATTATGTGATACATGGCTAACATGGAGGAATGACGTATGAATAAAAAGAAGAGATCATTGGACTGTCACATTCCTAATAAAGGCATGGCAATCTTATCTTAAATGGGTCTGATTTTTCATGATGTAGGCATCATGGAGATATTAAAAAATTGCTTTCCAACACATCTGCTCTGCCAACACACTTGGGAATAAGTTTCGGTAAATTTTGCCATTTCTAGAGTTCACACTGCTGCCAATTTTTAGTGGTCTGAGTGCTGCATCTGAACAGAGAATGAAGCCCTGACTATTGTTAATAAAGTTTCCTTTGAAGACTCATACACATGAAAGTTGTACAAAGTAGTAAAGAATATTGATCACCTTTTTGACATGTCAGAATAAACTGAACATGTAGATGCCATGTAAAGAGAAATTATGGGAAAAATGTTAAAATGTAATTCATTAGATTGCAGAAGCGGTCATAATGCAATGGCTGATAGGCATATATCTATGCATCATTTAGTCACATCATTCTGCGTGTCATCGTGTGTTTTCAGATCCTGTCCACTGTTTTGCATCTGTGCAAAAAGGTCGTCCTGGCGAGTTGTCTCCGGTCTTCTACATTTGCTTTCTCTGTGCGAAGGTACATTTTCAGACAAACACAATTTCTTGCAGAAATTCATCTGACTTGTTTAGTGCAGCTGATTGGGCTGTGATGGTGCAGAGCAAACAATACGTGCATGAGCTGAAACTTGACCTGACCTCAAAATCAGACTTAGAAACAAGAGACAGAGAGAAGAAGAGTTCCCAGATTAGGCTGATGATGATTTCATATCTATCAAAAGTGACTTGAATCAGCTTTGTACTGGTTGATGTCTATTTTCTTTGTGTGTCCTCTGTTTGACTGACACTTGCTTGTCCTTGTCTCAAGCTTGTGTGAGTCACAGTAAGTATGTGTAAATGTCTTTGCTAATTATCTTCATAGGTGTGGCACAAATCCTTGAAAATCCACTTAGTTCTATGATAACAATGACAGTAGTGTATTTTGTGATGCATAAAAACTTGACATCTTATAAAATCTTGAGACAAATATCACACAGTTTGGATGAAGCCCTGTCACTTAAATAGAAATGCTGTAAAAGATGTTCCCTGCTGAAAGTGCTAATGCGGCTTCATAAATATCCGAATCAGTCGTGATATGAAAGGAATCCTCTCTCTGCTCTGTGGTTAGTAAAACACAAGGGCCCAGCTGTTTCATGAAACCTGCTTGACTAAGCACTTAGTGGTGTGTAAAATGTTTTTGACAGCAGCAAGAAGAAGATTCAACATGGTAAAACGCTGGAGTTGGCACCAAAACCATGC